ATTTTGACATTTGAAAATTTGAGTGAGTATTCGTAATTTGCTATTTCTAGCACGTAAAAAGTCATTGAACATCGATAAAGTGAACTCGGAAATAGCGAATTTTACAATCGACGAGTCGACAACGTAAGTTCGTAAGTTCTTTCGTAAGTTCGTAAGTTCTTTCAGACATTCACTAGTTAACTAGCATTTTGAAACTTTTACTCATATTTACATTTAGTTGGGTGATGATCGATCGATGATAATGATCGATTTTCTGCATCGGAAAGGTTGAATGAGGCGACGTTTCGACAAATTATGGAAGAAGCCGAGCGACTTTGTTTCTTTGTTTTTTTTTGGGTTTTACTCGGTCTTTTTGGGTCAATTTTTTTGTTTTTGGTACCGGAGTTAAATTTTTTGGTAAATCCCTGCCGGGCCTTTTTGATAAAATCAGAAGTGACTGTTAAGGATGGCAAATAGAGGAATTAAGAATATGATGGGCAAAGCAGAGATCGTTAAGGAGTCTACGATCGGGCAAGAGTTCAAAAGAGAAAAGATTAGGTACCGTAAAGTACACAAAAAACGATATTATTTGGTTGAAAAAGTAACAGAAAGCAGTAACAGATAATTGTTTCATTGGGAAGGCATGTAGAAGGCCAAAAATCGAAGATTTAAAAACGTGTTAACCACGTAGCGATTCGTAAGCGTAAGTGATCCGTTCAAGTCCTTGCACCTGTGAAAGAAAACCAACGACCCGGGCAGGAGCTATTTCCGTTTGGCTTAAAATGAGGACCACAGCTTCAGAATTCTTGCTTGGAGTTCCTTGATTGCCAATGTAGGATGTAGGATGAGAATCTATTTGGTTTCTGTTTGGTTCTAATTCTTTGTGCGGTGTCGCCCGGTTTTTGTGGGTTCTTCATCTCAAAAGCTAAACCCGGAGAAGCCAAACGGCTGAATTTCTATTAGGGAATGAGCAAGTCTAGTGTCTAGATCATTCGCGTATGGGCTTAGTAAAAGATCAAGTCAAAGAAGATCACAACTTCTAAGAACCCTTGTCCCAAATTATTCACAAAACTCCAGGTTCTGCAAGCCGTTGGCCGCTCTTTTCATCCTCACTGTTTTTCATCCTCACAATGATTATCTGCCTAATTCAGATTCAAATCTGAATTCGAACCTGTTAAATGAATGAATGATAAATCTGAATTTAAGCGCTATCTTCAAATCCATTTACCTGAAAGAAGTTTAAATTTGGGATCATGCCTGCCGGGCCTTTTTGATAAAATCAGAAGTGACTTGAGTTTAGGATGGGACATAGAGGAACTAAGAATCTTATGGGCAAAGCAGAGATCGTTAAGGAGTCTACGATGGAGCAAGGATTTAAGAGAGGAAGGATTAAGGTACCATAAAGTACATAAAAAACGATAATATTTGGTTGAAAAGTTAACAAAAAGTACCAACAAATAATTGTTTCATTGGAAAGGCATGTAGAACGCCAAAAACTGAAGACCTGAAAACGCGTTAAACAGGTAGATGCAACTCGTTGCTGGGTCGATTCGGCGGCGGAAACACAAACTATTTTTATCGAAAAAAAGAGTCCCAAGAAAGTTGTTTGCACGAGAAACGAGTGCCGAGTGATTTTCGCCGTCATCGATTTATGCAAGTCTGTGCTTTTGTGAAAGAGAATCGACGACCTGGGCACGAACCTCTTCCGTTGGCGCCAGAACCAAAATCGCGGCTTCAGAATTCTTACTTGGAATTTCTTGATTGATAATGCAGCGGACGATTTGTTCAAATTCGTGGGGAAAGGTCCAGCCAATTGCACTCATTTTGACTTGCGTTTTCATCATGGCCTCGTGGTAGAAGTGGAAGCCATCCCGGAAGTCGCAATTTAGAAAGATCTCTTCGCATCCGTTCAATTGGTTTTCGATGAATTTGCCGAGTTGCTCTTTTACTTCTTGATCTTGTTCAAATTCTTCGATGTCCAGTAGTGCATGCTTTTTGACCGATCCACAAAAACTGGTGAGGAACTTCAGGCAATCTTCCTTACTGCCATCAGAGAACTTGAGTTGGTTCACGGATTTCAACTGTCTGAGGGCAACCACAGCAACGTGCTTAATCTAGGTTAATTTAGAGCAGTAACCAGTTTTCAGTAGAAATCATATCAAGAAATCCAACAAATTGTATCTGATACTAAAATTGACTCCAATAAACCATAAAACCAACGAGAAATATATCAAGAACAAATTAGAAGCGATCAAACGTAGATCAAGCTAAATTTCATCCAAAAAATCCTTCATATCTTAAACTATCGAAATTAATAATCAAGGATATCCTTTCATGATTTGACGCTTCTAGTATTTTCAAGAAATAAGAATGAAAACGGTGAGATTACGGTAAATGTTACAATGAATACTATTACATTAAATTAATTTTCCCGTCCATTTAATAAACTTTTAAAAATGACCAATGCTTTTCATTTGCATTCTACATTTCATTCATTCTTTTTTCAATTTTGCTTTTACTTTTTCTTTTCAATTCTTATTTTCTTACTTTTTCAATTTTAATTTCATTTTCCTCTCATCATCTGCCTTTTCTTCAGAAATTTCAGAATTTCATTTTCCTTTTCTGAACCCCAGGATCAAATAATACTCAATTTTCAATTTTTTTCAATCAATTCATTTTGATCTTTGATTTATTCTTTTAAAAAAACCGGTGTCAAAAACTATCTTGATAAAATATTTGAAGTTTTACGAAAAACAAAGACAAATCACAGCTATGTTAGATGTTAAAGAGGTAATTCTTATTTATTTTACAAGCTTAGACAATTTATAGGGAAGAGTTGAGCGTGAGGAAATGAAAATGAATAGAGAAAATGAGATTTTAAGGAATTTGTTCATCGGAGAAGAGCCGCGACACCGAGGAGGATCAAGCTGATGAGGGAAGAGGAAGAGAAAGCAGTGTTACAGCCTCGGCCTGAAAAGATGAAAAATCTTAAAATATAATATAGTTGTTTATTTAAAAAGAAATTTGAAAAAGTCGAAATACGGCAGTACGGAGGGTCGAACCCGGACCGTGTGGTCCGTAGGCGAGCGCGCTCCTGGCTGCGCCACGGCGACGAGGCATCTAGCCAGATCTACTCGCTGTTAAGCAGCTTTCAGCCTATTTCTTAATATTTAATGATCTAATGTTAATAAAAACATAAAACAGTGAAACTTTTACATTATTCCCATGGTAATTTCGATTCTAAAACATGAGTTTTCTTGTCGTTTTTCTTCTTACATCAAAAATTACCCGCGTTAATCAATTTGACTCTGAAAAAAAAGCTCACCTGTGCAACAGTAGGCGCTTCCCGTGAAACCGGGCACATTTGAAATCCCATTCATTGTTGTCGTTGACTGGAATCGTTTAAATGAAAAAGGAAATTCAAAAGAAAAAAAAACTGTGTGATCATCTGATTGTGAGTCAATTTTAAGAACTGTTAAGAAATTCAACTCACCGAACAGGTGTATTGATATTGGTTTAGGCAGCCACATCCTCGATATTGATAGATATTCCCGCCCCGGCTTCCGTCCAATTTCAGACAATAGTTGCAGTTTGAGCACAGGATCGCTTGAGCCTGAAAATCAAATTTGTACTGTGGCTTGTTGGAAAGACATTCTGGGACATTGTACAAAGCCCAAAAATCAAAAAAGTTTTTATACAAATCGACAGAGAAAGACTTGGCGAATCTAATGGTATCAAGAATAGCTTAGCTGAACAGCTCAACACCAAGATATTTGAGCTCAAAGTTATGGTAATGGTAAAAGGGGAGGGCGCGTCAAATGTCCGATAGCTTAACTTGCAGGGGTGATCTGGCTGAAGTATCCCTGAATATCTTTAATAGAAAATGATGTACGCTAAGTTAATGATAAAATCTGTTGCTTGCCTAGAATCTGTAGGAAGCGTCTACTGAGACAAAAAAAATGAACTTGTCACAAACTTATGTTGTTCTCTCGAAAAAACAAAGTTAAATGTGATTCTAACATTTTTAATGTCTCGTAGATTTGAAAAGTGTTAAATAGTGAAGATTTTCTCATCGTTAAACAAGAACAATTGAAGTCTGACTTCTTTTGAAATTTATCTCTACTCTATGTAGAGTACTTTAACTTCTATGCAATGCCAGAAGTCAGTCAAAAGTCGCAGCCTGCAGTAAACTCAGTGCAAGATCCGACTTCTGGCCTACCTTTGGAACCACTCTGATGGTAGAACCTTTAAAGAAATGTAAAGTAAATGGCAAAGAAAGATTTCCGAAGAGGGAATTAAACTCTCAACCTTTCTTGCTTCGACTCTTGATTGACTTCTGGCATTGCATAGAAGTTAAAGTACTCTACGTAGAGTAGAGATTGCTTTTGCTTTCCGGACAGATGCTCTAAGCACTCAGCTATTCGGTATCTTTTTGGCCAGAGAAGAAAGAGGAAATACTACTTACAATCTGCGAAGTTGTCATCCCAGGTTGCACCTCTCCTTGATAGCACTCAAGATTATCACCGAAAACGAATGAGACGAGTATTAGTGAGCAAAACGATTGCCACAACATCGTTTTCTCGTTGCGAAAGAGAGAATTGAACCTGAAAATGCAAAATCGTTGAAAATTGCTAATGAAAAAGGTAAAAAAAGGCAAAAGAAATGAAAAAGACAAAGGAAATGAAAAAAAATGTTTAAAAAGAAATATTTATAACAATTTGATCGAGTGAGGATTTTTAAACAGTTTCCAAAAAAAAGGAAAACCAAATTTGTAAACAATTTGTAAACAATTTCGTTTTCCTTTCTTTGCTTCAAATTCAGTGCACTAGAAGGGGATACGTTTACAACAATTTCAAGCAGAAAATCTCAAAAACAAGTGTACCAGAAGGTGTGCCTTTATGTGAGAAAATACACCAAAATCTAATCAAAATCTAATCAAAATCCAAAAACCAAACCAAAATCCCGTCTGGAGCACGAAAAAACATTCATAAAATGGTCTTTTTTTCATTTTCCAATCCTCAAATTCATCAATTCATCAATTATACAAAAAAAAGAGTGAATAAAAAGATCTATAAGTAAAAAAGAGACCTATTTTTAAGTGAATGAGCAAATCAATGCAAATTTCGTCACGTATTCTATCCACCGCGTGACTTTGAAAGGGTTTCCTTAAAAAATCAGCCAAAAACAAGGTACAGGTGAAAAAAGAACTAGATAATTGCCACGGATTGGCACGGAGGAAAAAATAAAGCTTATTAAAGGAAAATTGAACCAAAATTGGAAGAATTTTTGAGAAAAGTCACAAGAATTGTCGTCAACTTGAGAAATTTAGGGAAAATTGAAAAACTCTCGATTTTGACTTATAGTTTTCTTTTGACTAAAGAATTCTTTAAAGAAAAGAATTAAAGATTCTTTAAAGAAATAAATTGAAATCGAAAAGCGGATAGAAATTCATAAAAAAAATGACCGAAAAAATCTGTCCGGAAAGCATTAAAAGCAAGAAAGGTTGAGAGTTCAATTCCCTCTTCGGAAATCTTTCTTTGCCATTTACTTAACTTTTCTTTAAAGTTTCTAACATCAGGGTTGTTCCAAAGGTAGGCCAGAACAAAATAGAACAAATGTGCACGTTTTTTCGGGTTTAGAAAAAAAAGCTAATCTTAAATCAATTTCCATTCAAAAAGTTGTTTTTCTAGGTAATTTTCGGGCGTAGAATCGAAATTTTAGCATATCAGAGCTTGTGGAAGCGAACGGGCGGAGTTATACATAGGGAAAAATCGGCAAATTTCTGTAATTTTATCTAGCCGCTTTATCTTTCAAATTGATTTCAAATTGATGTTAGAAACTTTAAAGAAAGCCCCGCCTCCTTCCCCATTGCTATAACTTTGAGCTCAAATATCTTGGTGTTGAGCTGTTCAATTAAGCTATTCTTGTAACCATTTGATTCGCCAAGTCTTTCTCTGTCGATTTGTATAAAAACTTTTCTGATTGGACAGCTAAGCACCAAGGAATTTGAGCTCAAAGTTCTGGCAATGGGAAAAGCTAGCTCTGATATGTCAAAATTTCGGTTCTACCCTCGAAAATCACCTAGAAAAACAAATTTTGGAATGGAAATTGGTTTAAAATTAGCTAAAAAATTAGCTAAAAGATATTTGTACAAAGTGAAAAGAGATTTGAGTAAGTTTTCTTTTTAAAAGCTGCCTCAAAGTTCAGTGTTCTCCTCCTAGACAACCGGATTGCACAAAGTAGAGAAATATGGGACCTTTAAATATGTGACTCTGAGAAGTTAGCAATTTCCACGTGTACTTTGTGCTTGAATCTGTAAACGCATCCTTTCTAGCGCACTGAATTCTCCACTTTTCTCATAGCGACGATTTGATATCACGAGAAATTAAAGAATTCAATGCACCAGACAGTGTGCGTTTAGCAATGAGCAAAGGCTCCAAAGAAAAGAAAACCAAATTCAAATTGAGAGAAATTACTAATCAAATATAATTTTTAAATAAAAATCTTAATCAAAATGTCAAAACCAGTAGATTACTAAATTTAGAGTTGATTCTACAAGTTTAATGCTAAAAAGAAAACGCACTTAAATTGATAACCGAACGGTAACAACGCTAAGTAACTTTTTGCAAAATTATTACCTTTTGCGCTGTTGCTTGTCTGGAAGATTGTGGAACATTTGACGCAAAAGGGGCGCGGCGATGGACCTTTTATACGCGAGGCTCCGCCCCTTTTCCCATTGCCAGAACTTTGAGCTCAAATTCCTTGGTGCTTAGCTGTCCAATTTCAAAAGTTTTTATACAAATCGACAGAGAAAGACTTGGCAAATCAAATGGTTACAAGAATAGCTTAATTGAACAGCTCAACACCAAGATATTTGAGCTCAAAGTTATGGCAATGGGGAAGGGGGCGGGGCCTCGTATAAAAGGCCCCACAATCGCCCCACCCTTTTGCCATTGGCAATCTAACTTTGAGCTCAAATTTCTTGGTGTTGAGTTGACCAATTTCAATAATTGTTGTACCAATCGACAGAGAAAGACTTGGCGAATCTAATGGTATCAAGAATAGCTTGTTCTAATGGTATTAAGGAGAATTAAGAATAGAATTAAGAATAAGTGCGTTTAGCTATGAGCACAAGCTCGAAAGAAATATTTCTAGTCAAATTCTTTAAAGTTATAGATCTAAATAAAAGCTACAGTACTTCTTTAAACTTATCTAATATCTAAAGGGTTACTATTTAAGTATTTAAATATTTAGTATTAAAGTATTTAGCCATTTAGCCGATTTAGCTAAAAGTATCTAAGCTAAATAACTTTAACTTTGAGAAAATGAAAACAAAATTCAAATTGAGAGAAATTACTATTCAAATAAACTTTTTAAATAAAAATCTTAATCAAAATTTCAAAAAAAAGAGGAAAATTTGAACGGCTAAAGTTTTCAAAAATAAAGATTGAAGAAAGATTTCAAAAAAACGTACAACTCTCATGGGAAATTTTTACCGACTTTTTCAATTAAGCGGTGTTTCTTTGCGAGAAAATATGGAAAAGAGTTTTTGACTAAAAGTTTAGACTGATTGGAGCGAGTGGTGGGAAATGAGAAGGGGTTTGTATGGCTTCTAATTGGTTTCTCGATAGAGGAAAGGGGAAACGGTCGTGGACACCTCTGCACAGGATACAATCTCTCAATCTTCTTCCAATACCAGAAATATACTATTTGGGTTAGAAAGTTTTCTGCGCTTCTTCTTTTGCGTTCCTTTTCGTACTTTCGTTTAAAACCAACAAATCATTCAATTAACTCTAAAGAAATCTGTGAAAGGGGTGAAATTTTTGAAAAAAAGGAGAATTTTAAAGCATAAAAAGTTTCTTGACGTCATCTGACTTTGACCTTTAATTTCTTGGCTCACAATTGTCCAATTGAAACAATTTTTGTATCACTAAACTCGTCAAGTCTTTTTCTGTCGATTGATACGAAAATTGTTTCAATTGGACAATTGTGAGCCAAGAAATTCAACAGCAAAGTTAGATGGCGGAAAATATGAAAATTTTTACAATAAACACTTTTTATTTAGAAAAAAAAGCATAGATTAGTTGGTAAATTTGTTATTTTTGCAAAAGAAAGTATTAAAAGAAATGAAAAGATTTTCTAGACAGCTCAATAAAAGGCAAAGCTACCGTAATCTGGCCACCAGTTTTCATTCGATCAGCCCTAATTTTGGTCGAACTCGATGGGAATGAAATGTTGTCTATTCGAGACTTGGCTTTTAGCCTGGTAGGATTAAGTTCACAAGAAAGTTCACAAGAAAGTTCACAAGAAAGTTCACAAGAAAGTTCACAAGAAAGTTCACAAGAAAGTTCACAAGAAAGTTCACAAGAAACGGATCCAATACGGTTCCTTTTGATCTAATACGGTTCCTATTCTGATCTAATACGGTTTCAATACGGTTCCAATACGGTTCCAATACGGTTTCAATTCTGATCTAATACGGTTTCCAATACGCTTTCCAATACAAGAACCTGTGGACTCCAGTCAGCTAAAAACCAGGCCTAGTTCTGAGCTGTCAGTCTTGTTTTAACCTGGACCCCCATTAGCCCATCTGAACCAGCCAAAAGTCAAGTCTGGATTTGGTCCTTGACCAATTCAAATCAAATTCTGACCTGATTAGGTTCTACCACGTTTGTTCATCTAAAATAACTAAACCAATCTTAAACATAGATCCACCAATGGATTTTTGAAGTTTACAAGGTTTAAAGTTTTTAAAAGGTAAAACTAGATTGTAGAAAAAGACAAATGAAATATCACAGACAAAAACTCACAAACAATATTCAGCTGTTTACCACTCGCAAAAGAAAGGTTAATAAAATCAGGAGAAGAAAATTGTACTTTTCCGATTTTTCCGAATATTGCGAAAAGGGGGTGGTGAGAGTTTTCTGGGAGTGTGTTGCCTGGCACTCTTTACCCACAAATTGGGGCTTCCTGAAACCTTTCAAAATCCACAATAGAGTTAATATTAAAAAAAATAGTAATAAACAAGTTTGGCTTAAAAAAAGAGGACTTCAAAGTGAGGAAATTATTTAAAAAGAACTAAAACATTTTAAAACAAGTCAATTTTCTTTAAACTGCCGTAATCTTATCTAATTTTTATCTAATCTATATTTTTGTTGCTATTCTTTGTGAATCCGTACAGAATTGGATAAAAAAATGGATAAATTGGATAAAAATAGAGATAAGATGACGGTAGTTTTAAGGAAAGGGATATTTTTTAGAAAATAATCCTTTCTTTCTCGTTAACTGAATATTTCAATCAATCAAATCAAATCAAATCAATCAAATCAAATCAAATCAATCAAATCAAATCAAATCAATCAAATCAATCAAATCAATCAAATCAAATCAATCAAATCAATCAAATCAAATCAATCAAATCAAATCAATCAAATCAAATCAATCAAATCAAATCAAATCAATCAAATCAAATCAATCAAATCAATCAAATCAAATCAAATCAATCAAATCAATCAAATCAAATCAAATCAATCAAATCAAATCAAATCAATCAAATCAATCAAATCAATCAAATCAATCAAATCAATCAAATCAAATCAATCAAATCAAATCAAATCAATCAAATCAATCAAATCAATCAAATCAATCAAATCAATCAAATCAATCAAATCAATCAAATCAAATCAATCAAATCAAATCAAATCAATCAAATCAAATCAATCAAATCAATCAAATCAATCAAATCAAATCAATCAAATCAAATCAAATCAATCAAATCAAATCAAATCAATCAAATCAAATCAATCAAATCAATCAAATCAAATCAAATCAATCAAATCAAAAGTAAAAGTAAAGCTCTGAAACTGTATAGTAATCTAAAAAAAAGTGGTAAACAATTTCAATTCAACAAACTCATTCCTCGCGAAAATCACTCTTCGAAACAAACTTCACCAAAATTAGCACCTAAGAAATAGGTTTCCGAATGAAAACAATCATTTCCGAACAATGGAATTGGTATGGGTTATGGGATTTTGTGGAGTGAATACTGCAGCGGGAGCTAAAATTTGTAAACGCACCCTTCCTGGTGCATTGCATTCTTCGCTTTTCTCTTGCCATTGAAAGAAAAATGGAGAAACGAGTGCACCTAGAAGGGGTTCGTTTAAAAGTGACCATAAAAAATAAAGCTGGAAACGCGACTTCACCACATTCTCTGAAGTAAAGAGTATCCAGTTGGTTAAAGAACCATTTTTAGCCAAAAGTTTACCTTTTTGAGTCAAGCCAATCAACTTTTTGAGGTTATTTTCGGCCCATTTCCCAAAAATGCGCATGAGAGAATTTTGTAGTGTTGCCAAATTTTGAGAGAAAAGAGGAAAGAGCTAATTTCCCCCTACGGGAATCTAAATAACATTTTTACCACCTGAATAATCAAAAACAATAAAAAACGGATTTTAGAAAGAAGAAATTCTGAATCTGATTAGCGTTTAACTGCTTTTGATTAGTTTTATTGGGTGAGCTTTGGACTTGTTCTGTGCTTGTTCAAAAAAACGATTATAAATGCGTCAAGAAGTCGAATTTTTAAAAAGGCAAAAAAAAGTTGCAAGCACGGGAATTGAACCCATCCCAAAAAGTTTCGTGGGCAAGCTCACTATCTACTAGCCTACGAGCTCACTTTTTGAGAGGGAATAACTTTTCCGAAAATAGTGTGCCAGAAACTCGAGAAAGGCTGTCAAAATTCACTAACTTTGACCTCGAATATTTTCGTTCTGATCTTCTTAAAAGTATTATAGAAGAGGTGCGTTTGCATGATCACAAAATACAACTCAAATCTCGTCATGTGACTCATAAAGCTAGGACCAATTTCTCATCACTTTCTGTTACCAGAAATTTCAAAATTCCCCTCAAAAAGCTGATTCATCTCGAAATCTAATTTCACCTTTTTGTTTTGACAGTTTCCATGAGTAACACACAAATGTCTGGGTCTAGAAAAAAGAAAGAAAACTTTTCTGGAATCCATCACGAGATCTTTCAAAATTGGAGGAAAAGGGGTGTCTGGTTGTTAGGAAACCAAAAAATACTCGATATATCGCTTTTCTTTCCCCAAGTCCACCAATATCTACCATTTCCAGTAGCAACAGAAGAACAATAAATCAAGAATCTTTAGCAAACAAGGCACAAACAAGCCTCAAAGCTCTTAAAACCACTACCCAATTATTTATTTCGATCAACTCTACAAAAGAAAATCACCGCCATGTGCATGTGAAAGCAGAAAAAAAACAAAATCGAGTACCAACACGCACAAAAAGAAGACACGAGGGCCAAAGAGAATGATTCTAAGTAACCATGAAAAATTGTACACTTTCAAAGAATGATGAGTGAAGAGGAGGACCCAGTATTAAATAGAGAGAAAACACGACAACAATGTTTTCTTTGTTCTAGCATTCACTTTGCATCATTCCGTCTTCAGTCATCACTTTACGGGCTCTGTTGAGTGTCGTTTGGCCGATAGGTTCCATTGATGATTGCCAGCTGAAAGCAAGAACAATGAATTTTGTCAGTTGTTACTGAAATTCGCATACAACTGCATTAAACAAAACACTTTACCTGTTCCAGTTGTTTCTTCTTGTACTCATCATCGACGGGAGTGGCTAGGAGTCGTTGAACTGCACCAACACCGTGCTCCATCTTCTTACGAGCGCTAAAAAGAAAATGTTTGGGCTCTTGCGTAGTTTTCGGGTATTTTAAACGGGTCGTCACGCTTTGAAGGACTAAAACTTTCTCCAGAGATAATGTTTTTGTTAACTTTTTATATCATTGTACAGAGGAAATTTCAGGCTTTCAACTGATACTAAATAGAGCTTGATTGGATCATCCACTCAAAGAAAATCAGAGCCAACTCTGAGCAAAAGAGTCCTATCCAACTCGGGTGTCGTGTCGCCTTGTTTGCATGGGAATAAAAAATCCAATCAAGCTCTATTTAGTATCATTTGAAAGCCTGAAATGTACTCCATACAATGATATAAAAGTTAATAAAATATTATCTCTGGACAAAGTTATAGAACCTCAAAGCGTGACGACCCGTTCAAAATACCCGCAAACTATGCAAGAGCCACCGTTTGAAACGACTATCGATTTGTTAGTCTAATTAAAGAAATATTAAACTTACGCCGTTCTTTCGCTAGTGTTCGCAGCAGTGACAGTAACGAGAACGTGAAGAGATTCGACCAAATGCTCCCAACCAGGCATTCCACGTAAACGAGCCTCACGCTCAGAATCCTAAAGGTTTAGTAAAAAGTCAAAACAACAACAATGCGTACCTTAACCGATCCCTCTCCTCGAATCAGAATCGAACATCCCGTCTCACTTTCGAGTTGTTTCACCGAGATTCCTCGTGGTCCCAAAATGCGGCCGATAAAGTTGCAGTGAGCACTAAACGAATATCATTATTTAATCAACAAAACACTCACTTAGTTGTTTGTGGGATGGGGATCTTCTGCCGAAACTCGTATTCACCGTTATCCATCTTGACCTCAATGCATCCCTTGAGAAGATTGGCCGTGTACACGCGAATTGGCGTCGAAAGATTGATGAGTGATGGAGGCGAGAATGAAGTCGGCGATGGAGCTGACGAGCAGAAATTCGGCGACCCGTTGAGCACATTGAGTGGCGATTGCAGCTGATTGAGCAGCGACTAAAGAGAACAAAGTAAATACAAAGTGACCAAAGAAAACCTTTAAAAGAGTTGGTGATGTATTGGTTCCAAAGAGAGAAGTGGCGCCTTCATTTTCCAAGCGAGGCACTTTTGTAATTGGTGTCACCGGGCTATGAATTGCAAAGTTGGGTTGATCGCGTCGAGAAAGCTAAACAAAAAAGACTACTGGAATAAAGCCAAACTCACTTCCATTGGTGAGCTGTTCCTGGCAGTTGGCGAAGCGATGTCCTTCCAAACACTAAACAAAAATTTGATTTTGTGCATCTTGGGATTTTATTCAGATGCTTGACGATAAACCATACTATCCCAAGGTGTACAAAATATGATTTTGTGTATGAAACGTAGAAAGGTCGAATGAAATTAAAGCTTTCATAGTGCAATCACAAAAATTACATTGTGAAAGGTTGTAATCTTTAAAACTAATACTAAGCAAACGCTCAACTATTATTACAGCTTATCAATTATCAAGTCAAACTGCTTACTTGTCAATTTCCGATGAGAGCAAAAGCGCCGAGTGTCGAAGAGAGCCCGGCTCGTCCACTTGCACACAATTCAGCTTCCGCAACTCGGTGACCAACTCGTCCAAGTATCTAAAGAACACCAGGTTTAATCGCTAAATAATAATCTCCACCTAATCTTGTCCTGTTTCATTATGGATCCCCCCAGTGTGCTCATTCCGATGAATTGGACCGGGAAGCGGACTCACGCATAGACTAAAGCAAAAAGAATATAATCTTTGAGATAAAAATTAAGAGAAACATATCCGTTACAAAAGATAACAATAATAACAAAGTTAAAAATACCTTGACGTCCGGCGATTATTCGGGCCACCACCCTTGAAGCTCGACATTGAAAAGAATGATTTTGCGACCGTCGCCTTTTCGTTTTATTCACTCTTAAATGTAAATTATCCGAATCCCAGACAGTATGGAAAATTAAATTAATTGCAAAATTGTGACTTGCTATTTAGCAACAACTCTAGCTTACTGTAGTTTCCTCTCACGATTGTCTCATTTAATTTTCATTTTCGGGAGTGGGACAAATGCGACCTTTTTTTTGCGCACCTGGAGATTTGCGCACCTTTTTTTTGCTAGAAAAGGCCTTAGGAAAGGTCGTAGAGCTTCAAAAAAGTTTTCATAGAAGGGAATCGTATGCGTAGATTCCGAATTTCGACAAATCAGATTTCGCTGACACGTCAAATTTGGACTAAAAGGCAAAAACTACGCAACTTAACGCTTTTCCGCAGTTTTTGCCCTTTAGCCCAAATTTGACGTGTCAGCGAGGTCTGATTTGTCGAAATTCGGAATCTACGCATACGATTCCCTTATATGGAAGTATTTTCGAAATATTTTCGAAGCTCTACGGCCTTGCCTAAGGCCTTTTCCAGCAAAAAAAAGGTGCGCAAATGTCCAGGTGCGCAAAAAAAAGGTCGCATTTGTCCCACCCCTTCATTTTCTATTTTTAAAAACTCATTTAATTTTTTTCTCTTGTATCAAAGCAATTAAATTTTTCTTTGATTTAGAAATGGGTATCACTCGTGATAACTGGCACAAACGGCGAGGAACTGGAGGCAAACGCGCACAACCACATGACAAGAGGAAGCACGAGCTCGGGCGCCCCGCAGCGAACACGAAGATCGGTGAGCAGAGGGTCCATTCGGTGAGATGCCGCGGTGGAATCATCAAACGCCGTGGTCTTCGATTGAATGCTGGAAACTACTCTTGGGGTTCGGAGGGTTAGTTTTTGCTTGTCTATGTTTAAATTATTGAGCTAGAGTTACCTAAGTTGGAGTGTTGGAAATTACGTACGCTATATCGCAAAAAAGTTTTTTAACGAGCACAAATTGTTAGCATGCGCTAACAATTTGTTTTCCGACCTACAACAGTTTCCTTGCTTAGGTGTTGCTGCGAAGACTCGTATTTTGGACACTGTCTACAATGCGACCAGCAACGAACTCGTACGCACAAAGACTTTGGTGAAGGGCACAATCGTTTCCATCGACGCACTACCGTTCCGCCAATGGTACGAGAATCACTATGCGATTCCACTTGCGCGCAAGAGGGGCACCAAACTGACGGACGAGGATCAAGCCAAAATTGACGAAAAGAAAGTCAACGGGAAATTCACAAAGGAATATATTCTGCGTCAACGCAAAGCGGCCATCGACCCAAAAGTTGCCGAGCAATTTGCCACAGGAAAACTTTTAGGTTGGACAAATTCTTTGTTGAAGTTTTTTATTTATTCTTTTAGCGCGAATCTCCTCTAGCCCCGGTCAAGTTGGTCGATGTGATGGTTACATCCTCGAAGGAAAGGAATTAGAATTTTATCTTCGTAAGCTGCGAGCAAAGAAGTAATCTGTTGTTTATCTGTTTCGAAAATAAATGTTATTCTGTTTGCAAAGTAAAAACTACGGTTAGGAGTCTTCAGAAAACGAACATTATAGTAACTTTGGCGTTTACAGACATTGAAACCGTTAGGGTCAACTTTTCTTGGGAACTACTTTACAGTCTGCTCATTAGTTGTTCACTATTCCAATTTTATCCGTCAATCAGATCACGTTGTCGTTTCAACTTTATTCTGCAAATGGGCCTTGCGCTTCAAAACGCAAAGTCACAACAAATATCACGCATATTATAGCGGCCGATAAAATGTACCATATGGTGGTCGCCTTACATCGGAGTACAAAGACAATGAATTCATGATTCAAATTTCAAGCATATCGAATAGAAACTATAAACAAATAAGGTCATATACAGGAAGACACAAAAAGAATACACAGACCCATTTATTAGTAATCGTTCACACCTTCACTCATCGCCGAGTGAAATGAAGAAGATTGTAAGTCAGCGTCGATGGGCGAGAGCTTGGAAGTTATCTGTGGTAAATTTAGTAATATAAACGCCTTTTTAAGCACTTACCTTCTCTTTGGTGTTATGATCCTTCGATTCATCAAGTACCGGAGATAAGATGGCCGTGATTGGACCTAAACAAAAAATACAAATACAAAATAACCCAACTCACCTCCAGAGTGCGTCGTAGTGAAATCCATTGGCTCATTCACTCGAATTTTGTCGTCTGTCAAGACCTGAAAGAAGAAATTGTATACAAATAAACTCCTCGCTACCTCATATTCAAAGCCTTTAGAGCGACTTCGTTCCAAAGATTGTTGTTGAACAAGCTGAGGCGCAGATGCCATTTTCATCTTGCTGATCGCATCACTTCTGTCAGATAAGCAAAAATCACTTGGCGGAGTGAGAGCCCATGTAATTGGAGGTGAAGCGGGTGCACTAAATTAAAAATACGAATAGGTAAGTTGATTAAATATTTAGTAAACAGTTAATTGCCAATTAGTAAGCAAATAAAAATTACCCAAGAATCTGTTTGATATGTGTGAAATGAGGAGGCTCGAGATCGGATTCGTGAATGGACATCGGTTGAGACGATCGATGGGAAGAAGGTTTTGATGGGTTGTCAAACGTTGTACCATAGTAGAGCTGCAAAAGAAATATGATATTGGGTTATGCATGAGCTAAATATACCTCTTTCTCTACACCAAGCATCAAGTAATCAGGGATTTTCTTGTCATCAGTCTCCTCTTCTTCGTCGATCGTCGAATTCTCTTCCCAAACTCCTTGCTCACGACCGGCGCCCAAACGTTTTGCCATGCTCAGCGTCGAATCACTAAATTATAAGTGATTGTTTTAGGAAGGAAAGCCATTACGTTTTTGCAATAGCCGTTCTCATCGATGCCTCTTCTTTTAGCTTTCTTTTAGCTGAGGTAGAGTCGCTCTCCCGTTGAGTGGTTTGCATCGCCGGAGAAACGAGAAGTGAGGAGCCATTCTTGTGTTGATCCGATTGTTGACGGTGTTTGGGACGAGAAGATACGGATTCACCTAAAAAGAACAATAATTTTAATTTAAAACCAAACTTTACTTGTGTTTCGGATGCTTGTAATGCTCTTCATAGTTGGATTCGGAGTAGTCAACGCAGATTTTTGATCTAAAAAGAAATTATTTGAATAATCTACGTTAGCTAATATTTTTAGAAGTTGCTTTTGTAGTACTTCGCTCTAATTGTCGATCACTCAAGCACAATGATGGACGCGTTGACGATATTTGGGTCGGATCAACGCTTCTCGACGACTTGCGATGACTAAACATCAATTAAACTTTCAATTAAATGTAATTGTACTTCTTATCATCCGCACTCCTCATTTTTCCCAAGGCCATCAATGTCCCAATTCTGCCAATAATTTGTGGGTCAAGCTTGGCGACTTTCTCCTCGTGGTGAATGGGTGGAGGATTATCGGATCCCCGTTCTTCTTCAGGTTCTCCACGGCTCACTTGATCCAAAGGAGTTATTGCAGTCGCACTAAATAGGCAAATAGTCAGTTTCCAAGAAATGTGTTTTACCTATCGGCAACCATAGCGATTTGCTGAGCTGGTTGTGGTGAAGGTTGACTGGAGTTCAATCTAAAAAATACTCTAGAAAAGTTTCGTAGATGCCAAAATTACTCAGTTTGCTTGGATAAAGGTGGAAGTGCCTTTTGTCTGAGAATCGTTGCAGAATGACCAGCAGCGACTCGTGTTTCCCGTTCGGTATCCTCCTTTCTAAAAGACAAAAGTTTGATGATTAGCCGAGGACAATCAGCACCAAAACAGAATAACTTAATTCATCTAGGTGAATGAGTGATCATTATTTAAACCAAAGCATTCACCTCTCAGATTCCATGTCTTCTCGACTCTCAACTGTAGCTTTTTCTTCATCGCGAAAACGTTTCCCAAAAAGCTTCCTCCACTTTTGCTTCTTTAAAAAGTGAAAACAAAGAGCACTTGCGAGAAGGAGGAGCAAGAAGGAGAGGACCGAAGAGATACAAATTGCAACAATAGCACCAACACCTGGAAAAGACATTATAAAACTTTTTGAGATTGTATCACAGCTCTAAAGTATTACATTCTAATAATACTTCAACCAAAAAACTCACTAAGTCCTTCGCTCGATGGTTCTATAATTGTTATGTTCGTTGAAGTCGGCAACCTCGTGGTGGGATCTTCATGTCCTTGATTAAATGGCTCTTGTCCCAATCGTTTCATCTGTCTCTTGTTCATTTGATTTCGCGTCGCCGAAGTGAAAGTTGGGAATGATGGTAACTCCTAAAATACCTTTGGCTAATCTCAAACTTTCAAAAACTAACCATTGATTTGTGATTAATCTTCTGAGCAAGTACGTAATTGACTCTAAAAAATCAACAATGTTAGCTGTACAGTAAATCACCAAACCTATCAAGCTTTGTCCTTTGTTGGAGTGCTTCTTTTAACGACTTTAGCGCTCCAGTTTCTTCATCATAGACTTGAAAATCGTTGCCGGTGAAGCAAGAGTTTCTTGTGTTTTCTAAAGTAAATGTTTAATACATATGTAAAGCCTGTTAAATACAATAATAAAACCTACAGGATAGTTTGGTAACGTGCGTAGTGGATAACACTATCTTAGTAAAGCGACTTACCCAATCTGAAAGTCAACTTGACATTGGCAAGCTCGTGATGTAAATCCTCTTTCCTGATTCCAACCCACAACGATTCAGGTACACAAAGCGGAAAAGCAAGTGCTAAAAATGAATGAGATCAAAATTTTAATGAAAACAAACGAGGCACGTGAGTGATCGATGAGGGCATTTTGTAAAGCGCTCGAAAGTCGACCCGTTCTTCATCTCCCTCATCCAGTAAATGTACCAAGACCTAAAAAACAGCTAAACCTTAACAATCAAAGAATATTACTTCGGAAGCGGTTTCCCTCTTCAACACGATCGCTCGATACCAGGTGTCACCAATCGAAGTAACCGCCAAATCATCTAAATTTAAACTAGAGTGGTAAAAATAAGTGTTCACATACTTTTCCGTGCGTTCAACAATGGTTTAAAGTTTTCGGTAACACTCAGTTCATGATGAATCCATTCAAATGAATATTTTGCAGACAATAGACGCACTTCGAGCAAAGATGGACCTGAAGAGAGCAATTTGTGAGGAAAATCTGTCAGTTTTAAGAAAAACTTACGTCTGGCTATAAGAACTACTTATTACTTCATCTGCTATGTTTCTAAATACCGTATTTTCTGTAATAGTAGTGCGCACTACTATTTTTTCAACCCCCCTCCAGCCTGCACTACTATTACAGACTGCACTACTATTACAGAAAATACGGTAACAAAAGTTTACTTACTTGAAACGCTCGCAATCGCCACATCAATATAGTCGTTGACTTGTGCGGGAATGTTGAGCGCGGGAAGATCACCGCCAGCGTGCCACGATGACCAATTGCCCGTGGTGCCTGTAATGAAATAAAGATTAGAGGCGATTGAAAAAGTGAATATTGAGCTCAAACATTAGAAAAAGGGATGCATGAGCAAGGTAGTTTACGGATAACACAAAGAAAAATACTTTAAACGGGAGTGGGACAAATGCTACCTTTTTTGCGCAGCCGGATATTTGCGCACCTTTTTTCCGCACTTAGCCCATTAGCGCACCCTTTTTCGCGTTTTCAAAAAGCTCTAAAAGCTAATATTAACCTATTTCTATTCCAAAAGTTGTTTTCTAGGTAATTTTAGGGCGTAGAATCGAAATTTTGGCATATCAGAGCTTGTGGAAGCGAACGGACGGAGTTATACAAAGAGAAAACACAATTTTCTGTAATTTAACCTAGCCGTTTTGTCTTTCCCATTGGTTCCACACGCTCTGTTATGTCAAAATTTGAATTCGACACCCTCAAATTACCTAGAAAAACAACATTTGGAATAGAAATTGGTTAATATTAGCTTTTAGAGCTTTTTTAGAGCTTAGAGCTAAGCGCGGAAAAAAAGGTGCGCTAATGGGCTAAGTGCGGAAAAAAATGTGCGCAAATGTCCGGGTGCGCAAAAAAAAGGTCGCATTTGTCCCACTTCCCTTTAAACAACAAAAATATAAAACCAACCTAGACGGGCACCGAAATCGTCGTGCATGCCAGAAAGAAGGCAGAAAATGATTTTGTTTCTTTTGCCATGAATGAAAAAAACCCGATTTACACTAAGTATGCAAATCTTTATGCCCTAAAAATGCAAATGTTTGGGTTTTCGTCAAATTTGAAGTTGTGGCGGCACAGTGATCAACACTTTCACTTGCTTGACGAAAAATGAAATACAGTTGACAAAGTTTATTTATAGACATCAAAATGTATCACAAGTGCTTGAATTCATTAGCACCACAAAAAGATTTCAACCCGCTTACACGTGCACCAGTTAATGAAAAAAAGATTAAAATTACTATCCAGTCAGTTTACGTCTTTGAAGCGTCGTTCGAAGTTGAAGCAGTAGTGGCTTGACCAGTCTGAATTGAAAAAGTTTAACAAGAAATTAAACTAATCCGTTACCTTCCACGTCGATTTTGCTGTAGTATACACTTTGGCATTAGATTCAGCCGTTTTCACTGAATTTGATGAAAAGCTACCGGTCACGGAAGAACTAAAACAATGCGAGATATGCAAAAATGAGTATACTCACTGGACTGAATTATTCGTCTTCTGTTCTTGCTCGTGTTGCTCCTGTTTAACTTGCACCAAGTAATCCTCCTAAAGCAAATTTTTACCTAAAAAGCTTTCTAGCCACTTACATGCAGTTTGTGCTCTTCGCCAATCCTTTTGTAGTCATATGACGGGCGAGTGTAGAACAAAAACGGGATGTATGAGTGGATCTAAATGAGATATAAACTGATTAGCCATAAAACTTACAGTATTTTTGGTCGCTGGAAAGCAATCGGGATTCCAGGCGATTTCTTTTAGATTGTGACCGGCTTGCTTAAGAAAAGCTTTAAACAATAAAAATTGTTTTAAAAAACCTTGACGAGTGGAATTGAGGACCTGAGCGCGGAGAAAACGGTAGTTGCAAGGCCACAAGTTGCAGTTCTCTGTTGATTGTCCACTAAGCAACACCGTGAAAATCCAGGTATTTTTCTAACCTGGCACGACTTCACTCGAATTCACACGCTGCAATTTGCCATGATCTTCAGGATGAGCAATAGTGTGCGCTTGAGCAAGTTTTTTAAACATTTTTTCGATTCCAGTCTGTAAAGATTACGATTAAACTCAAAAGCAATGCAACTTACGTGTTCTTTAGCCGAGCATTCGTAGCCTTTTACAACGTGCAGCATCTGGGCGACATCAGCTGGACTGTGGCTATCCTAAAAAAAAGTTACTGATATAAGCGACGTCAAAAATACAGACGTCAAAATTTTCGTAGAGTCGATCACATTTCGTGCGCACCAAATACACTTTAGCCGCTGGGAATCGTTCGGTAATTTTTGGGGTCCACTAAAAAAACTATATTTTGTATCGTATTTCGTTATTGCCGCGTTATAAAACCTTTACACTGACGTTTAGGCTTAAGCTGACTAAACAAAACATAAAAAAGGTATTAAAGACGTTATAGACGGCACTCGTAAAGCATCGAAACTTGAAAGAATCAAAAATACCTTCTCAGCAAGTCGTTTTTCTTGTTCTCTCTCTCCATCATAGCACAACAAAACAGCCTCAATTCCAAATCGATGACCCTCGTCTTTATCCCAGTTATCGTGCAGTTCAATCAACTAAAATTTCAATGATTAACATCAAACAAACAACTTTCAACCGTGAAAAGGTATCGCTGCTCATCGACATAAAACATCCTTGTTGCTTCAGCTTCCTAAAATTTGACATTAAACAATCAGTGAATCGATTTACCTCAACAGAATTCTCCGGATCTTTCGTGAAAGCACGGATAAGGCTAGTCTTTCCAACGCCTAAAAATTTTAGTTTTAATAGATAAAAAGAAAAAACCTTTATCCCCAACAACAGCAACCCGCACTTTCTTGATTGAGATCACTCCTGCGTCAAGCATGGCTCTCGCTAAAACACAAAAAGATAAAAAAGCTTGGCACTAAAAAAGTTGTGGGGCTTTTTTTGCTTCTGAGGCAACTTTTTGCGTAGAATCCAAAAATCGCCATCCCAAAATCCGATTTTTGCGTTTTTGCTAAGGAAATGCAACTTTTTTCGGGAAAATTTGCAAATTTATTTTCTTTGATTCTGAGCTTTTATACAGCGCGACTTAAGTGCGTGGGCTCAAAAAAAGATCAAATTAAACCTGATTAAACCCTATTAAACCCGATTAAACCTGAATTCTATAATGCTGAAGAAAAAGCACGGCATCAATATGAACGATCAATATGCAGATTACCTCGATGAGTTTCAATGCCACCAGTAGTTCCGTGATGACCCGTTCTAACACTTCTGGTCACACAGTTACGAATTGCCTTGCGAATAAGGATGAAAACCTAAAATCCCCAATCCAACGGCTCTCTTTAGGGCCACAAATCAGTTCCAAAACAAAAAATGTTCAGAAGCAAAGAAAATGAATTCGCAAAATTTCCCGGTACTTTGTGGGTTGGGGGCCGTCATTATTTTTGATTTTTTCACTTTTCTAGGGGTAATCGAGGGTGCTGAGTACGAATTTGACAATTTTAGCATAGGTTTCCAACTGAAAAACCGACATTTTGGCAGTTGAAAGTTGAAAATTACACTTTTTTGCACTTTAAATTTGTGTACCCAAGCTATCAACTATTGGGGCGCTTTTCAAGGTCAAAACTAGAGCCAAAACAATTTTAAACCACTAAATATTCATTTTCTAACTTAAATTGACTGGTAGAGGCAAAAAATAAATGAAAAAATATTTTTTGAGATTTTGACTGATCGGACAACATGGTCGAGATTTGAATCAATATTTTTTATTTTGCTCCAATTTGTTCAGAAACGTAATCAGTAGGTTAAATTATGCCAGAAGAAGTGTTTTTAGCTTTAAAAAATGTTTTGAGAGATCATTTTTAACCCTCTTCCCTATGTGTATCCGCTATATGAGCTATATGAGCGCGCACTTTGAAGCCTCGAAACTTGACTTTATACGCATTTTCCCAAGCTTTCGTTATGTTTTTCGGAATCTACGCATAAAACTACTCCAGAAAAAGTGGTTTTGAAGAAAAAAAAGTGAGAAATGGAGAGTACAATAGAAATTCAAATGTCAACCAAATTAAAGTATCGATTCAGCGCAAAATGGTTTTCCGGGGCACCCAAATCAGAAAAATCAATGCGGAAAGCAGTCGAGGAGCCGGTTTTCACAAATTATCGCCACATTTTCTACCGTAATCTACTTCTCTATTGTGTAACTTTAACTCACTAACAATGAACACTTCAGTGAAGTAAATAGACTGCAGAAAATTAGCAAACACTCACCAAATAGTGGACAAGTAGCGACAAGCCGAGCACGTCGTTGAGCAAGAGAAATGAAATTCTCGAGATGATTTTTAGTTTCTAAAAACTTTAAATGCAAATTGCAATTGCGAATGAAACCTTCATTTTCCGTCTGATTCTCGTCTCGACCGAAGAAAGTCTGTGGGTAGAGAAGCATTGCTGCAATTTTTGGGATGGCGAATTTTTGGGATTGCTGAACAAACCAAGATTTCGGCTCAAGGACTAGACTAGTTTGAATAAAAAAATCTTTTAACCAAAAAGAAGAAACTCGTTGGTGTGATTCATTTCCAAGGGGACTCTCCTTTTCCCCACATCGGATTGACGGATTTCCTTTTAATAAAAAGAATAAATCGGCTTTCCCCCCTACAAGATGATCTTTTTTTGGAGATTTTCTCGAATTAATCCATCGTAATGTTTTTTACAGTCAACTTTAGATTTTTGATGAGAAGACGACTTTTACGGGAGTGGGACAAATGCGACCTTTTTTTTTGCTGGAAAAGGCCTTAGAAAAGGTCGTAGAGCTTCAAAAATGTTTTCATAGTATGCGTAGATTCCGAATTTCGACAAATCAGACCTCGCTGACACGTCAAATTTGGGCTAAAAAGGCAAAAACTACGCAACTTAACGCTTTTCCGCAGTTTTTGTCTTTTAGCCCAAATTTGACGTGACAGCGAGGTCTGATTTGTCGAAATTCGGAATCTACGCATACGATTCCCTTATGTGGAAATATTTTCGAAGCTCTACGACCTTTTCTAAGGCCTTTTCCAGCAAAAAAAGGTGCGCAAATGTCCAGGTGCGCAAAAGAAAGGTCGCATTTGTCCCACCCCCCAAAAGTCTTGTCCCACTTACTTTTCTGAAACATTTTGTCCAAAATTCTAAAAATTTTCGAAAGCAACTTTTTAAGTAATGGGTTTTTTTAGTAGCTTATCCCTTCATCTTTTACTATGTAAATGCCCGGACTCCAATATTTTGTTGTTTTTTAAACCCTTCTTTTCGTAAAACTTGAGCAAAAAAGGTGGTGCAAAAGTCTTGTCTCACTAAGAAAATTTGTATTTTCTCTTTGCCTTTGTTTGTTCTCATGAATTTTTTGTATTATATTTTTTTTTTTGTCGATTCGCAAATATTTATCAACACCTGATAAGCAAAAGATCGTGCAAGCAAAGAAATATGGATATTCATCCCCGTCTATTGCGATACTCTTCAAATGCAATAAAAGGACGGTGGATCGGCTAGCAGCATAATCGGAAGCAGGCCAAAGTCTTCATAGAGCTTCGAAAAGTGGTCGTCCACCGATTACAACAAAAACTGAAGATCGAGCACCTATCATTGACCATAGAATCGACCCAAATCTGACTTCGAGCCATGGAATCATGAAGTTGAAGGCCATGTCTAACCAAAATATTTCTCGATGGAGCATCAACCGTCGCTTGATTTGAGCAGGATTGCATGCAAGAAAACCAGCAAAACAACCCTTGACCATTGCAAAAACTCGGAAGCTGAGATATGATATTCCAAAGAACTACGAGTGTTGGACTTCCGATGACTGGGCCCGAGTCATTTTCATCAATGAGACTAGAATTAATTTATACTACCCGGACGGTAACCATTTAATCAGAAGACCAATTGGACAACGTTATAAGCCCAAATATGTTAAGCCAACGGTCAAATTCGGTGGTGGGAGCATTATGTTGTGGGGTAAGTGTTCGCCCCATTTTTCACTTCCGATTGATCTTTTTTGTTTACCGATTTATCGATTTATCGGGACCGCTAGTGTTTATCAATGGAAATCTCGATGCTCAAAGGTACAACTCAATCATAGCAAACAACTTACTTCCATTTGCAAACACGAACATGCCACAAGGATGGGCCTTATATCAAGACAACGCTCCATGCCACAAAAGCCAGCTAATGATGGACCGAGTTGTCCGGCTTGCAAATGGAGGAATAGGTCGCCTACCCAACCTTTTTGCTGCTTATCGTGTAAAATTGATCAAAGTGCCTCCTGATTCGCCGGATTTGAATGTTATAGAGCATCTTTGGGCCCATTTAAAGACTAAACTCAGGGGCAAGATATTCAACACAAAGGTCGAGCTTTGGTTCTTTATCAGAAACGTTTGGCGACAAATTTCTTCGGGAATTCTACGTGATTTGGTCGATTCAATGCCTCAACCTATTCAAGCAGTGATTTTGGCTAATGGAGGACCGACAAAATATTAATCTAGCTTTCCTTTTTTAATGGTGGGACAAGACTTTTGCACCATAGATTTTTTTGATTTTAAACTTTTTTATGTTTTTATGAAAGCTTACAAATTAGGGTTCAGAAAAACCCCTTTACTTCAAAAGTTGTTTTCGAAAATTTTTAGAATTTTGACAAAATGTTTCAGAAAAGTGAGTGGGACAAGACTTTTGGGTTCTTTTCCAATATCGGGGGAGCGGAAGGATTATCGGGGGAGCAAATTTTGGCAGCGCTACATATGTCCTATATTATATAAACTACCGCCATAAAATCCGCGAATTACCCGTTATTCTCACAACCTTTATATGAGATCACAAAAGTGACTTAAATATCTAACACCCAGCGAAATAGATCTTGTCCCTTTGAGCGGACTTTCATCGATTCGCCACAATTGCAAATCCACGACCGGATGACTCCTTTGGTGACGAAATAATCGATTGCCGTCGATTCCTTGAACGCACAAATATCGGAGAAGGCGCATCGTCGTTAAAGTTTGAAAAAAAAACGTTGCAGTTAAAATACAGTCCCGGAAATGCATTTTTCGAGGGGGCAAAATTTGCTCCCCCGATAATCGGACCGCTCCCCCGATATTGGAAAAGTACCGACTTTTGCACCACAGTGTATTATCGAGTTCTGATTTTCCAGACAATTTCCGCATCTTATTTGTCTGTCCCTGCTACAAACCTCATCTTTTTCAAATTTTTTCCCTTCGTTTAGCGCCAAAGATTTTTTTAAAAGGTAGCTAAAAACACAATAATTACGTTAAACTCTTTTAAATCTTTCTAATTATCTGTTTTGTTTTTTGTTTCAATCAAATAACACACTTAATCTTATATTATTGCCATATGGGGGTGTCATTTGTACAAGTGGAAACGATAGGTAATTGGTCCCAATTTTGGCGCGTAATCTAGAGCATAAAATAAAATTTTTGATTTAGATTTAGTTCAACTAGCTTTTACCTTTATCCTTTTCAAAATTTTGATTTTATTATTTTGATTTTATTATAAAAACATTTTTAGAAATAAAAGGAACAAATGAGTGAAACGAGGAAACGAAAAAGGTGTTTTTTTGATAAAAATTTTGTTTTAAAACATCTTGATATATTTTTTTGATGATTTCTGAATGTTTTTAAAGCTAAATTTTTATTTTAGAACTCGATTCTCCGAAGATGTAGAGTTTTACGAATATCAAGGCGATTTCGACGAAAGCAGAGGCGATTTACAGCGCTACAGCACGATGGTGGCAATCAGGTAAGTATTTCAAATGTTTTAAATGTTTGTAAGCTGTTTTAAATGTTTGTGAGCTGTTTTAAATGTTTGTGAGCTGTTTTAAATGCATTTACTAGTAAAGTTTTTATTAAAGTAAGCTGTTAATAGTTAAATTTAGTTAGATCGGTAAAATAAACTTGCTATAGTGCAGTTTTTTCTAAAAAATGTGATTTCAAAAGCTTTTCGAGTCAAATATGCATGATTGCCTTCATTAATGGAACAAAATTTAGCACTTTATCGGTTGGAGGGCATTTTCTTTGAAATTTTCACTTTTTCTGGGGTATTTAGTGACGCTGAACACGAAAATGATATGGTTTTGGTACTTTGGCGGTTGGGAGAGGCCACTTTTAGCTTGGCTTCGTCGAGTGCTAGTGCTTCTAGTGCTTTTAGTGCTTTGAGCGGTTTGTGTCGATACTTTTCTTCTATTCTGAAGAAAGAGATATATACTGAAGCGACTGGTGCTAATTTAAGCACACGTTTGATAATCCTATTCGATGATTTGCCATGTGTCCTAGCCTGTTTAACCACCGAACGTTATCTCAAAGCCGATTACACTTGGAAAGTTGCAATACTAACTTGAAACATGTTGAAAATACTCTAAAATTCGCACCAATCGCTTTAGCATATATAATTATGTCGGAATAAAAGAAAAGTATCGACATAGACTGCTCAAAACACTAGATTCGACGAAGCCAAGCTAAAAGTGGCCTCTCCCAACCGCCAAAGTACCAAAACCTTATCATTTTCGTGTTCAGCGTCACTGATTACCCCAGGAAAAGTGAGAATTTCAAAAAAAGTGACCACCAACCCACAAAGTACCGAAAATTCTAATTTTAGACAAATGCGCGAAGAGGCACAACGAAAAGAGGCCGAAGTCGCTGCAAGGAATCGAATGTCAGAAACGTTGGACGAATCCCGAACTTCAGTCAACAAGTCACTCAAAGCAGGTTTGTATTTTAGAACCATTTAAAGTAATCTCAAGAATAGATTCCCCAAGTTCTTCAAAGCGAAGTCTTTTGGATGCGGTATGCGGAATGCTCTTCTCCGTCGACAATTTCAATCGTTACTCGTCCGTTTTACCAATAAAGCGTCTTAATTTGTTTTTTAGGCGAAAAGCTTTCTACTTTTTGACTCATGGCCACTCCGATCACTATGGATCATTGTCGGTGAGTAAGATAAAGAATTTTAAAGACTTTAAATCATTTTAGTACACATGGAAGCGCCAAATCTATTGCAGTGAGAAAACCGCCGAATTGCTGCCGTATCTTACATCAAGGAAGAATCGGACAGGCACCCTTGGCGCTGGTATTAGTAAACAGGTTGGAAAAAGCTTAAAGCTGTCAGTGAAAAGATTAAAAATATGTTGATATTGGTTTTTTTGTGAAAAATGCTTTACTTTCACGTTTCAGTTGTTACACTCAATACCACTTGGCATCGCTCAGGATTTGGGGAATTTTACGGTAATGCTCTTGTTTAAATTTAAAAAACTGCTTGTTTAGATCACTTTATTAGATGCGAATCATTGTCCTGGATCTGCCATGTTGTACTTTAAAGGAAACGATGAGATTTTTGCTCAAGGTTTGATAGATTTTCTTAATCATAATTGTGTTCTTTTAGGGCCAATTCTTTTCACAGGAGATTTTCGCGCCGACCGAACGCTTTTTGAACGTTTTGATTCGGATCCTAATTATCAAGAGCTGACACAGGTCTGTTTTATGCTTGCATACTGGTTGAAAGCTCGATTCTAGGTCGAACTCGGTCACGTTTTCATTGATGACACGTATCTATGGGATGAAACCTCAAGTTTCCCACCGAGAGATGAGGTTTTCTTTGAATTATTGAAAATGTTCTATCAGATTTTAGTTATTTCCACGTATCTACGAGACGATTCGATGGATTCCCCGAAATTATCGGATCTTGTTTCCACTGCACAAGCTCGGGAAAGAGAACGCGCTCATCAAAATTGCCAAATATACTGGGGTCAGTGTTTTACTAATAAAAGAAGCTTACTAATCATTCTTTTACAGGAAAAGATTGCGCTCGATGCGGGTCGATGGAGTGTCAGAGAATCGCTATTTTCCCCCGAAGAGTTGCAACATTTCGTGGAACCCGAGGAAAATTCAAGCACTGTACGGATACATGTTTGTTTAAGACGGTACGGGTTTCGTTTATTTTCATTTTATCATGAATTTTAGATTAACAGGTGATCTTTATGAGGCTTACGGCAAAAAAGCTTTCAAATGCAAAGTGATCAATTTGACAATGCAACGAAAGACATTGAGGTGGGCTTTAGCCATTGTTTCATAATCAACTTCTTTAGCCGCCGAATTCCCGAAGAGAATATCTTCTCTTTCCCTTATTCCGATCATTCATCATTCGAGGAAATTCATCGATTTTTGTCTCGTCTGCGGATAAAGTATCGTTTCTAGTTTACAAAATTCAAAGATATTTTTCAGAAACTTACACCCATGGAGCAATCGAGACGTCAAAGATGATGAACGCTGGAAAATCCTGCTCCAAGCTTGTGCTGTGGATAAGTCAACAACGTAAGCAACTTTCTCACTTTTGAGTAAACTGAAATTTTTACTGGATCTAAGTAAATGCCTGAGATTTCAGATCATCAACCAATGCTCTTCATGAGGTTTTGGCTCAAAATCTTCGCGAATCATTAGAAGCACTTCCCATTGAAACGATTCCATTTCTGGAGGCTGATGGGTTGGTTGATTAAATTTTTTTTGGGTTTTTCAAATTTAGTTTGTTAGGCTTTTAAATTTCAAGATATAATGCGCATTTTTTTAGACTTGCACTCAACCGTTTGGCTCCACCATTGGACGCCGCATCGACTCCATATTCCACTATGCCGCTAGGGATTGACTGGACGAATCGTGTGTTGAGAGAAAAAGCGTGATTCTTTTGTGCGTGCATAATCTTCTATTTATTTGCAGTTTGCACTATGTTCATTGTAGAATAAAGACCCCAAATGTAGACTTTAATTGTATCAAAGTTTTATTTAATTATGCAGACGCGATGAGATACAACTGATTACAGATTCCTACAAAAATCATACAAAAAAAGAAAAGAGAAGGAATCGATGCACATTTCAATCTCTTTTCACACAGGGTAACTGAATTCTCGATCCTGTCGATTTTTAAGAGAAACGGGAGAAAACACCGGTCAAAAATGTGTGTGCTCAATTTCAGGGTACAAGTAAGGCAAAAATGGGAGAAAGAACCCAGAAAAGTAATTTTCGAAAAACAAAATATCTGAGCTCATTGTGCACCGAAAAGAAAAGTTTTGAACAGATTTTGCAGGGAAAAGTGAAGAGGAATAATAATTAGGCCTAAAGGAGTAAAAATTTCAGTATAAATGCTTTCGAAAAACGAATTCTAACAATAAGAATCGTGTGATCTCCGAAAAGAAACATTTCAATTCTGCCATTTTTAATAAATTTGACGACGCACAAGAAGGATAGAAAAGAAAAAGAAAATTTACGAAATCCTTTTAATCTCCCTAGTAAAGAAAAGTGAATTTTCGCGGATCAGGAGCTTTGAATTTTTCATAAGCCCAAAAGATATTCAGTTACTAGATGCGGGAGCATTTCAACAAACAAACACACAAAGAGACTCGTTTCAATCGAACAAATAAGTGAACTGAGAGAGGAAAAAAGAGGCCACAATCAAGGGAATATTTAAATTTTCTTTGTGACCAGTGTCTAAATCTAAATACAACACAAACAATTCGGAAACAATAAAAAGCAAAACAGTGCAAGGAACTTCGGGGAAATAAGACTGAGTAACATAGCCGCCAAAAACGGTTACTTGCTATCCTTGCAGGGTATATGCAAAAGCTCGTCACCAGGTTCAGGGCTTGTGAAGTCTAAAAGAACAATTTATTAAAAGCGTTATCCCAATGCTCATAGGATTAAATTATGAATGAAATTTGAAAAGAATCCTCAAACCTCGTAAACTTTCGACTATCCACATGTACATCCATTTCAGTTTGTTTGAAATCGTTCAGTTCTTTTCGTATCAAAGCCTAAAACAGGTAAATTTAAGAAAATTGCTAAAAACAAACTTTATCAGATGGGGTGAGCCTCGTCCACGGTTTATCCGCTTTTCGATCATAGATCTCAGCTTCAGTAACCTCGACATAGTCATTGAATTGGATGATTTGTTGGTCTTTGAGCTGTTGGATCGTCGGACGAAACGATAACTGAAAAATGAGTATCGATACAAAACTATTTTATAAACTTTAATTTGTCAAATCTTATTTTTAAAAAGAAAGGTTCACCCCCACCTTTCTCAACAGCATTTTCCTTTTCTCCTCCATCGTGCTCGCCTCTTCATCTCCCCTCAAAATATTCCGATTCATCAACTCGTTCGCCGTCGGCCGCTCACTCAGCTTTCGTAGAAGTTTTGCGGATGCACTAAAACAAAATATTAATCCAAAAAAAAGAATGTTAGTCAAAAAGTGAGTGAACACACAGCGTCTCGTCAGAAATTGGGGATATCGAAAAGGGTTGAAATTTCCAATTCATAAATGAATTGGTTTTTTCAACGAGAGTAAACAAAAATGTACAGGTACAGGTAAGGGCTTAAAAGGTTTCAAAAACTTTTTTTTTGACTCGTTTCGCTACCTTTTCGTGAGTTCCCACGAATGAAAAGCAAAATGAATTCTAAAGATTTACTATATTGATGGGCTTATCAAAGAAAATTAAGAGTCGATCACTTACTTCTGCATATTTTCACGTCTTTCATCGGGCGTTTGACCGTTGAAGTCCTCTTTCACATCCAAACGTAACGCAAATGTGTCTTTACGGAAAACCTTTGAAGCCAGACCATCAGCTAAAGTAGATTAACATTGAAAGCGGATTCTTCAAAATCTCACCAATAGCCGGTTCTTCTTCCTCATCTTCTTCGTCATCGGAACGGGTTAATGGCGGGAGATCAGATAAAGATTTGCTTGGTGTAGAAATGGGATCATCTCTAAACAATAAAATTTTAGTACCAATTAGTACCAACTCACACTATAGTTAAGCCTTTTTGCCTAGTCTAGAGCCTGGTTCCATTCAAAATTGGCTCTCATTTAAAATATTAGTCATCCACATTTCAAACTTTGAGAGTTTCCCTGTGATTTTCACACGATAACTACAAAAATTATAATTTTTGAGAAGTAAACAACAAAAGTGCTCAATTAATCGTGCTGACGAACGAACCTGTATTGTATTTCCCCATCACTATCACTGTCATCAGTAAGCCGAGTGATTAGTCCATCATCGTTGATCACAGTTCTTTTCTCGGCAACATTCTTCTAAAAAATTTTGTAAAGCAATGAAATTCCAAGCAAAGGCACCTTCGGTGAACCATTGTTGGGTGGTCGGAGTCGAACACGAGATGGCTGCCCGGGCCTTCGCAAAGCGGGACGTCCTGGTATCGCGTTGAGATCGGGCTCCTGAATTTGTTATCAATGGATTTGAAGCTTGAAAAACGGTAATTTCGGTAATCGAAATTTTTAAAACTCACTTTAGCGGCAACTTCAGCAAATTGTTGTTTGTGATCCTTTGGTCTCATCAGATCGCTAGTCTCGTCTTCGTTTTCCGTTTCTTCGCCGTTGAAGAATGCCTCGAAATCTAAATTTCCATTTTCTCCTTTGTCAAAAAGCTTTATCATACCTAAAAATTTAAACTTGATTGTCGACTGAAATTTTGCCAACCAAGTGATAAATTTTTCCGGGTTCTTAGACGCCCGGGGTGTGTGTGGAATAATTGGTGGATCAGCAAAGAAAATCCCATATTTACGCGTGCTAATAGTTGGAGTGGTAGACATTAGAAAGCATAGACTTTTACGGGGGAAAATATTCTTGAGAATTGACGACCTAAAAGTCGGAATTGAATTCCCGGTATAAACCCTCGGGGAATTGGAAAAGGGGAAAAAGCCAGAGAAAAAAAAAGGAGTTCGATTCCAACAAGTGTAAGTAGATGAAAGAAAATTTCCGTGAGAGAAACTAGTAAAAAATTCCGGAAGAAGAGCGGAACAAAAAAAAAAGTGGAAAACGCTTTAATTAAGAGCTCAAACGCTATGGCTAACACCGGTGTGTGAAATTGATTATTCACAGAAAGCGGCCGGAGACGCTCATGTATTCATGTCTACCCCAGAAAAAGACCTTTAGAAAAACCGATTCGGATGAGTGATTCTCTCACCTTTTTGAAGTTTGAAAAACAATCGGTTTTACTTGGGTATCAGGGTTTGAAATAGTATTGGGACCCCGTAAAAATTTAAAAACTCAAAATTTTGCTGCAATATTTATTATTTAAAATTGTTGATTAGAGTAAAAAGTAAAAACGCAATTAGAGTAAAAGAATTTCAAACTCGTACCAAGTTTTTGACGATTCGATGCAACGGTCAATGAGTGAGATAGATCTACTTGCAGTGGCTTGTACAAAGTGGCTTCGTTTGTCCCCGGAAGAGCTGTTGAGTCAACTGAAACACAAAAAAATAATTAAATCTGAGAGGTTTGATAAAATAAAACAAAACTAAAACGACTTACTAAATGTTTGATTATCTTGAATGAAAACCACGTGTTTTTGCGGTTGATGAGAAACGGCCCGTACTCGAATCACCTCAACACCCGGAGCACGTGGAGGGCTAAAATTTCACAAATTAAAATTTGAAACTGAAATTGTATTTAGTGAAAGTTGAATAATTGCATATTGAACAATCTATTGTTAAAATTTTGAAATTCCAAAGAATTGAGTGTCTTTTTTTTTGAAAAATGAACAGTTGTTCTGCAGGAAATCCGTTGCAAGCAAAAAGCGTTTCAAAATCGAGAGCTCAAAAACGTGACAGCATTCTCGCATTGAGCAAAAGGCAAGAAAAGTTTAGTTCTTATCTAGGTGCTTGTAACACTTATTCATACACAATTTACATAATTATGTGCTTGGATAAGTTTTATATAGTAATTTTTGAAATTGTACCTGTTCTTTACTTCCGGGACACTTTCGAGTGATTCTAAAATCAAAGAATTGGTGAAAAATTGCAATTGTTAAAAACATTTTTGCAAATATCAAAACAGAATTATTTTAAAATAAATATCTAAACTTATATTAAATCCTCGGCCAATAATGATCGCGGCCATTCGAATGAGTGAAACGACAAATATTTGCCGAAAGCGAGAAGAAATAGAAAGAAATCCCACCAAACCCCAGTGATTTTTTTTCGCTAAGCTTAAGATCTCGAAGTTTTGAACACTGAAGCAAAATCGATGGGATAAGAGACCAAACATTGGAGGCTAACGGGACCAAAAAATTAGAAAATCAATAAAAGTTCAGCAAAAAGCTTTTTTAGCTTTAAGTCACATGTTTTTCGACTATTGAATGGGCGTGAGATTCTATTTTGCTGACTCATCTCAACACCGTTAGAAGAATTAAAGTTGTTTGGTTCAAAAATTTGAACTTTTGAGCGATCATTTAGATCCAAGAATAATTCCCACCTTCTAACGACGACTCATCTCCAATGTGCACATATGTGGTCCTCATTTCTTCTTGACTCAACAAAGCAGCAGCTGAAGCCTCAACATCGTGGCTTTGTCTCCTTTTGAAATCGGGCAATGATGCGAGCTGAAAATTTATAGTATAAAAAAAATAAACTATATCATAACAACAGGAAGATTTATACAATACACATAAAACAACCGAGCACTTAACAATCCTTATTTGTGCAGCTCCATCTTGGGTCTGTTTCATTGCCCTTCTTGTGATTCTTAGTGTTTATGTCTCTCCTCTCACCTCTCTACTGTGCATCAGCGAGGGCAACGATGGCGATGGTGGACAACGAATGACATTTGGCGTTGATCGAATCACATCTGCGCTACCACTTCTAAAATATCAAGCTTTCAATTTGTAGGACAATTTTTAAATATTTGGCCGTAAAAAAACTGCAAAAAGTAAAACCTGTCAGGAAAAGCAATAAACTAACCAATTTTGAGTCTTTCTGACGCCTGAACAACAAGTACCAAAGTTCCTTCATAAGCCGAGCTAATTCTTTGAAAAACAAAAAATCCCATACCTAACCATTCCATTTTTATCCCTGCTTCGTTTCAAATTTCTCCACTTCCACGGTCGCAGAAGTCGTAGCCAAAATTTTGATGTTTTCAAAGAAAAGGGAAACCGTCCACGGTCAGAGTTTCTAAACGAAAAGATAAAGTTGCAATCCTCAAAACAAAAACTTTTGTTGGTGTGGTTGTCCGTCAGTAAAAACACTCATCGTTTTTGACTCTTTACTTGATGACGGTAGCTCATCGCAGGCGTCGATATCTGAAATGATCAAATGTGTACCAGAAGAAGTGAAACCAGGTTTGTTGGTTTGTTTTTAGAAAGGAAATATGTGAAAATCGTTTGTGGAAAAGGTGGAAAAGGGGCTTTACAACAAGCAAATGGCGAATTTAAATAATCGGCTTAACTTTTTCTGTCAAGCAAAGAGTGATAACGGAAAGTCGCACAAAATCATTTTGCCGATTGAATTTTGAACGTTTGATTGTTTAAGACATAAGCGAAATTTTTTGTGTTCGTCATAGTCTGCAACGTAAACAATTTTCGATTTCGATCTCAATTCGATCAAAACATTGAAGAAATTTAGAAAAACGTATTGATTACCAGCGCAAGAATAGAAACGTGAAAAAACAGCAAACGGATGGGATCTCTTGTGGTTGCAAACACTTGTGAACTAGAGGGCGAAAAAAGCACTCGCAAAAGGGCGCACGCTAAAGACAAACAATGCCCATTGCCCACACAGACACTAGCTATTGCCGGAAGTCTCTTCTCGTAAAAACTATCACACTTGAGAAGAAGTTTTACCCAGCTTCCAACAGGGTTGGGTAAAGCTAAAACAAATTTACTTATTGATAAAAGGTTAAATAAAAAACAAACGCAATCTTTTCTCTAGATTGCTAGTTTTAGAGGCGGGTAACAGCAGCTAAAGCAATGAAAACTCAAAACATGAGAATCGAGAAGCTCTCAGGTCAAATAAAAGAAAAGACAAACGTGGTTGACACATGACGGATCGCGATACATCTTGGAAACCCGGAAAAAATGCCTACATGATCAATCTTTCCAATTACAATTGTGTAAAAAGACCTTTCCGCCGCACTTTCAGGCCATAAAATTGGTGGTCAAAGATTGGAGTCTGAGGCTGTCAAAGGGCTTATCAAAGGTCGGTTTGTTTTTGTGTTTAAAAGAACTAATTGGTGAGCCTGTTCAAGTATTATGGCATCAATAAAGTTTCGTGTTGAATTGCAAATGAAAAAAGGAAAACACAAGCAATACTCAAGCACTAATGTTTTTTATTTGCACTAACTTATCGATGAGCAAGTCTGCCTTGAACCCAAAGTCATCAAAAGAGCATCTAATCATAGACTTTCAATTGAAAATGAAAAGTTTAAAAACTTATAGAAAAGAAATGAGAGAGAAAGTGATGCATGCCCCGGAGAATGCCGAAAAACTTGCACAAAACTCAGTGATGTTGACTGAATTCATTTTTCTTTTCCTCTCTAGGATTTTAGGGGCACAAGAGACTTTTGATCTCTCCTCCCTTTTTGCCGATTTCTCTTTTGCGATCGGATTACTGAAGCAATCTGCCCGGGAACACCTGAGCAAGGAGGACGGGTGAAAAAGCGAAAGGGTTAAGAAACAATTTTCCAAGACTTTCCGATTGACCGTTGGAAAAAACCTCGATTTGAGGAGAAAGAGAATTTGAGCGTTTAGGTGCAGACATTTCGAAAAAGAGAGCCAATTTTGCCACGGCCAATTAGGTCTACTTGACAATGATTGACATTTTTTGGTAAATTATATAACTTTGAGATCATTTGTTTGAGTGTACAGCAAGAAAAAGTGCGTAAACTTTTAAAAAGGATGGTAAACGCGAATGGGTAAATAGATAAATTGAAGATTCCTGTGTTTTATGGGTTTAATCAGAGATTGTGGATCAATGAGACGTCAGGATCGCAAAAAGAAAGCCACAAAAGCAAAAGCGGTGGGTGTTGAACAGTTAAGTGTTTGCATTCAATTCAAAATGTTTTTGTTAATTTAACCCCAATAATTCAAATACCTGGAATGCTTTTTGCGGTGGCTGGAATAACTAGGTGAATCGGGCCTCGTGGGGATGACAGCTCTTTAGTCACCGTCTTCTCATCCTTCTCTAAAAATATTGTTTAGGTAGATTAGATTTGTTTTTATTATAAATCAAGTCCATGTTAATTGTAATTAAAATTGTAGTGAAGTTTACTTTGAGTACCGTAAGCTCAACTTAATCAATTTTTAGCAAAAGCGCTAAAAACTCACCATTATTGTGGGTAATACCTTGTGCAAGCCGCTCCCCAATCAGAGCGCTCTCATTGACCATATAGATTTCCCTGAACTTACGGATTTAAGAAAAAAAAAAGCTAAGAAATTGAAAAGGCACAAAGAGAGAAGAGTTCCCCTGGAATAAAAGAGCCGTCAATTGCAACCAAATGTGAATTCTTTTGAAGGCACATGGACTCTGGGGAGCAAGTGATGCCCAAGACAAAGACAAAGACAAACAGCTCACCCCTCCCCATTCTTCTCTTCTACTTTCATAAACCATCGCTTTTTTCACTGACTAGCTTCAGTGCATAGATCCACTACAATTTTTGGTCAAAGATTGAACTAAAGACCGACAGATAATCAAATTTTAGCAAACAACTTTCACCACAAAGAATAAAAACTTTTTTCAATGTTTATTCAAATGTAAGCAGCATTAGTAGGCATGTAAAGCTTAAAAATCTAGAGGGCAACTTTTGCTTGAGCAATCACAATGAATAATTCACCCGTTCCAGAAATGAGTAGTGCATACACAAGTGACATGAATACTATACATAAATAAATCAATGATACAATCCTACTTTCTGAATATAGTCAAGAACGGGATCGACGACGGCGTATTTGATCGATCGACCTTCTTTTATCGCCTTTCGAATCCTCGTCGACGAGACATCACATGGACAAACATCTTCGGTTATGAATTGAACCTGGAAATACAAAAAGTAAGTTTACGTATCTTTTGAATTGTCTTTAAACCACAAAGTTCAACTCTTTTCCTACGTAGTAATTGCCTAAAACGTCGAACGCTTAAAAATGTAAGATGTTTAGTTAAGAGATGGGGCCAATTTAGACAAATTACTTTGAATCGATAATAAAAACGACACTCACCTTTTCTTGATTGTTTCGAAGAAATTCCATCTTATTCAACGTTCCCAACGGATCCGAGTTCTCGCGAGAAATCACAAGGAGTCCATAATCGCTCACAATCGACGAAATATCATTTGGATGCCAAAAGATTCTCACCTAGAAATTTCTTTGAACCATCTTCCTAACACAAACTCACCATTTTCCAATATTCTCGTAAAAGAGTCGACAAGGTCTCCTCCACCAACCAACATCAATCGAACCTCATTACCGTATTTTTCTCTAAAAAAGAAAACATTAAAAAAATAATACCTAAAACTTACTTCGCTTGTTCTTGATGATGTCCAAGGACTTGAAGTGTTCGTGACCAACTTTTCTGCGTGCTCTCCCATCTGAATCAAATGTTAAAAGAACTTTCAACCTCTTATAATATGATACAAGAGTTAGTTAAACTCACCCATCTGCCCGAATCCACGTCGATGTTGCTGCCGCAAGTCGCGTCATTTCTAATCTAAAAGAAATCTTTTTAAAACAAAACCAAAAGCCACAAACCTGTGAGTAGCACTTGCTAGATTGGTTTTTCCGTACGTGTCGGCAACTGGGCTCATGATTCCCTCAACAACTTTGCATCTAAAGGAAAGATTTTTAAAATGGGTTAAACGTTTAAATGCTTTATCTGAGCTTTAGAACTTTATCTTAAATTATGGTGCAGTGAACTTAAACCAAAGATACTAAAACTAAAGCCGGTCTTTCTGTAAGTTAAAAAAAAATCGATACGAATACCAACCCTAATATCATCTCGAGGTGATCGCGAGCAATCTCGAACATTCGTAGATGCATAATCGTTGGCGGATTGAACGAACCGACGCCGAGTAGAACGATCTAAACTAAAAACTCTTTACGGAAAACAGGAAAACTCGTTTACCTTTGTCCCACGTTTCACGAATTCCAAACCGGTCATGTTGTCATGCGAGAAAGTCTGAAAAACAAAATGATTCGATGATTTCAATTTCAAAAGAAAACGATTTTCAAATTAAAAACTTGACACCTAACACCAATAAAAGCAAGACCGTGATTCACAAATTGATGAAAAAAAATCGGAAAGAGATTTTTTTGTCATGCGAGAAAACCTGGAAAAAAATTGATTCGACGATTTCAATTTCAAAAAGAAAACGATTTTAAAATTAAAACCTTGACAAACATGACACTTACACTGACAAACACTTAAAAACACCAATAAAAGCAAGCAAGTGATTCACAATTTAATCAAAAAATCAAGGAGGGTTTTTTGAAGTGAGAACAAAGAACTCATGCCGCGCCTTTTCGTCGCCTCAAACCTAGACTTGGATAAAAACAACAAACTACAACAAAATGACACCCCTATGTGGGGGCATGACAAGGGGTTGGGGTCAATTTTACTACACACACTTCCGTTACTTATGTTTTTAGGCCTTTGAACGGTTTTAACGGGAGTGGGACAAATGCGACCTTTTTTTGCGCACCCGGACATTTGCGCACCTTTTTTTCCGCACTTAGCCCATTAGCGCACATTTTTTCGCGTTTTAAAAAGCTCTAAAAGCTAATATTAACCAATTTCTATTCCAAAAGTTGTTTTTCTAGGTAATTTGAGGGTGTCGAATTCAAATTTTGACATAACAGAGCGTGTGAAACCAATTTGAAAGACAAAACGGCTAGGTCAAAGTACAGAAAGTTGCCGATTTTTCCCTATAACTCCGTCCTTCCTCGTATAACTCCGTCCGTTCGCTTCCACAAGCTCTGATATGCCAAAATTTCGATTCTACGCCCTAAAATTACCTAGAAAAACAACTTTTCGAATAGAAATTGGTTAAAATTAGCTTTTAGAGCTTTTTTAAAACGCGAAAAAAGGTGCGCTAATGGGCTAAGTGCGGAAAAAAAGGTGCGCAAATGTCCGGGTGCGCAAAAAAAGGTAGCATTTGTCCCACTCCCGTTTTAGCTACCATTTTTATACATCTTTTGTCTTTTCTACCACAAATGAAAGATATTTAATCGTTAAAGAAGAAATAAAAGGCTATTCAGCCTAGCAATCTAAATTTGCATTTTTGTCGCGTTTTAAAAATATTGATAAGCTGCCAAATTCAAAGCTACAAGCACACAACTCCATTAAACTTTAGAAAGTAAAAAGCTGTTGACTTTGTTATTTTTTATTTGTTTCAATGTTTGACTTTAGTCTGCCTATAACATTTCCTTATTTTAGCCATCAACATCGACAATGGGCGCCATCTTCTCAAAGAAATCTCGAGCACCGACGCCGATCAAAAACTGTGAAATCACCGAACAGGATCAGGCAATAATTGTAAGTTTTGCCTTTTATTAGTTTTGACAGGATAAGCTTGGCCATGATAACGAGTGTAATAAATGAGCTAACAATAATGCTAGATAACGATCTAGATAGCTTGATAACTTGCTAATTGATAACCACTAGATAACTTGTTGAAGTGTTTAAACTTCTTTAGTCAGACAATCAACTTCTTTAGTCAGACTCACTTATATTTTTATTATTTCAGCGACTGAAGACTCAGCGAGATCGAATCAAGCAGTACATGAAGGGGAAACAAAAATACATGGATAAAGAACGCGAAATGGCCAAACAACTTATTCAAGAGGGCCGAAAAGAGTAAGTTTTTGTTTAAATCTAACTTTTAAAAAAGGAATTAATCTGAGTGATCCATAAAATTTTTAAAAATCGTATCTAATTTTTTATACTGAAAATACCCTTTCAATTCTTTTCAATTCATTCATTTAGCCGTGCTCTAGTTCTACTCAAAAAGAAGAAATATCAGGAGAAAATATTCGACAATCTACTTAAACAACTTCAGAACATCGAACAGATGGTAGTTATTTAGTGATTAATCGTTTTATTTTGGTAATTTTAGGTAAACGATCTCGAATTCGCCCAAATTCAACAACAAGTCGTCAATTGTTTGAGTGACGGAAATGAAGCACTCAAAAATATGAACAAGGTAGCAGTTGTATCCAATTTTTGAATATTTATCTCTGAAGTCTGTAATGGTTTGATTTTAAAGCTTTAAAGTAATCTTGGTTAAACAGGCGAATAAGGCTTTGGCTTTAAATCTATTTATTTGGGTTTATTTTAGTTCCAGTAACCGTATAGAGCACAAATAAAACAAATTTAAGCGCCGGAGCCATGTTTTTAGCAAGAAAACTGCAGAGCTTTACAACGTTTACTTCACGTCTTATGTAGTCAGACCTACACAAAAATTTGCATACAAGCACTAAATTTGTATTTCCAACAGCCTATTCTTGATGAGGAGTTGTACGCAGGGTTGTTCCGCGGTTCTGGATCCACGTTTTAAAAGCAAGCACTCGTTTTCTAAAGTGTGGATATCGCCTTTTTATAGGGGTCCTTTTAAAGCGTGGATCCAGGCCCACGGAACAACCCTGGTTGTGCGGTAGATTGTTTTTCCCCTCGTTTCGTTTTCAATCCCATTTAAATTTGCTTTTATACCATTAATTAAATATACATAATAGCGCAATATATTAAAAGGGAATTTTATAAAGGAATAATTTAACAGAAATTTGCTTTTATACCATTAATCATTATACCAAAAGTTATGGTTTTGTGCGTTTTCTAACAAGTTGCTGTATATGCAAACTTAGTGCTTGTATGCAAATTTTTGTGTAAGACGTGAAGTAAACGTCGTAAAGCTCTGCAGTTTTCTTGCTAAAAACATGGTTTCGGCGCTTAAATTTGTTTTATTTGTGCTCTATACAGTTACTGGAACTAAAATCACCCAAATAAATAGGTTTAAAGCCAAACCCTTATTCGTCTATTTTTCCGTAATCTTTTTCAAACAATTTTCTAATTCAGCTCTTCGACGTCGAAGAAATCGAGAAGATCATGGATGAGACAAAAGAAGCTGCCGAATATCAAGAGGTATGTGTTTTTTTGAAAATAAATTAATCGGCTAATTTTAGGAGATTTCGAACATGCTTTCCGGGAAACTCGATCAAACGGATTTGGCCGATGTCGAGGATGAATTAAACGCTCTTCTAGCAAAAGAGGCCAAAATCGATGAATTGCCAGAAGTCCCGACACATGATATGCCTGAAAGGGAGCGAGAACGAGCAAAAGGTGAGGGTATTTTGAATTTTCATATCAACTATGGGTAAAATTTCTTGAGTAGAAAGCAGTTAATTACCTAAAATGGTTTTAACCTCTAATTTTATCAGAAATCTTGTTATTTATATCTACAAATATCTAAAAATAAAGTAACGATTATAGATAGCTCTTTGTCTTCGAAGTGTTCGTCTCTTAGAGTTGAAAGTTTACCAGTAAAGCTAGAATAACCAAAGCTTGAATTTTTTCATTGATAAATAAGCTGACAAAATTTCCCTTACAGTTCGTATAATGTTATTTTTTTAGAAAAAAGACGAGAAAAAGTGGCTTTGGAGGCGTAACACGATTCATCGACACTCGACTTTGGAGGCGTAATCATCCCAACTTTATCGAATGAATAAATTGTAAGTATTTGTGTGTTTTTTCTTTTCGTGTAGTCTCTGGTTAAACTTTTTATATCTTTTCTAATTGGTGCCTTGTATAAAAGCTTTTTTAACAAAAAAAACGAACCTTACCTTCCTGATGCCCGAAATTTAATTGTTTGATGTTAAATTGCAGTATGATCCTAGTGCAAAATAGAAAACAGTTTTCTTTCGTTGAAGCTAATGAATCAAAATCAGTTTTCGACTTTGCACTAGCAAGTTCTCTATTCATAGTTCTACCATGTGATACTATTTATTTCTATCAATAAAGATTTTAAGCTCAAAAATCGATTTTTTTTTTGCCATAGAAAGGAAGTGATCCAATCGATTTCGACGAGATTTTTGCGAGATCACAAATCCTTTTTTGGGATTAGTGCCGTGAATCACCTAACTAACTCTCTCCACTTTTTTTTTGCCACTATGCGAGATTTTGAACCGGTTTGCGCGATCATATTTTTGTACCACTTGAACCTCAATACTCTTGATACCCCATTCCCACTTTTAATGCTATTCATATTGTATCTATTTATTGATTTTGTTCTATCTGTTGAGAGATCAAAAGTTATCCCACCCGATCCGGAGACTCTTGGACCGTATTTTTGTGGTGGTGACTCGGTTTCTGCATGGAGCTCCTATTTCATGACACTTTCATGTGATCAAAATTCAAGTGAGTTACTTGATTGACAGTTTACAAGCTTTAATTTACATCATAGCTATTACGGTGGCTTTACGTAGTACGATTATGGTAGTTTTCAATGAAAATTGAATGTAGTTTAGTGCTAAATAGAAGTTGGGGCACGATAGATAGCTTTAAATCCAAATTTGAATAAAGTCCGGATACGGTAAAGCCGAAGCAAATTTGAACAAAGTTTAGTGTTGAATATTGAACGGTTTATGGTAGATAGAGGCTTATTTTGAAAGTTGAAGTTTGAAAGTTGAAAGATAAGTACAGAAATTAGCATAAAAATTCAATTCCAGTCAACTCCTGTTGCGCAATTCACGATCAATGCTACTCCACCTGCGCGCTGCCTCAAAGTGAATGCGACGATCAGTTTTGTAATTGCCTTCGCAGTCTGCCCGGTTCATCGTATTGCCGACAACTTGTTCACTCCACTCATTGCTCACTCGTGCAATTCCTCGGGCACAACTACATTTGTCCGGACAAAGCACAGCCGCCATTCAATCCGTTGAAGTCGTTAGAAGCCGAGCACCCACTTCCTCCACCCCTTGCTCGACCCTTTCAAGGACCACCGCCGATACAATTCTATGGAAAAAGTGAATATATGCCTTCTCCGTTAGATCAGCTACAGCCACACCATATGCTGAACTTTCAAGGAGATATGGGTGATCCATACGAATTGCTCTTTTCAATGGCTTCTTCTTTGAATAAGTTTCTTTGTTTATATATTGTTATCGGATTTTGGATTCTCTAGAATTTGATCGGAGCTTTGAATTTGCATTTATTAGTTCAGTGATTATCTACTTGTTCAGTGATCATCTACTTGTTTCTATAGATCTTTAGTCACGGTAAGATAGCTTTTAGGATTACGGTGTCGGTAAGATATTGATTGAATGACTGGTTCAGGTATTTAGGGCCATCTAGAGATATTCTAGATACTTGCAAGCCTGGCTTATCAAGCTATTTCACCAGACTTTAACTCTAGTTTTCTACTATCATAATAATTATATTGGCTCTGTAATTACCGTAGTATTACGTAGTCACTAGTCAGGCTCTGTTACCGTAGTATCACGTAGTCACTAGTCAGGCTCTATTACCGTAGTATTACGTAGTCACTAGTCACATAGTTGAACGTTTATTACAAGGATTACGGTATTTACCAGGGAGAAACAACTCAAATAAGACAGCCTAGTACCGTAATATCTATAGAGTTAGTATATGTCTTTGAGCCATCAATAGATCTAGATATTCAACGTTGAAAAGCTATGGGGATGAAAGGAAAGGTCTCCCTTTGCCCGACTGTGCCCGAGGAGTGTTTGCTTGCGGTGGGGGTAGAGAGAGGTGGACAAGACGAGCCTGGGGGGTCTGCGCGCTTTACTCCCCCGTCCCTTTCCCTAACTCTCACCCCTTTCTCCCTTCAATCAGCCTTCTGACCTCTTTTTTTTTCTATTCTATCGACCATCTATCCCCGTTTCCCGTTTGGATCACCGCCAATTACATAAGCTATTTTTCTTTTGCAGTTTTTTTATTTTTCTTTCAATTCGCCAACCTTGTGGCTGTTTAACGGAGCTTGACTGTAGTGTACATGACTCATAGATTCATGTACATGACTCATAAATTTTGTTTGTACTCTGCTAACTCATAGCTTTTTGTAACTTAGCTAACTTATAGGCTATTTTACATAAGACTTGTGATTATTTAGAACACACTGTACAAATACTATTCCTCTCATACCTTTTATAGACTATCTGATTTAACAATTTTGAAAACAATTTCTAGCGTTCGCTAGAATATTGAACCTAGAATAGAACCTTAAAAATCATTGAATAAGTTCACAAAGTGAATTGGTATTGAAAGAAATGAAAAGCACTTGTCTATTGCCTACTTGTGATGTATTTTCGTTAACGTGTTGAGGAAATAGACACTGTAAATACCCCAGCCCCATAATGACAGTGCGGAGTGTTGCGGGGTCTAGCTTTGAATGCGCTTTTCTCGACACTCGTTTATGCTATAATGCGCGCTTAGGTATCAAAAAATAGCCCTGAATTTCAGCTATTTTTTGATACCAAAGACGCATTTTTGAAAGTACGGGCACTTTAAAAAATGAAATACAAAAAACTTTTGTGACTACGCGACTGTACGAAGGGGGTGGGGTACTATTATAGTATTTACAGTAGTTTATTGAACGCTAAAACATTAGCAAATCTAAATCCAAACCTTAAATCCAGCTTATCAAAGATGTGACTTTATTAATATTTTGCTAAATGTTTGATAAGCTTTTTTGATAAGCTATAGAAATGCTTTTGTCTGATTGAAGTGTAGAAAATAGAAAATGGAAATTTGGCTAACTGCAAATGATAAATATGATACTTAAAAAATAGCTTTTCCTTTTATAAACCTTTTCCTTTTGTAAATCTATTCTTTTCATTTTCATTGTATCTTCGTTTTCCTTATTGATTCACATCTTTTTCCTCGTTTCCATTGAATTTTCTTCAATTTTCTTTTAACTCGCGTTTAAACCGGTTCAAAAATGAATAAAAATATATCAGCTTTCTTTGAAAACACATTTTGAAATTTTTCGACAATGAAATCGATATTTTAGCCGACTTCTCGAGGCCTTGGTTTGAGGGAAATCAACGGTGAAAAGGTTGGTGAAAGATTAAATCTTGCTTAGGCTTTCTAAAGAGTGTCTTGCTATCGTAGCCTTTATAAACGGATTACTGTAGCATTTACTGGGTTTACTGGTTTACTGGATTACTGGATTACTGGATTTGTAAGGTATTTACTGGGTTTGTAAGGCGGATTACTGGATTTGGAAGGTATTTACTGGATTTGTAAGGCATTTACTGGATTTGTAAGGCATTTACTGAATTTGTAAGGCATTTACTGGATTTGTAAGGTATTTACTGGATTTGTAAGGCATTTACTGGATTTGTAAGGCATTTACTAGGTTTGGAAGGCATTTACTAGGTTTGTAAGGCATTTACTGGGTTTGTAAGGGGATCACTGGATTTGTAAGACATTTACTGGATTTGTAAGGCGGATTACTGGATTTGGAAGGTATTTACTGGATTTGTAAGGCCTTTACTGGATTTGTAAGGTTTAAAGCAACCAACCAGAGTTCGTTAAATCGTGCTTAGGCTTTCTAAAGATGCCTGTTCGGTAAGATACCTGATAAAAATGAATTACTGTAACATTTACAAACGATTACGGTAGGTATCCACTTGTTAATGCCATGTCAAAGTACAGTATTTTGCGTAGATATTAATGTATCAAAAACCTTTAAAACTATTCAAAAATTGCACCCAACTGGCAGCTGTTCGATTAATTTATCTCCGATTTTCACGGTTCACACTTTTTTGTGTGTGTTGGTCGGTCAAAAAGCAATCCCCTTTTACCTCATTTACACGAATGAGCAACACACACACACCTGTCCTTTGCATTCGCCTTTGTCCCGACCCGATACCTGTCTTTTGCATTCGCCTTTGTCCCGATACCTGATCCATTCATCAGGATCCCCTTTTTTTGTGTACTTGACTGACATAGATACAACATGTTTAGCCTTTTTCTATTAGAAATTATATCTTAACCTCAAAAACCGACTCGCACACTTTGCATACTTCAACTCCATGCTTGAAAACAAGCAAAAGTGAAAGCAAAAAAGTTTGGAACACACGGGAATCGAAGCCGGCACTCTCTTAAGGCAATCGTTTTGTAGACAAGACGCTAACCACTTCGGCCACGCTCTCATAGACGGCTGAGGGGGGAAAAGGGCATAATTTGAGCGATTTTTAAACTTTTTAAAATAGTGAACTATGAAATTTTCTTTTTTTTGAGGCAACGTCACCATGATATTACTAATCTAATAAAGCGCACCCTTCAATTTACGCGCCGAGAAAACCGCGTGCGACGGACAGGCAAACATTTCTCTTTTATATATAGTAGATTCTTTGAAATAGCTGAAATAGCTGAAATAGTGCACCAGAAGGCTAGCGTTTACGTTGTAGACTTGGTCTACAACGTATTCTGGACGAAATCTTGAATTGATATAAGAGTTCTGGATATCACGCGAGATTTTGCGGCTGTTAGAAAAGCGATTTGATGCCGTTGGGCATACAATGATTAAAGTACTGAGTTTGAGCTTAGAAAATTGAAAAAATGGAGATTCTGCACGAAATCTTGAATTGATATAAGAGTTCTGGATATCACGCGAGATTTTGCGGCTGTTAGGAAAGCGATTTGATGCCGTTGGGCACACACCTTGTCACACCCTTTCTGGTGGCTCCGATTTGTGATTTTTGCTCGCAAAACGCTTGATTTCACGAGTAAAATGCAGATTTCAATGCACCAAAAGGGGTGCGTTTAGTGCATATAAAGCTATTCGCGTATAAAGTGCATAAAACTTCTCTAAAAAACCCTTTCTCCATATTGATTTCGCTGCATTTCCCTCAAATTTTTTTGCAAAGTTCAGCTCGATTTTTACGTGGACCAATTATATTTGACACGCTTTTTTTTCAACCAAACATTAACGAGAAAATTTCCAATCTCCAAATTTCCAATTTTTAACGACCAACAATTCTTTTTTGAACTCCCAAATCAATTAGTGTAAAAAAAGATTTATCTTATAAAATAAAGTTACCGTAATCCCTACAATAGACAGCCATTTGTGTCTCGTTTCTCAACGCATCCTACATTCTTTTTGTGTGCCCTATCTACAGTAAGCTCCGAATTTTCAAAAACGGAGTAGGCTAATTTCCGCAATTTTTTGTTTGTTTGCGCAACTCGCCATAACTTTCTTCTAGATTGGCCAATCTTTATGATTTTGGTTTCATTTTGTAGATTTCAATAAGTGTAACAAAATGACACTAAAAGCATAAAGATTGACCAATCTAGAACAAAGTTATAGCGAGTTGCGCAAACGACCTAGCGGAAATTAGCCTACCTTGCGCAACTAGCCATAACTTTCTTCCAAGTAAACCAATCTTTATGCTTTTAGTGTCATTTTGTTGCACTTATTGAGATCTACAAAATGAAACCAAAATCATAAAGATTGACCAATCTAGAAGAAAGTTATGGCGAGTTGCGCAAACAAACAAAAAATTGCGGAAATTAGCCTACTCTCAAATTGTGTTTCAAATAGAGTGTGTTCCTCGCGAGTAAGTAAATCATTGCAATAAATCGAGTAAATTTGCATGAGTAATTTTTTACTCGAGTAATTGTCGAGTAATGCGTTTTCTAAAAAGTGTGCCTACGCGAAAAAAATCTAAAAGCAATTGGTCTAGAAAATCTACTGGATTTTCTGGATCTATTGGATTACTGTAGCTTTAATCTAAAGCGATTTAACTAAATTTTTAAACTTACATCAAAATTTCGCTCATTTCCTTTCATTTTACGATTTTTTTTCCTCCTTTTGATCGTTTTTCTGAAATTTTTTCTGAAAAAAGAAAAAAGATAAGAAATCTATAAGCATTCACGCCAAAAAATGAGTTTTATTTGCGCTTTGATATCGTTTTTTTTCACTTTTCTCTTTCGTATCAATCTGAATCACTTCATCCATCTATTTTCTGATTTAAGAACTGTTTTTGGGAACTTTTTTTGCTTAAAATCGATTAAAATCGATTGAGAACTAGTTTTTAGCTAAAAAGAAGCTTTCTTTCAAAACCAGCTTTATATTTCTATCAATTTTAAGCAATTTTAATCAATTTTAATTGATTTTGATCGATTTTGATCGATTTTGATCAATTTTGATCAATTTTAGTCAATTTTAATCAATTTTGAATCAATTTTGAATCAATTTGAAACAATTTGAATAAATTTTGAATCAATTTGAATCGATTTGAATCGATTTTAATCGATTTTAATCAATTTTAAGCAATTTTAAGCAATTTTAAGCAATTTTAATCGATTTTAGTCAATTTTAGTCAATTTTAGTCAATTTTAATCACTTTTAGTCAATTTTAGTCAATTTTAAGCAATTTTAAGCAGTTTTAAGCAATTTGAATCAATTTTAAGCAATTTTAATCAATTTTAATCAATTTTAATCAATTTTAGTCAATTTTAATCAAGTTTTGATCAATTTTAATCAATTTTAATCAATTTTAATCAATTTTAATCAATTTTAGTCAATTTTAATCAATTTTAATCCATTTTTAGTCAATTTTAACCTACTTTAATCCAATTTTAATCCAATTTTAATCGATTTTAATCAATTTTAACCAATTTTAACCAATTTTAATCAATTTTAAGCAACAAAAATCTTTCTGAAACCTGATCTGTTAGCTCTTTTTCACTTTTTCTTTTGTTTTTTTTCACAAAAATTCCCCTGATCAACGAATTTCTAAACAATTGATCACAATAAAAGAAATTCTTCGCTAATTTTATTTGATCTTCTCTTCAATCTGTACTTTATGCTTAAATTTGTAAACGCATTCTTTCTAGTGCACTGAATTTCTTTCCAGTCCATTCTTTCCAATCCCTTATTTTCTTGTTTCATCGAAGCGTTTCTACAAGAAAATGAATCATCCAGTGCGCCAGAAAGGATGCGTTCATAGGTTTACAGACCAAAGTGTACTTTGTGCTTGAAAACGTTTAAACGTAGTCGATCTGGTGCACTTAAAACCTTGCACTTAAGCATTTAAATCTCAAAATTCTTTGACTCATCTTCTTTTTGATGCTCAAAATGGTTGTTTTGATGAAACGATCATCTCCGTTTTCGCCCCCCGACAAAACACGTGGAATTTTGATTCAAAAACTTATGAACACATCGATATTTTGTTAAAGCTCAAGTCGATATCCATTTGCTTGTCATTTCTAATGTACTTTGTGCAGAAAATCTGTAAACAAACCCTCTCTAGCGCACACAAATCATCATTTTTCTTGCAGTAGATTCTTGCAGTACTTTCTGGCAGTAGATTCTTGCAGTACTTTCTTTTAGCACTTTCTTTTAGCACTTTCTTTTAGCAATTTCTTTTTGCAATTTCTTGTAGAAGGCGTAGAAAATCAGAAACCCAATGCGCTAGAAAGGGTTCGTTCACAGATTTAAGCACAAAGTACGCAAGCCTAACTTTTCAATCGATTTCCTGATTTGCCTAGTTTTCCGGCGGGAAATTTGCATTTCTTTTTCGAGAGCAGTCTCTTTTTCTCGATTTTTCACAATTCCAGTTTTAAAACGGGACAGTTGCGCCAAGTTTTTGTCTTTTGTAAACCAATATTTGTCTTTTAGTCGTCTTTTGAAACATTTTATAAACGGCAGTGTTCAGTTTTGTTTTTTTGTTTCCTGTTTGAAAGGATTTACTAGATATAAAAGAGTAGTGTCTGTCTGCTTGTCTGTATGTCTGTTTGTCTGTTGCTTTCCCTTACATTCTGAATTGATCTAAAGATTTAAATAAAAAGAAAAAATCCTTTTCTCGGATGCTTGGTGCGCGAGAACCCAAAGACTTCAATGCCACCGGGAACGGTAGCTTTTAAAACCAAAGCACAAGGGTCAGTTGTAACAGCTAGATTAAAATTCTAGATTTGGAGGGAGGACATTTGGGTATAGTGACGCCGAAAAATGGCGAAAGCTCAGCCCCAAAGAAAGCCCATAAAGGGAGGATAGAAGCCGGCGAAGAAGCGACCGTTCGGTCTGTTCAAATGCCGCAGTGCCAGAGCTGTGGTCTCTTGGGCAAAAGGTGGGGGGTTCGATCCCGCCTGGAGCATTTCGTTTTTGATTCTTCGAAGAAAGAATATTTCAAGATGAGCTGAGACCAGAAAATTTGTAGCCGGGGTTTTCGGGCGTTCTATCCTCCCTTTATGGGCTTTCTTTGGGGCTGAGCTTTCGCCGTTTTTCGGCGTCACTATACCTAAATCACTTAACTCCCTCTAGAGCAAAGGAAATCGACTGCGTTGTGGTGTAATGGTTAGCACCGTTGCCCGGTAAGCGGAAGGTCCGGGGTTCGGGTTCCGCCGAGAATTTTTTGAGCTGTCCTCCTTCCAAATCGGGGTCGGCGAATTGATGATCATTATTTCTTTATGATGTACTTTGAGCTTAAATCTGTAGCCTTTCTAGCCCTTAATTTCTTAACTCAATAAAGATCAAGAGATCCAAGGTACAAAAAAATGTTTTTTTTTGGTTTGAATTTTAATGAAATTAAATAAAAAATTGAAATTTAATTGAAGAAAAAAAAATTGATAAAGATTTAAAGTAAATACAAAATTTTGTGTCGAAAAATGTTTTGGAAATGATTTTTTTTCTGGAAATCATTTCTGCTATCATTTTCTTATTGACAAAGTGGGTGGGTGAAACAGGGGAAATGATGAATCATTTCTTGGAACTAAGTGAATGAGTAAAAGGGGGCTTACTTAAACTTAAACATCAATTACTCATTACTTAAACATCAATTTTACTATTTCTAAAATATTTAATATCTATTTATTAGATTTATTCATCAATATTTTCTATAATATTTCTTTTTTTTCACTATTTTTCACTTTCACTTCTGTAAATTTCAATTATGAAATTCTCTAGAATGAAAAAGAATATTGAGCGAAGGAGCTCCTATTTGACTTCACTTTCAAACAATAACAATATGAATTTGAATAATAATGGAGAAGCTGGAGTTTATGGTGAGTGCAGAGAAGGTATATTTAAAGTTTAACTATCGATGAAGTGCAATGATCAAATGGTTGAGAGTCTTGTATCCTAGTTGAGAGCTCACGGGTTCGATCCAGCTAGATCCCAGCTGTTAGATCCTAGCTGCTAGATCCAAGCTGCTAGATCTGAGCTGTTAGATCTGAGCTGTTAGATCTCAACTGTTAGATCTCTGCTGCTAGATCCAAGCTGTTAGATCTCAGCTGTTAGATCTCAGCTGCTAGATCCTAGCTGCTAGACCCTAGCTGTTAGATCCTAGCTGCTACCTTTTTTCCCATAACTTTTCTTTGCAACATCTTTAGGGCAGGTTTTTTATTGGGTTATCTTTGGTTATATTTGGTTATGTCACACTATTCATATTGAAATGAATACTTTCTGGATTGGATTGGATTGTGGATTAGATTTTTCATAGTTTGGGATTTGAAATGGCTTCCTTAGTTTCGTTCAAATAGGAATTGTGGCTGGTGAAGGCAAGCTAGGTATTATTGCATTTTAAGCGAAACTACTAAGTGTATCTTTCTGAAAATTTGGATATAAGCTTGATTTTTGATTCTCTACAACTTTTCCATTGACACCAAAATGGGTTTCTTTTGAAGAAAGTGCTCAAACTGTCACATATGACAATAACCGGCAGTTTTCAATTCACCAACCCAATATATTGACTATTTTAACGATCATTTGATGCAGAATGAAATTGGAATGACACCAAAAACAACTTAAAATATAATATTCATGCAAAATGAAATATTGGTCAAAATACGGCTGAAAAAATGCCCGTACAGTAAGGCAGACAGAAAGACAGACAGAAAGACAGACAGATACCGTACCCCCCTCCCCCTCCTTTTCCGCCATATCATTTGTGAAAATTCGTAAATTTGACATTTCTTGAAAACCAGTTTTTGAATCGTTCTGAAAATTTGGATCTAAGCTTGATTTTTGATTCTCTACAACTTTTCCATTGACACCAAAATGGGTTTCTTTTGAAGAAAGTGCTCAAACTGACAATCGCCCGCAGTTTTCACTTCATCAACCCAATAGTTCTGGTTTTGAGCCTATCTTGATCTACATTCTTGATGATTGTGTTGACGGAGCTTCTCTTCAGACCCATTTTCTGTGCCACCAGCCGATTGGTTAGGGTTTAATCTTAGACGATCGCGTACTTTCTTGACATTAGCCGGAGTAACCGAAGAGAAGTGCTCAAACTGTGACCCTTCTAGAAAGTGCTCAAACTGTCACATATGACAATAGCTGGCAGTTTTCAATTCACCAACCCAATAACCAATCTACCTGACCAATTGGAGAGTTTAACTTCGTCAAACGAGCATTATTTAACATCCAAAAACATGATGAACTCAAAAAGTTCATTAAAAAACTGAATTTTAAGTTAAACTAATAGAAAAACTAATAGAAAAACTGTTAATTTATATAAAGATTATTGAAAATTTTAATTTTTAGAGAAGAACTCTCGCCGGAAATCAATTCAACCGTCGCCTGGTGGACTCATCACTCCGATTGTTCAGCTAAAAGACGAAAAAGAACGATCAAACAATAGTAGAAGGTAGATTTCTTATGTATTTAAATAAAATCACTAGAGATTTCACTATTTTCCCTTTTTAAAATACAAATCTATAAATCTATTAAGCCAAATAGCCCGTCAACGCTTTAGAAAGCTCGGCAAGAGGTTTCTCTTTCATTTCTCTTTCTTTTATCTTTATTTATCTTTCTTTTATCTTTCTTTTTTTGTTGAGAATTATGAAATCTATTACTACTTTTAGAAACTCGATCACAGCTTTCTTTTTCCCGTCAAAAGATTCTGAGAACACATTGATTGAGAGCACAAGAAAGGGAAAAACTTCACTCTTTGAGGAGGAAACGTTTGGAAACGGTTTGGTTTTAAGAATTCTTGAAAGATTCAGATTTTTATGATCATTTCTAGAATAGGATTCTTTACGATAAACTTATGAAAGCTTATGTTTAATGAAAGCTTATGTTTCATTATTTCATTGTTTCATCTGTTTAAACTTGAAAATTCGATTTACCAGTAACTCCAATAAGATCTAAACTTGAAAATTCGATTTACCAGTAACCCTCTGGACTTTCAATCGATCAATATTCAACCAAACTATTGAGCTATTCGATCTATTGCATTTCTGATACCTAATAGCGTCAAGATCAAGCTGCTAATCAAGCTTCTAACCAAGCTTCTAACCAAGCTGCTAACCAAGCTGCTAACCAAGCTATAGTCTAAACTTAAACTTTTAAAAAACTATCAGAGTTGCTATCTAAATTATAGAAAAAGAACAACAAAACAAAAAGCTGTATAGAGTTTAGCTTGCATAAAACCCGATTTTAATCAGGTTGGGCTAGTAAATGAACGTATTTAGTATATTTGAATGGTATTTAGTAATTAATTGGTATCTAGTTTATTTTTCTAGATATTTAAACAAAAAAGCCGCATCAGGGATCGAACCCGGGCCCTGCGAGCGACAGCCCAGCGCCCTATCCACTCGGCCATCAAGGTCTAGAGTTAGCAACCAAAATCTGCGTAATGACTTCCTAGGCGAACTTCAATCGAAAATTTGGCGTCGTAGACGTTTAAACGAATGCTTTAAGGAGCTTCTTTCTCGCCAGCCCGAAGTACTTTGGTGGCCTAGTGGATAACACATTAGGCCACCGATCAGAGGATCCTGGTTCGGCCCCGGACTCAGCTTTTCATTTTCGTTTTTCTTTTGGAAAAACCTCTAGATTGAATTTTCGATTGAAGACGCGCCTAGAAAGTGATTTGGCAGATTTTGATTTGGGATTGAGATTTGGATTTCTTATACTCGATTCCACAAAGGCTCACCTTGAGTTCGTGCCTTTCGCTAGCCAGCCTTACCTGGTCAATCTCTCCCTAGTCAGTCTCTCCCTAGCCAGCCTCTCCCCAGTCAGCCTCTCCCCCCACAACCAGTCCTTCACATCGTCTCCTCCTTCTCTTTTTATCTTCTTTTTCCCAATCTATATTTCTTCTTTTCATTCAAATACCTTTCTCTTCTTTTCCTCGATTTTTTTATTTGCCACACTCGTTTCCCCAACCGATATTTGCCCTTGTTTTCGATACACAACCACAATTCTTCAGCAATTCATTCAATTTTCTTTCATTATTTCATTAAACTGCATATAAACTAAATAAATTTAAAGAAATTTAAAGAAATTTAAAGAAATTTAAAGAAATTTAAAGAAATTTAAAGAAATTTAAAATATTATACAGTACTTTTAATATTTAAAATATTAAAAGTATAAGTATGATTACAAGGTTGTAACATTTATTGAATTGATTTATTGTTTTAAGATTAAACATTTATTGATTTAAGGAAATGATTGATTTTTGATTGATGATGATTTTTATTCCTTGCTAAAGGATATTTGCCCTTGTTTTTGATACATAACCACAATTCTTCAGCAATTCTTCAACAATTAATAATAATACTTTATTCAAACGATAAAGTGAAAGAAATCATTGAGAAATGCACAGTGATACTTAATCATACAATACATACTGAAATCAATAAGCCAATTACTTACGGCAAAGAGCCACTAGATCTAAAGCATCGATACGTTTCTTGAATATGAAAAGCGACTGAATTTCTCGTATGTCGTTTGGGAGCAAGTTCCATAATCTAGCGGCTCTAACGGGAAATGAATTTGATAAAGAGGCATTGGAAGCAAAGGGAATTTGCAAAAGGAATGAGCCACTTCTGGGCCCTGACCGCGGTTTAAATTTGAAAAAGTCTATAAACAAAGGGCTAATCTGTTTACAACGGAGGATTTTGAAAGTTTCGACTAAATCAATGACAAAGCGACGATACTGTAAAGTTTTTAGTTCAAAAAAAGATTCAATTGATTCAATTTTCTTTCATTATTTCATTATTTCATTCAATTTTTCATATAAACTAAAAAAATTTAAAGAAATCTTTAAAGAAAATTTAAAATATTATACAGGGTGCAGTTGTGGGGCTGTTTTTGGTAAAATTTCAGTTTAAATAAACCTAAACCTAAAACAACCTTGTAACCATACTTATATGGTTAAAAGGTTGTTTTAGGTTTAGGTTTAGGTTTAGGTTTATTTAAGAAACGGATTGATTTTTATTTCTTGCAAAAGGGTTAATTTTTTTCTTAGTACAGGAGAAAATTGTAGGACTGTTTTTGGTTAAATTTCAGTTTTTTTAGACATTTCAAAGGTTTTCTAAGAATTTCAGTCGAAATTTTGAATGTTTTATTTGTTTTCTGAAAAAGTTTTGCCAAAAATTGAATCATTGTCAAATTTTTCGGTTTTAATTCTCTTTTTGTTTCTTTTTTTTGTTTCTTTTGTTTCTTTTGTTTTGTTTCTCTTTTTTTCTTTCTTTCTCTTTCTTTCTCTTTCTTTCTCTTTCTTTTCTTTCTTTCTTTCTTTCTCTTTCTTTTCTTTCTTTCTCTTTCTTTCTCTTTCTTTTCTTTCTTTCATTTCTTTCATTTCTTTCTTTCATTTCTTTCATTCTTTCTTTTCTTTCTCTTTCTTCCTTTCTTTTCTTTCTTTCTTTTCTTTCTTTCTTTTCTTTCTTTCTTTTCTTTTCCTTCCTTTTCTTTCTCTTTTTTTGACACAAAGCACTTGCCAATTTCTCTAAATTTTACAAAAACTCGTCTACTTTATGCTCAAATTTCTAAACGCAACCTTCTAGTGTACTCGATTTGTTATTTTTCCCAAGAAAAATGAAATTAAGTGCCGAAGAAAGGATGATTTCTGTTCTGAGTTGTTTCTAATTTCTGTTCTGAGTTGACAGAAATTAGATGAAAGTACATTCAAAGAACAGAGCTCATTTTCGTTTTTGGATTTCGTTTTTGGATTTTCATTTTATTCTAAATTTCCAGATTCTTTTTTTTTCAATTCTCGTTATTTTTATAAAATCTCTTCCATATTCTTTCTTTTCTTTTCCTTTTTTGTACAATCATCCTTTTCTGATTCTCTTTCTGATTCTCTTTCCCATTCCCTTTTTTGCCTTTTGCCTTGTTTCACTCCATGGATTTCGCAATTTCAAAACTCATTTTCCTCTTTTTTGAGCCGTTTTACCATTCATTCTTTCAAAATCATCATTCAAAATAGCTAAAAGCCATTTATTACTTAAAAAAAATCGAAATTTTAAACTTTTACAGAATCTAAATAAAAAAAGAGCTTAAAAATGTAAACACAAACTTTCTAAAGCACTGAAAGCTTGATTTTTCTTCCATAAAATGAAAACAAATAGCACTCAGCGCACTAGAAAAGATGCGTTTATAGATTTGAGTTGAAAGAAAAAGCCTTTCCTTATCGATGATTTTTTTTGTTTCTTTTTTTTTGTTTTGACTATTTCTCAAGAATTTCTGATGGAATCGCAGAAATTTTTTTAAAATATTCAATTATTAATATTAGATTTGAATTCTTTGCATTCAAATGGTGACAGTTTCCCGTTCTCATTCGACTCAAAAGAATGCGAATCACAAAGTGAGACGGCACTCACTGGGCCCCTGTTGTCGAGCGCCGCTCGGTCGACAACTCTCAATCCCCTATGGCTTTGCGGCGGTGAAGGATTCGGCGCCCGGGGCACCCAGTAAGGCATCTAGTTTCATTCTCGTTAAAAGGCGGAGCTTTCAAGCTTTCAAATGATACCAAATAAGCTCAGGATCCACCAAATTCAGATTAGACTCAGGAATCTCGAGAAAATCAAGCGACAAAACTCCGATCATGCTAAATTTAAGCTAAATTTAGTCAAATTCAGTCAAATTCAGCGAAATTTAGTCAAATTCAGTCAAATTCAGCGAAATTCAGCGAAATTCAGCTAAAATTCAGTCAAATTCAGCTAAATTCAAACCAAATTCAGCGAAATTCAGTCAAATTTAGTCAAATTCAGTCAAATTTAGCGAAATTCAGTCAAAATCAGTCAAATTCAGCTAAATTTAAGCCAAATTCAGCGAAATTCAGTCAAATTCAGTCAAATTCAGTTAAATTGAGCTAAATTTAAGCAAAAAAGGAGCTATTCAGCTTGAGATTCGTTCTTTCGGCATCGCCAATCGATTGGTGCTATTCATTTTAGTGAGACCACCAATTGGCAAACGGATTTCATTGATTTAGTTGTTTTAAACAATTAAATAGACAATTGGATAGCTTTAGACAACTAGAAACCATTTTAACAATGAAATTCTCTTTCTTAAACACCTTTTCCTTAAAAAGAAAGATCAAAAAAAAAACTGGTAGGGAGCGTAAAAGCTGACAAAAAGAAAGCGATTCAAGAATTTCTTTTTAGAGTGCGACTATTTGTGCATTGAGGGTCCATCAAGCTCTCTTCAATCACCAATCGTTTTTGAAAAAGGTATTCAATTAAAGGAATAGTCCAATAGCTCTTAAATAGTTAAATTCTCAGCTTTATGTTCGACATTTTCAAAATTATTTGAACAACTTTTAGAAAAGTAGTTTTTCCATTTTTAATCTATTTCAAAGTATCAATTGTTATATATATAATTGTAGCCCTAATTCTCAGCTACATTTCTATACTAAAAACTTTGCAATTAGATGGATACAGCTCATTTAACAAGCGTTTGAATGAGCATGAGACAGGGATCGACTAGTGCTCATTCAAACCCTTGTTAAATGAGCTGTATCCATCTGATTGCAAAGTTTTTAGTATAGAAATGTAGCTGAGAATTAGGCTACAAATCTATATATAACAATTAATCCTTGAGATAGATTAATGATTCAAAAACTACTTTTCCAAAAAGTTGTCCGAATTGAGACATAGCCAAAAAAGCCATCTAGCCAAAAAGACAAGGAAAAGAGGGAAAATTGGCTTGGCTTTGCTTTGCAGCAAGTTGTTCATCATATTTTCCAGTCCGTCGCGGTTCCCGGTCTTCCACCTCCAATTCTTCATATTCTCTTTTTCACTCATCCGCTGGCCCGATTCTTTCCACTGTTGGCGCCACTCTTTCAGCTGATGCTCCGCGCTGGATGGGACGAGGAGCAATGCGGGTAGAGGATTTCAATTCATTCTAATGGTATTCGAATAGTATTCTAATAGTATATTCCAATAGAAAGCCATCTGCTCGTACAGTCGCGTAGCCATCTTTTTAGAAAATAATTTTTCTCAGCTTCTAGACTTTTTCCATGCTTTTGATATCAAAAGTACTAGATTTCAAGAGCTATCTTTGACAGCGTACATGTACATTGTAGTACTGGATGTACATTGTAGTACATCAGTACATCGTACATTCATTGTAGCTTAAAGTAGTGCGGAGACAAGGCCGTAAGATCCAAAATACAAGCATACGGGAACCAGTCGTGACTTATCGTTAGACAGTAATAAAGAATGAAGAATTCAATAAGATACAGTAATCCAGTAAGATACATTAGTCCAATAGTTCACTAAGCTACAGTAATCCAGTAGGACTCAGTAATCCAGTAGGACTCAGTAGTCCAGTAGGACTCAGTAGTCCAGTAGGACTCAGTAGTCCAGTAGTTCCAGTAGCACAGTAACCCAGTAGCTCAATAAAATAAAGCCCAATCAGATACAGTCCCTCAAGAATCCAAAAAGATCCACTACAAACCCAGAAAATCTTCAGGTAGTTGTTGTCGGCGCAAAGCGTTGCGGAAAAACATCGATCCTTCGACAAGTGGCTTGTCTCGAGGATGCCACGAAAATGCCATACATGCCGACTTTAGATGACACTTATCAAGTGTTATTAGAAGAAGCGGATCGACCCAGAGAAATCCTTGTCTTCCACGATACAGCCGGCATCCCAGAGTATGGGCCGATCGAGTTGAGAAGGCCATATATACAAGTGAAAGCTATCTATTTGTCTTTTAATTTTCAAAGATTTTCTAGGTCGCTGATGCATTCGTTTTGGTTTATTCCGTCAATGATCATGAGTCGTTCAATCGAATGGATTTACTCAAGAAATTCATCGAGAAACAATTCGGAAAAGAGAAGAAAGAGGTTTGGTTTGGGTTTTGGAGTTTGGAATACTTCTAAATCTAGGTTCCAATCGTCGTTTTGGGTACAATGTGCGATTTGCCTGGGCGAAAAGTCGATGCTGAATTCGCGCAAGCTTGGGCACAAAGGGAAAGGGGTTTGTTTTAGTGATTGCTTGGGAATTTAAAGTCTAAGACTCACAATTGAATGCTCACAATTGAATACTTTTAATTCTAGAATATTCTTGAACTTACAACTTACTTTAACACGTACTTTGTTCTCAAGAAACGCACAATTTTTGGCACACAGCATTGTCCAGTTTGTCAGCTGTACTTTGTGCTGTACAAACGCACACCATCTGGTATACTTATTTTGGAAGCCGGGAAGTAGCCTAGGAAATGGGAAACAAAGTAATATCATGCGTTTTCATAAGGATAACTCCTACTGTGGATTAGAAAGCTTTAGAGCACAAAGTACACTTCTACAAAGCACCAGAAACCGTGCGATTACAAAGCACAAAGTACACTTCCGAATTTCCTAACTAGTTGCAGAAGTTGAAACAAAAAACAAAACAAAAAGCTGCACCAGGGATCGAACCCTGATTCTGTGAGTGGAAGCCTATCGCGTTATCCACTAGGCCACCAACGCCCCTAGCCTCGCCTAGGAAGAAGCCTTTTAAGGCATCAGCCCAGATGCACTTTAGCTTTCCCTTTAACAATCCGTAAGGCGGACACTTTAGAAGGCTTCTTTCTATCGGGTGAAAGGTACGTTGGTGGCCTAGTGGATAACGCCTTAGGCTTCCACCCACAGGACCCAGGTTCGTTCCCGGATGCAGCTTTTTGTTTCTTTTTTGACGTCAAATTTTCGATGGAAATTTTACACGCCTGGAAAGTCATTTGGTTGATTTTGATCTCACTTTCGAATTCCTCATAGCCGATCATCTGCATTAGTAAACTCGAATCGTTTTCAGTGCGCCTCTTCGAGGTGACGTCAACCGATCGGAGCACGCTCGTCGATTTCGTTCAATACCTTGGACAAAGGCATTTCCATCCGCAAAGTGAGTTTTTTATTTTCAATTCAATTTTTCAAATTCCCTATTTTCAGAAGATTCTCTGAAGTTTTCGCTCTCGAAAAAGCTCAAATCGGAAAAGTCGAATCCGGCGATATTGATGGATTTCTAGAGAAATCCCGGAGAAATCATTTTTGATTTCACACTTTAACGCCTATAACTTTTCTTAGAAACAATATAATTCTAAGCTTTTGATATCATTGAAAAGAGGAGATTTCAGGCTTTCAAATGATACTAAATAAAGCTTGATTCGAGGTTTTTAAGTCTTACGAAAACCGCACCGAAGTTGGGGTATTTTTTTTAAATGAAACGTCAACCTTTGAAAGCCTATAACTTTTCTTAGAAATAATATTATTCTAAGCTTTTAATATCATTAAAAAGAGAAGATTTCAGGCTTTCAAATAATAGCAAATACAGCTAATAATATAAAATTGGGGAAATCTAATCGTGGAAATGGTAAACGCTTCGAGGAAAAGGTAAAAGCTTCGCTTTGAGGTCAATCCAACTTCGGTGCGGTTTTCGTAAGAATTAAAAACCTCAAATCAAGCTCTATTTGGTATCATTTGAAAGCCTGAAAGATCCTCTTTTCAATGATATTAAAAGCTTAGAATTATATTGTTTCTAAGAAAAGTTATAGGCTTTCAAAGGTTGATGATTCATTTAAAATGCCCATCTAGAGTCATTTTTTTTCTTCACTTGAACAACCGGTACTTCAAATTATCACAAATTATTTAAAAATCAAGATTTCTTCTTTAATTTGCTTGTTTTTAAAGAAATCTAGTGTCTTATTCAATATAAAATTTGTTTTTTTTTAAAAATCAGGAAAAGCGATGGTTCTTGTCATTTTAACATGTAAAATTGAAAATTTCACCAAAAAAATTTGCATATTTTCGATTAGCATTCAATTTTGTCGAGTTTTCCTTTTGATTTTGGTGTATTTTTGTGGATTTTTGAGTGTTTTTGGGGAGTGGGACAAATGCGACCTTTTTTTTTTGCGCACCCGGACATTTGCGCACCTTTTTTTCCGCACTTAGCCCATTAGCGCACCTTTTTTCGCGTTTTAAAAAAGCTCTAAAAGCAAAAAAGCTAATATTAACCAATTTCTATTCCAAAAGTTGTTTTTCTAGGTAATTTGAGGGCGTAGAATCGAAATTTTGACATAACAGAGCGTGTGGAACCAACCAACCAACCAAAACAAGACAAAACGGCTAGATCAAAATACAGAAAATTGTACAGAAAGAAAATTGTGTTTTCTCTTTGTATAACTCCGTCCGTTTGCTTCCACAAGCTCTGATATGTCAAAATTTCGATTCTACGCCCTAAAATTACCTAGAAAAACAACTTTTGGAATAGAAATTGGTTAATATTAGCTTTTAGAGCTTTTTTAAAACGCGAAAAAAGGTGCGCTAATGGGCTAAGTGCGGAAAAAAACGTGCGCAAATGTCCGGGTGCGCAAAAAAAAGGTCGCATTTGTCTCACTCCCATTTTTGTGTATTTTTGAGTGTTTTTGAGAGTAAATTTATTCTTAAAAGTACAATTTTTAAGCACACGCATTTTTTTTTCGATTTGAATGATTGAAAAATGAAGAAAAATGAGGAAAAATGATGAAAAATTGAAAAAAGTCGAATAAATAAAAGACTTTTATATGTAAATTCGAATAAATTATCTGTTTTTTAAAGAAATATTTAAAGATTTTAAAGAAATTATATAAGGAATTATATAAGGAATTATTACAGTGACCCTGTAAAAGAGATCAAAAATTTGATCTTTTTTTTTTTGAAAGAGTTTTTTCGAATTTTTCAATGGAAAGATCTCTAAAATTATTTAAAATAAATATAAAAATGAGCTTGAATAAAGATTTTTGATTAGAAAGATTTCGAAAATTCATTATTATTTCTTTAATTCGATCGATTTCGAGAGAAAACTTCGTGAGCGGTGAGATGTCGACGCGGAGAAGAAAACGAGACATCTTTTGCTGGAAATCGAGAGAAAATTTGAGATTTTGGTAGCAAATTAGGATTATTACTTGTATATTTTTAAATGATATTGACCGTACCGTGATATTGGCCGTAATACCTCTAATAGTAGCGCCTCTCCCCCCTCCCCCGTCCCGTATAGTCTCGTAGTCGCAAAAATTTTTTATTTTATTAAATCATTTTTTTCTAAGCGCTCATAATTTCTTAAGATACATGTTTAGTATCAAAAAATAGCCCTGAATCTCAGCTTTCATTTGATACTTAAACGAGCACTGTAGCATAAACAGGTGCCGAGAAAAATGGGGTTAAAGTTAGACTACGCCGTCATTGTAAACGTCATTGTAAACGTCCAACCGTCATTGTAAACAGATGACGAGAAAAGTATCAAAAAATAGCCCTGAATCTCAGCTTTCATTTGATACTTAAACGAACACTGTAGCATAAACAGGTGAGGAGAAAAATGGGTTTTTGCTCCGACCGTCATGATGTTAATTTTCGCGCGACGTCGCATTCCAATTGACGTCACCGCCATTTGGAGGTAGTCGATGGGAGCGCCTCGTCGTCGCCTCTTTTTCTTTTCAAATCATTTCTTTCTTCGTCGTTTCTTTTTTGTTTTCAAATCATTTTCAATTTTGTTTTTGTGTTGAAATGAGAAGCAATCTATTTCCATTTGGGAGCCGACGACGTCGCATTCCAATTGACGTCACCGCCATTTGGAGGTAGTCGATGGGAGCGCCTCGTCGTCGCCTCTTTTTCATTTTCAAATCATTTCTCAATTCTAATTCCCTTTGTGCTCTCTTGAAAGAACCAAAACCCGACTCAGAAGCCAGAGTTTGGCCCGGTTAAAGCATTTCTGCTTTCGAAAAGAATTCCTTCACTTCTTCACTTCCTTTGACTACTTTAAGCAAATTTTGTTCAAAAAAATTCTCTACCTCTTGATAATCGAAAATATTTGACGGAAACAATGAGAAGGAGAATAAAAAGAGCAACGGAGAGACCACCAAAACTCGCGGATGACCATAGAAGAATCGAATGCGAGAGACCACATTCGGCCATGCTTTCTAAAGGGAATTTTGTGGTTAGAGAATGATCTCGAATCTCTTATCAATAACATTTTAATCAATATCAATATCAATATCGATTAGAATCTCATCAATATCGTTTTAAAAGAAATTATATTTTAAAAAAGTGATTTCGAAAAGCTCTAGCTTTGTCTAAAAGGCTCTAGCTTTGTCTAAAAGACTCAAAAGCTATCGTAATCTTTTTTTTCTGTAAAAAGGATTAAAGAAAGTCTAAAGATTGAGTAAAAGACGGTAAATAACTGAAGATTTTCTTGAAGATTTGTTAACAGACTTTGTGCAGCTTCCATTGGCGGTTCTTCGTCCAACTCATAGATTATCAGCTGACCAGAAATTTGCGGTTTTGCCTCTTTTGGATCTGAAATATTGAATATTCATTAAATTTAGAAATCTAGAGAATCTAGAGTTTTCTAAAATCTAGAGAATCTAGAGAAGCTAGAGTTCTCTAAAATCTAGAGAATCTAGAGTTTTCTAAAATCTAGAGAATCTAGAGAAGCTAGAGTTCTCTAAAATCTAGAGAATCTAGAGTTTTCTAAAATCTAGAGCCAAAAATGTTTCTAGAGAATCTAGAGAATCTCTTTAATTTCAAACAGAAACTTCTTCCCAACTGACCATCTTTTTTCGTTGTCTCCCTTCGTACTTTCATTGTCTCATCTTCTGTCTCGTTTTTCCCAATTATTTTCAATGTTCTTTCCAAATCCGATAAACGACTCAATGCTTCTCTTTTCTCGACACTCATCGGTAATGGTTGATCACGATTTCGAGCTGATGTCCAATCAACCTTTAAATTATCATTGCTTTCTTTATTTCTTCGTGAAAGAATTTGTTTTTGATAAACCTGTATCTGATCGACTTTCTCTCCACTTCTGCCCACTCTTCTTGCGTGTGAGTTCAGCACATGAGCGTTCTCTTTCTGAAGTCGAAAGAATTACTCTATATGATTGGAAAGCAGGTCAGACAAGGCTGAACAAGGCTAGACAAGGCTAGATAAGGCTAGATAAGGCTAGACAAGGCTAGACAAGGCTAGACAAGGCTGGACAAGGCTAGATAAGGCTGAACAAGGCTAGACAAGGCCAATCCCTGGCTTCTGGCCATAGACCAGTCAAGATCAAAGCCAGCAGATCAAGCTTTTTCCCAAGCAAGCCCTGTCTACTTCCCTGACCCTGACCAATAGTAAACTCTGTTCTAGATAATTTTTTGATCCAGCTTCATTTGAGAACTCTTAAAGAGTGAGCTTCAACAACTTCAACATACTCTTAAAAGTATTTCTGACTCATCTGTTCTTTCTGTTCTTTCTGTTCTTTCTTTCTGTTCTTTCTGTTCTTTCTTTCTGTTCTTTCTTTCTCTTCTTTCTCTTCTTTCTCTCTCTTCTTTCTTTCTGTTCTTTCTTTCTTTCTGTTCACCTACCATCATCTCTTTCTTCAACATATCCATACTCTCAAGCAAGGTTTTCCGATCGATGACCGAGTCTCTGAAATTGGTTCTTGTAAGAAATATTTATTATAATGTAATGTGGTACACAAAAGTCAAACGCTTAAGCTCTAAATGTAGAGAAAAATCCATAGATATTCTAGCCAGCGGGACTGAACTCTCGAGGCTTGAGGCTTGATCGACTAAGAAACAAGGCTTTTAGTCGCCAGTCGGAAACCATTTGACTTTCTTACCTTACTGACTTTTCTCAAAGAAATTTTCTTACCTAAACATTTTCTGCAAACTATCGGCATTGATATCATCGGGTAAATTGGCTAAAAGATCGGTGAGATTCGGTGGAATTGTTACATCCTCGTAGTCGTTGTAATCGTCTATAAATTACATCAATTTTATTGTTGATTAACAGTTTTCTTTCTTTTCTGTTGATTAACATTAGCTGAAGACAATTGAAATGGAATTGGGGAAGGGTTTTCGTTAAATCACGTGTAGAAATTGTTCAGATTCAGATTGAGCTTTGCTTTGCCTTAGCTGTGCTTTGCCTTTGCCTTAGCTTTGCTTTAGCTTTGCCTTAGCTTTGCCTTAGCTTTGCTTTAGCTTTGCCTTAGCTTTGCCTTAGCTTTGCCTTAGCTTTGCTTTAGCTTTGCTTTAGCTTTGCTTTGACTCAAGTATTGAATCTGAAAAGCCAATGGAGATTAGTTTGTTGAGTTGGGAAATTGAATTTATCGTCAAATTGATTAAAAATTGATTAGAAATTGATTAGAAATTGATTAAACCTGTAAATAGCTAGCTAATCGGACTAATTGGACTAATTGAACTAATTGAACTAATTGAACTAATTGAACTATTGAACCATTGAACTGATTTCTATTGAACTATTGAACTATTGAACTAATTAAACTGATTTCCAGTTAACTGAATAAATCCTTTCTTTTCTTTTCAATTCTTTTGATCAATTTCTCACGTTTTGTCGTCCCTTTCTGCGTTGTACCAAAATTCTGCAAGTCGTCATTTGTTTCAAATGTTTCAGTCACCGTCACAGTGTCCTTTAAAAAAAAGAAATTTAAATCTTTAACTAGAAGATCTCTCTTTTATCTAATCTCTCTTTTTATATCTCTTTTTATCTAAAAGCTATCACTCACAATTGTCGTCGCTTTTGTGTGCTTTTTGTTTAGAGAAACGGGTGGCCCAAAAAGAGTTGTAGCTTCGGTGTCAAACTAAAACCTTTCCACTAAACCTTTCCACTAAATTCTTTCATCCATTTTCATCCATTTTCATCCATTTTCATTTCAAGAACGAAAAATTCAATATTATATTATTCACTAGATACTTGAAATCCTTTTTAAGCTTACATCCTTTAAGCTTTTAAGCTTTTAAACTTTTTTACAACTATTTAAGACTTGTGATAGGTTTTTTTACTTGAAAATCGTTTCCTGGAGTCGTCGGTGGTAAAGCATAGGCACCACCACCAGAATCGGATCTAAATCTAAGCATTTTCAACTTGTAATTGCTTGAAAAGCTAGCTTGTAAAGCTTAGAAAGCTTAAGAAAAGCTTAGAAAGCTTAAGAAAAGCTTAGAAAGCTTAAGAGAAGCTTAGAAAGCTTAAGAGAAGCTTAGAAAGCTTAAGAGAAGCTTAGAAAGCTTAAGAGAAGCTTAGAAAGCTTAAGAGAAGCTTAGAAAGCTTAAGAGAAGCTTAGAAAGCTTAAGAGAGAGGCAGAGCTAGAACTAAGAGAGCTTAGAAAGCTTAAGAGAAGCTTAGAAAGCTTAAGAAAAGCTTAGAAAGCTTAAGAGAAGCTTAGAAAGCTTAAAAAAAGCTTAAAAAGCTTAAAAAGCTTCAAAAAAGCCTAGAAAGCTTAAAAAAACGCTTAAAAAGCTTAAAAAGGCCTAAAAAGCTTAAAAAGAGGTCTCCGACCGTTCCCTAGTCTCTTAACTTCCTTTTGCAGCTTTTTCGCACTGGATTTTTCATTTTCTTTTGCATTGGCTTTAAATTGAAGAATTGAGTGCACTAGAAAGGATGCGTTTACAACGAGCACAACGAGCACAATTGAGCACAAAGCACAAAGAAATTTGCTTACCCATGAAATTTCGCAGGACTCGAGTCATAGTCTCCGGCATTCGCGGCTCCACCAAAATCATCGCTTTCTCCATAATCCGGCGGCCCAGTCGGGTATTTATTTTTCGGTCTTTTCTTTCCTTTTGGCTAAATATCTTTGTTTTATTCTCTTTGAATCTTTATTTCTTTTTTTCTTTAACATCTTCATGCCTTCTTTGTGTCCCTCCAAAACCCAAACATGCCATTCTTTTTTGCTTATTTTAAGCTTTTTGCTTATTTTACACTTAATCTTGATGTACTTTGTGCCCTGAGAATATTGGCTTTTTACAACGGGTTGAGACGGCGAAATTCTATGCAATCTATACCATTAAACGAAGAATTTCATGCTGATTTTGAAGATCTATTCGGTTTTTGTTAAATAACAATCTGTCAAAAGTTTTAAAGGCTTAAAGTTTGTTAAGAAAATGTAAGAAAATGTTAGTAATTTGAGTCTTAATGAATTCCTCGCGGACGGGTCTTAACGGTCTTTTTGCGGCACCCCCGGATAGCATTGGTGGCTAGGTGGTAAAGCTCTCGTTTCCAGAGCGAGACCTCGCGGGTTCGACCCCTTGCGACTCGATTCGATTTTTTTTGTTTCAACAAGTGCTAGCTTTTAGACAGCTTAACCAGTTGCCCTTTCCTTGTTAGTTCAATAAAACTCAGTGTGCCAGAAAGCCCGCGTTTGCCAGTAGATTAGATTTCGCCTTGTGCCACACGGTGTACTTTGTGCTCTTGCTAAACGCACACTTCTGCCACACTGGTAGCACTTTTTTTTGACTAGAAAATGGTCTAAATCGATGAAAATTGAATAAATCTAGTATGCCAGCGGGTATGCGTTTAGCAAGAGCACAAAGTACACCTCTTCTCATGCCTTTCCCCCCCACAAATAACCATTAGTTCATGCATTGTTTTTTCGATTCAAATCATTCAAATTCAAATCATCAAATGCATTCAAATCTTTTACCGTAGTCTCATTCTCATCCTCTTCGAATTCCTATTTTATAATAATAGAATAAAATGTTTAAAACGATTTTTCAGACAAACCCTTGCTATTCGTTGGGTATTTAGATCGTAATCCCCGTCCGAATCGATTGAATTCTCGTAGTCGAGATTGTTCTGAAAGTGAATAGAAGATAAAAATCGAATAAAATAAAATAAAATAAAATAAAATAAAATAAAATAAAATAAAATAAAATAAAATAAAATAAAATAAAATAAAATAAAATAAAATAATAAAGCTCAAAAATTCACTGAATCATATGTTTAAAAAGATTTTAGACGATTTTTAGAGTTTGCAATGCTATCGTAATCCGTTTTTCGTATTCTTTTTTTACCATCTGGCTACCGTAACCAAAAATCGAGATCTCGCTTTATTCTTATCTGATCTTTATCCTTATCTGATCACTTTGTTAACTATCGTACTAAAGTGGATCTCTTTTCAGTAATAGATTTGCTGGATAATGGATTGCTGCACGTGTGGATACGGATTACGTGCCAAACGTTGTCTTATCTTTGCTGGAAATTAAGTTTATCAACTCAACTACGGTAAAGCTTCAGTTACGGTAGCTGGAGTAAGCTTTATAATGTTTCGCAAGTTTACGCGGATTACGGTAGCTAGATTGCAGAGGATTACGGTAGGTTGCAGAGGATTACGATAGCTAGATTGAGTGGGTTACGGTAGCTAGATTTGGAGGATTACGGTAGCTAGATTGGGAGGATTACGGTAGCTAGATTGGGGAGGGCTACGGTAGCTAGATTGGGGGATTACGGTAGCTAGATTGGGGGTTACGGTAGCTAGATTGGGGAGGATTACGGTAGCTAGATTGGGGGATTACGGTAGCTAGATTGGGTAGGATTACGGTAGCTAGATTGGGTAGGATTACGGTAGCTAGATTGGGGAGGATTACTGTAGCTAGATTGGGAGGGTTACGGTAGCTGGACCAGGAAGTTTCCTTTCCCTGCGAACTACGTCTACGATGACGTCACGGATTACGGTCGCTGGGGCACACTTTACAGTGACTCCGAGGTTATAGTAGCTTGATGTGTTGCGCCTTACGGTAGCTGACAATAGATTACTAATACAGATGTGCAATGGATTACTGTATGGAAACGGATTACGATAGCCGGGGCAGGCTTTGGAGTGCCTTAGACCTTAGACGCTTTAGAGTGCCTAAGAAGCCTTAGACTACGGTAGCTCGGCGAGGGAAAAGCTTTGAAGCCAAAAAAACTCGCCTTTTTCCCCCCGAATCGTCCCCTTCCGACGGCGCCCGGTTGCGGGAAATCGCCGTCTTCAACGTCCGAGCTATCCGGCGCAATCGAGGCACAACTTGGCGGCTAAATTCCTTAGCTGAATATCATTTCGTCGCCAAAACACTTACCGTAATCCCTTTACACATTCCGGCTTTTTTCATGCACATTTGAATCTGACAAAAGAACCAAACGCCTGGCTTGTCCGCGAATTTGAATACCTTAAATGAGAATTGATTTTAGGAAGAATAGAAATTTGCATAAATCCCTTTCGACCAACTTTCGACGCCTCGTTCTCAACCCCATTTTAAGATATTTTTATGTGCAATATACCAAAAGATAGCCCTTAATTTCGTCTATCTTTTGGTATACTACACATAAAAATATCTCAAAATTGAGCTGAGAACGAGGCGTCTAAAGTTGAGCCTCATCGTCGACCCCTCGACCAACTTTAAACCCCTCGTTCTCAACCCCATTTTGAGATATTTTTATGTGTAATATACCAAAAGATAGAAGAAATTAAGGGCTATTGGAAATTAAGGGCTTTGGTATCCTTTGGTATATTTTTGAGTCTCACACTTGTTTCCCACACAAACCAAAAACCAAGCCAATATTTTAAGCTATTAGCTTTAGTTTTAGTTTTAGCTTTAGCTATTAGCTTAAATGAGAACTTTTCCCCCAAATCTACCTGTGATTCAGCGTATGCTCTTTGCATATCTTTCGAGTAGCGAATCCCGGTGATGAGGATTGGATCGACTGGGCAACTAAAGGATTTCAGTTTAGGCACATTTCTTACTTGCTTCTTCTTCTTTCTTCTTTGATTTCTTACTTCTTATTTCTTCTTTTTTTTCACATTTCTATAAGTTAGAAATCGTTTTTTAAATCGCTCAAAAATAGTGGAAAATCAGCTTTTTTTTTTGTCAATTTTCAATCACTTTTTTTTAAGCACTGGTTTAGCTTTTCTTTTAGCTTTTAAGACAAAACGAATCATTTCTAAGTGATTATTGTTATTGGTTTCAAAGCTAGTAAACATTTGCTTTTTCTAGACCCGCCTTGGGATTCGAACCCGCGACCTCTCGCTTACGGCTTACCAACGCTTTACCAATGAGCTACAGCGACACGCGTCTCAGCACGCCAGGGAAGTCTCTTATCCCTTCCTCTTTTTCTAAGTCCCTAGTTTCAAAATTTTTCAATCGCCGGAGTCGAACCCTCGATCTCTCGCGCAACGCTTACTAACGCTTTACCAATGAGCTACAGCGACACGCGTCTCGGCAGGCCAGGGAAGTCTCTTATCCCTTCCTCTTTTTTCTAAGTCCCTTTTTCTATAGTAGAGTTTCAAAATCTTTCAACCAATTGTCCAATTTCACAAGCAAGTCATTTGAGTTCTGTTCTGGAAGTGGAAAGAGGCAGAAAAGGGTAATGGGAGACTAGTCCATCTAAAGCTTTAGATTCACTGCGTAACCACACGACCCCTCTCTCTTTTCATCAAAACTGGATTCATTTCTTTTCAAAAAATTCCTCTTCAAAAAGCTCTTCAAGCTTTCCAAAAAAAGTTGCCTTTAAAATTTCTTGAAATATTACGAAAAAATTGTTCACTCAATCGTTCTCCAAAGTGACAAAATGGACAAAATGGACAAAATGACTTATAAAGCTGGTTCCGGATCTCTTCTTTGCTTTCTTTTGATTGAAGATTGAAGTAGATTGAAGTTGAGGGTTAGATTTTGAAGAGATTGAAGAGATTAACTTTTGAGAAAGATTTGACGCTTAGATTTTGAAGAGATTGGCTTTTGAGAGAGATCTGTTACATAGTAATTGTTGATTTAATCAGAAATTTGATTGATTCAAGCGTTTTCTCAACTCGCATTAGTTTAGCAGTGCCATTAGTAACAAAATAAACCAAAAAAACAAACCCATTATTGTCGATCACTTCGGCTTTTTTCCCAAAACCGTCTGTTACATAGCAATTGTTGATCAGAATGCCGAACATTTCTAGAAATCATTATTTAAAGATATATATATTAAAGGAATATCTTTAAAATCATTATTTAAAGATATTCTTTAGCAAATAAATGACAAATAACTCTTTTACTTTTTTAAAAATCAATAAAAATCAAGAATTTTGTTGAAAAATTGATAACTTCTTGTCTTTTTTTTAGAAAAAAGTCTTTTTTTAGTCTTTTTTAGTCTTTTTTTAGAATCCTCTAATAAATTTTGATATGAAATAGTTGAATAAGAGATGAAATAGTTGATTTTCACTTGAAAAGATGGATCTTAAGCACGAAAACTCACGATCATTGCAGTGCCATTGATGAAGAACTTTGTCACCGACTCTAGCAAATTGAATCGATGATCCAGCTGGATTGCCGGCATCGATTTCCTAAATAAGTTCTTAGATCTTTATTGAATGAAAGATAAATCCCTTTTGCTTGCTAAGGAATTTGTATTGCTTGTAAATGAATGAATCAAATCAATCAAATCAATCAAACCAATCCAGCTTTATGACTAAAACAAGAAGTTAAAGCTCTAGAATTGAAAATCACAATCGGCTAGTAGAAGATTGTGATTGTGATTTTGTTTATGATTTAGTTTATGATTTAGTCTTGTTGCAAGGATTTTAGGGACCTTTTCTAATAGCTTCGGCCTCAGGGAGCTATCAGCGGCCTCAGGAGACTATCAGCGGCCTCAGGAGACTATCAGCGGCCTCAGGGAGCTATCAGCGGCCTCAGTGAGCTATCAGCGGCCTCAGTGAGCTATCGACGGCCTTAGGGAGCTATCAGCGGCCTCAGTGAGCTATCGACGGCCTCAGGAGACTATCAGCGGCCTCAGGGGACTATCAGCGGCTCCATTTTTCGTAAATGTGTGAGAAATATTTGTGTAAATTTTACGTTAGTTTACAAGGCTTAAATGCTATCAGATAAATGAAAGAAAAACTTAAGAAGTAGTAGGCTCTTCAGAACCACCAATAATCTTAGGCTGCCTTTAATCTCCTTGAAAAAATGGGGCCAATAATCCCTCGCGACCGCCGCTATTAGGAAAGGTCCCTAAAATCTTGCAACAAAAATAAATCATGCAAAATCACAATCAAAATCACAACCTTCTACTTGCTGATAGGGATTTTCAATTCTAGAGCTTTAGCTTTAACTTTAGCTTCTTGTTTTAGTCATAAAGCTGGATTAGCTAGATAAATTAGGAAAGCTATTAGGAAAGCTATTAGGAAAGATTCGATTTTAGCTTCTTCTCTGATTTGTATCGATGTTCTGACCTGTATCGATGATTTGTGAATAGTGTAGGAACAACCGGGAATCCCGTGTCTTGCTTCGACTTCTGTTGTTGGAATCATACTAAAAATTGTGTTGTTTTGCAATAGAAAGAGTAAGTTTACGGATTTAAGCGCATGGATTTAAGCGCATGGATTTGAGCGCACGAATCTGAGTGCTCAAATCCATGCGCTCAAATCCATGGGCTCAAATCTGTGCGCTTAAATCCATGGGCTCAAATCTGTGCGCTTAAATCCATGGGCTCAAATCCATGCGCTTAAATCCATGCGCTCAAATCCATGTGCTCAAATCCATGGGCTTAAATCCATGCGCTTAAATCCATGCCTTTCACTCAAATCAAAAAAATCACCTGACTCCTAATTCAGCAGTGAGTCCTCGATTCGCTTCCTCGAAGAAACATTTCACGTGAAAGGCTTGATCGACTTTTGTGATGAAAAGCTGAGATGAAATGATGAATTGAAGAATTTAGATGGATTTTTTGGGTTTTCGTTTGTTCTAGGATTGTTCTAGGATTGTTCTAGGATTGTAAAATGATAATTTCTCTTGAATGGTTTCTTTGTTGCTTTTGTTGCTTTGTTTTGTTGCTCTGCTACTCTTTTTATTTTTAGGTTTTTAGAAAACGTAAGAATTATGGAGTTTTCATGTCAGAAAGTTTTTTAGCCTCTCTTTCTCTTCCTTATCTTTTCTATTTCTTTTTGAGCAAAGATAGCTCAATGAAGAGGATTTGATAGATCGGATAGATCTGCCTAGAGCTGATAGAGCTGCCTAGAGCTGATAGAGCTGCCTAGAGCTGATAGATCTGCGTAGAGCTGATAGATCTGCGTGGAGCTGATAGATCTGCCTAGAGCTGATAGATCTACCTAGAGCTGATAGATCTGCCTAGATCTGTTAGTGCTGCCTAGAGCTGATAGAGCTACCTAGAGCTGATAGATCTGTTAAATCTGCTTGATCTGCTTGATCTGCTTGATCTGCTTGATCTGCTAGAACTGAGCATAAGATTGAGATCCAATTCCGGTTCACTTTCCCATCCATTTCTTTACTTTATCTTTACTTACTGGATGAAAAGAGACGACAATGGTCACTCCATAGTACATTCCCCGCGGATCCACTGATCGAAGACTTCTCATTCCACAACCACGAACTAAATTTGCATGTGCGTAACGAAAATTAACACGTAAACATACAGTAAGTGACTATTTAACATAATTATTTTTCAACTGTCATACTTTGTTTCAAGATCACGGCCTGGCTTTACTAAAGATCTAGAAGCCAGCCTTGACCTGGCCTAGGTCTAGCAATCTTATTTACAATCAAGCAAAAGCAATACTTCTTTCGAGAGAAAATCACGATTTAGGCGTTTTGGCCTTATTGGGTAACTGAACCGAGCAACGGCTGCCTATATAGCAAACAGAACTCGAAATATAAATTGCAAAAAAAGCTTACCAAACGACAAATCAAACATGGGTTTCTTTGTGCGCTCTTTCTGGAAATCGTCCTTGTAACAATCTTCCGATTCCGCTTTACCCTTTGCATAAATTCGACCTGAAAAAGATTCAGATTTAAGAATTGAAATCTATTCATTTAAGAATTCGTTTATTTATCTAAGAATTCGTTTATTTATTTAAGAATTCGTTTATTCTTAGAACAACGCCGTCTTATCATAGATTTGGTTGAGTGCTTTAAAATTGTAAAAGGAAAACATCAAAACCCTCTTTTTAAAAATCTTTTTCGACTAAACTCGAGGCTTTTGGCGACTAGGCGACTGGCTCTTTTATCTTGGATCCCGAATCTGCTTTCTCTAAATTCTCTAGAGCTTTTTTTGCGTAAATCGTGTGACTAAAGTTTGGCCCTTCCCGTGTGACTAATGCCCTTCTCGACAAGTTGCGTTTGATCTCCACCGTGTCTGATTTTAAAAGGGCTATTTCGTTGCATTTTAAGTGACTTTATCATCTTTTATCTAGTACATCTTTCATGTGATCAAAAAAAGAACCGTATTGGAACCGTATTGGAACCGTATTAGATCCAAAAAAGAATCGTATTGGAACCGTATTGGAATTTTATTAAAAAAACCGTATTTCTTTCTGAATAAAGTATTTATATATTTGAGATATCTCGTTTCTAAACGAAAAACGAGAAAAACGAAGGAAAATCGCGAAAAGCGGCGGAAAGGCTATTGATCTGAGGGTCGCTGGTATTGGAACCGTATTGGAACTATATTAGAACTGTATTAGATCAAAATAGGAACCGTATTGGAACCGTATTGGAAGCGTATTGGAAGCGTATTGGAAGCGTATTGGAAGCGTATTGGAAGCGTATTGGAAGCGTATTGGAAGCGTATTGGAAGCGTATTGGAAGCGTATTGGAACCGTATTGGAAGCGTATTGGAACCGTATTGGAACCGTATTAGATCAAAATAGGAACCGTATTGGAACCGTATTGGAATTTTATTAAAAAAACCGTATTTCTTTCTAAATAAAGTATTTATATATTTATTTATCTAAGAATTCATTTATTTATTTAAGAATTCATTTATTCGTTTAAGAATTCATTTATTTATTAGGTTGATGCATAAGTCTTTTCGTTTTTTTCGTACTTCTGTTAAAAAGTAACAAATTCACGAATTAATCTATAGTTTGCTCTATAAAAAAAGTGTTTTTTTGTTCAATTTGCATCTTTTTAAATGAATTTCGGTTCACTTTGAAGCAAATTCGAGAGTGAAAAACGCCTTTTTCGTAAAAATCTATAAAAAACTCTACGGAAAAATTGGCTGAATGAATTTCTCTGAAATTTTGGCGAAATATCAAACGTTTTTTTCCTCTATCTTTTATCTATTGACACGAAGATAGGTTTTCTTTAGCTAAGGTGTCTAAACCGCATCATCGAGTTAGCCCTTTTTGACTACCCGACTTCATACTCTCAAGAAAATCCAGGCATCAAATATTTTTAAACCCGTTTTAATGTTATTTTGCAGAAAAATAATTGGTTTTTCTAATGAAATCAACCGTAGTTTAATTGGTGCATTTGTTGGCTTGAAACGGCAGACGAAAAGGAATAAAAAGACTTATGCATCAACCTATTATCTAAGAATTCATTTATTTATTTAAGAATTCGTTTATTGATCTAAGAATTCGTTTATTTATCTGAGAATTCATTAATTTATCTGAGAATTCATTGATTTATTTAAGAATAAACGCCCTGGAGATTACGATTAGTAATCTAGGGAGGTGGGTGGGTAGTTTTTGTCGTTTGTTGAAACATTAAGCTTTTTAGTCATTTTTTTTCTTGCTCGACTACTCTGAAGATGAATAAATTGAGTCTTACAATAGCAAAAAATTCATGAAAAATGGGGGGGAAACCTTAATTCTTAATCAACAATAACAATCAAGCTTTTTCATACCCGTAAAAATCTTTCTCGTTTTTATCCAAACCCGAATCCGATCATCCATACATTCGATATCTGGTTCACCTGAAAATATTCAATAAATAGGTTTGTAGATTTTAAATCTAGATAATCTAGATAATCTAGATTCGATTATTTAGATTATCTAGATCTAAATCTAAAACAAACATCTTACCAATGATATCATTGTCGATTGAAACCGAGTTTACGGTTGAAATGAGTAAAGAGTACAAGAAAAGCATCGAGAATCGTTTCGGGACTCTTCGGGAATCGAAATTATCCAGTTTTCTCTTCAGAAAACTTGTTTCTTCAACTTTTTCACTTCTTTTTACTATCTTTTCGTCGATTTTCTTCATTTGTTTCACCGTGAATGCCCTCCGCGGCCGCAGTCGCGGGGGCATCCCTTTCGATTTTTTAGAGTATTTGAATTATCTGAAAAGATATGCTCTTTTAATTTTCACAAACTTTATAAATAAAGCTTTTAATTTAATAAGAAATTTATGAGAGTTTAAATCAAAAAAAATACAAAACTTTTGGTCAAATTTAATTGCTGGCGCAGAATTTCCATTATGGAAAATGGAAAATGGAGAATGGAGAATGGAGGCTTTAAATGGAGGCTGATGGGGTACAGGCTGATGGGGTACAAGCTGATGGGGTAGAGGCTGATGGGGTACAGGCTGTTGGGGTACAGGCTGATGGGGTACAGGCTTAGGCTTAGGCTTGGACTTAGTGCGAAGGCTAGCGGCTAGCGCCTCGCACTAAGTCTATTTGGGTTTGGGCTGAACCCCCATTTTCTGGATCTCAGCCAGTTCTCGGAGCTAAGGCACACCCGCCTGGCGATTAGGCTTAGGCTCAGGCTCAGGCTTAGGCTTAGGCTGATGGGGTGGAGGCTGATGGGGTGGAGGCTGATAGGGTAAAGGCTTAGGCTCAGGCTCAGGCTCAGGCTCAGGCTGATGGGGATTTTAGACATTTAAATTTTAGATTAATCGTTTCCCTAACTTTTAACTGTCTTTTTTTCTAAAGCTAAATCAAAAAAGGAACGGTTTTAAAGCAATTTATTTCAAAAAATTTCATTTCAATTGTAATTTTATTGTAAATTAAAAAAAAAATGTAGATTTCAATGTAAATTTTCGAAATAAAATAGAAATAAACCAATAAAATAGGGAAAAGAAAGGGGTTTTGTATGGAAAAGAAAAGGGAAAAGGAAAGAAATTCTAATTGAGAACGAAAACGAGGACATCGTTTCGAGAAGAGAAAAAAAAAGGATGGTTTCGATTTTATTGACTCTACAAGATTTGAGGATTTGAGTTAGGGAAAGCTCTTTTTTTAGCTCTTTTTCTGAGAATTTAAATTTACTTTATGGTCACATAAAAACGCAAACTTTCTAGCGTACGTTGCGTAGCGTTGAAGCCTTAGTTTTTGTCAAATTATTAACTCGATTTTTTGTCTGAAAAATGAAGAACTAGATGGTGTTTAAAAAAAGTACATAAAGTAAATAAAGTACATAGAACAAAGTACATAAAAAATAGTGGTTGTTAGTGAAGAGAATTAAAAGAAAAGGGAAGAATTCAATGTGTTAGATGGGGTTTTTTAAACACAAAGAAAGTACAGAAAGCAAGAAAGTACAGAAAGCAAGAAAGTACAGAAAGGAAGAAAGTACAGGAAGAAAGAAAGTATAGAAAGCACAAAGTACACTACAGTACAAAGTAAGAAAGTACAGAAAACACAAAGTACACTACAGTACAAAGTACATAAGGAAAGTTGAAAGAAAATAGGCATTCAAAAGGTTTTAATAAGTTAATAAGCAAGAAAACAGGTTTGTTAAGCGAAGTGAAATGAATCTAAAGTTCTAAAAGTCAATCTAAAGTCCTAAAAGTCAATCTAAAGTCCTAAAATTCAATCAATCAAGCCTAAAAAGTGTTTAAAAAGTGTTTAAAAGTGTTTAAAAGGGTTTAAAAAGGGTTTAAAAAGATTTAAAAAGGTTTAACCTCTAGAATTTCAGATTTTAATTGAGAAAATGAATAAGAAACTCGAGTTTAATGTCAAAAAAATCTTTTAGAATTATTGTTTGTAAAGAGAAGAAGTGAAAAAAGAAAAGAAATCGGGAAACTCTTGAAGAAAATGGTACTCATAGCTTCTTTTTCTATATAATTCTTAGGATCAGCTAGCTACGATCTGCTACTAATTCCCCAGAAGCTACAGTAACCCGAAAAGTTACTGTAACTCTAAAAGTATCTGACATATGCTTTATAGAATTGAAATTCGAGTTGAAATCCCCTTTTGAGAATAGCCAGGGTCGAGAAGATGTAGAAATGACTGAAAAATGGCATGAGTGGGGGTAAAGGGCAAGCTGGGGATAGGGTAAGGAGATTTTGCAAGCCAGGTAAGTAGGGCGGTGGGGAGGAGCTGGGGAGAGGCTGGGGAGAGGTTGGGGAGAGGTTGGGGAGAGGTTGGAGAAGAGATCCCTGTCTGAAGGAGTACCCCTTCAAGTCTGGACCGGCTCTGTCTCTCGGGAACTAATTTCCAGTCCCCCTATGACTTGACCCTCAGCCTCCAGGTCTACCGTGACTGGTTTCTTCTTATAATTACCCCTTCTCTTCCCCTTCTTCCCCTTCTTCCTCTTTCTTTCCCCTTCTCTTCCCCTTCTCTTCCTCTTCTTCCCCTTCTCTTTCCCTTCTCTTCCCCTTCTTCCCCCTCTCTTCCCCTTCTCTTCCCCTTCTTCCCCTTCTCTTCCCCTTCTTCTCCTTCTTCCCCTTCTTCCTCTTTCTTTCCCCATTCTTCGTTCTTTTTTCGATTACTGTATGAAATGTAGTAAACGAGCCTTGGCATTCACCAAGAATGCAATAGGGAAAGTTAAAAGTTATTCATTTAACTATTTACTATCTTGTCTCTTTTTAAAATGACCAAAAAGTTAATCTATTGAGATGCGATCATTGATCTAGACAAGGCTATCTGGCAATAGATATTGATCGATAACATGATCGATAACACGCAAACAACTTGTTTACAACTTCAAACAGCTTTCAAGAGTTAGACACAAATTCTGATTGTCTTTGTCTGATTGTAAAACTCGGCTTACACCAAGGCTAATATCAAGGAGGTTCGAGATTAGCTACGCTTGAAGCCACTCGCTTGAAGCCACTCGCTTGAAGCCACTCGCTTGAAGCCACTCGCTTGAAGCCACTCGCTTGAAGCCACTCGCTTGAAGCCACTCGCTTGAAGCCACTCGCTTGAAGCCACTCGCTTGAAGCCACTCGCTTGAAGCCACTCGCTTGGAAGCCACTCGCTTGAAGCCACTCGCTTGAAGCCACTCGCTTGAAGCCACTCGCTTGAAGCCACTCGCTTGAAGCCACTCGCTTGAAGCCACTCGCTTGAAGCCACTCGCTTGAAGCCAAAGTCACTCGTTCGCAGGTCAGCATAGCAAAGAATATGGAGAATTTCTCGAACTTCTATAAGCTGTATTGTCAAAAATCGTCTTGAAATGAAAGCTTAGACTGTAATACCTCGAATACAGTCCGTTTCATATTTCTTTATCCACCCCCCAAAAAGAGGTTTTATGGAGAATGGGTGGAGATATCGAGCTATTTTCTTTTGCAATAGAAAGACCATATTTTAAAACCTTAAAAACACCGTTTTTGGGTTACTGGATTTTCTCAACAAAAAAAAAACTAAGAAAGAAGATTCTGCGACCGTTTCACATTTCTTTATCCACCCTTAGGAACTTTGAAAATCAATGCTTATTTGATGTTACTATTCATTTTTTTGTTTTACTTAAAATATTTTTATATTTTGTAATCATTTGTCGTCATTTTAGGAAATGGGACGTTGGAAAGTGCTTTCTGATTACGAGAAGGGACAGATCGATGCCTACAAGATCGACAAGAAGGGTATTCGAGAATCGCTGCTTCGAAGACAACTATCTGGCGTGCCGTCAAAGAAAATCCTCATATCGATCGTGAACGCCTAAATCAACAGCCTGCCTTAAAGCAAGAGCACAAGAAAGCCCGTCTAGACTTTGCCGCAAATCATATGAACTTTGATTGGAGCAAGGTTGGGAAATGCTGTACTCTGAGATAACGGTTTTTATTTAGGTAATCTTTTCTGATGAAAAAAAAAGGAATCTTGACGGACCAGATGGTGTTTCGCATTACTGGAGAGACCTGCGACAGGATCCACTGATCTTCGGAACACGTAACTACGGTGGAGGAAGTGTGATGTGTTGGGCAACCTTTTGCGCCAATGGAACGGTCGCTTTGAAATTTGTCTCCAGCAAAATGAACAGTCAAGATTATACTGAAGTGCTCAAAGTCACTTTTCTGCCTTTTATTCAGCAAAATGTCGCAGATTCTGCGACCATTTCACATTTCTTTATCCACCCTTAGGAACTTTGAAAATCAACATTTATTTAGCATTAACAACAAATAAAAAAGACATCCAGAATTGTGAACATAACAACTAATAATCTGATATAGCACCGGACCGGTTAAACGGAAACGGAATATGAAACGGACTGTAGTAGCGCCTCTCTCCCGTACAGTCTCGTAGTCGCAAAAAAATCGCAAAAATTTTTTCTTCAATCATTTTTTTCTAAGCGCTCATAATTTCTTAAGATACATGTTTAGTATCAAAAATTCAATCTCTTTTTTTTTTTTATTTATTAAAACTTAAACTAAAAAAAAAATTTAAAAAAATATTTTTTTTTTTTTTCCCCACAAATTCCTCCGCCCTTATTTAAAAAAAAAAAAGAAAAAAAAACAAAAAATATTCTTTTTTTTTTATAAAAAAAAAAAAATTTTTTTTTCCCCCCCCAAAAATAAAAAAAAAAAAAAAATAGCTCTGAATCTCAGCTTTCATTTGATACTTAAGCGAACACTGTAGCATAAACAGATGACGAGAAAAATAGGTTTAAAGTTAGACTACGCGATGCTCCGACCGTCATTATAGGAAAGAAGTACTTTTAGAGGTATTACAATCTTCCAAAAGCCAATTTCTTGCGTCAATCAGCAAAAAGAAACGTCAACTCGTGAAATATGAAGAGAAATGAAAATCTTTTAATTTTACCGAGTTGAAACGCTTTTCCAGGCTACCTTAGACTCAAAAGTTCTCTAAAATTCTCTAAAAAAACACAATTATTATCGAAAATGGACATAATTGCGTAGATTTCTATAATTCTTAGCTTTTTCTTTTTGAATTTGACTGCAATTTGAGCGACGGCACTCCACAAACCACATTCTCCACCAAACTTATTAAAAAAAGCTACATTACGCATCTCTTTAGCCTCTTTAGACCACTTGAAAGAACCTTTTTTCCTCAATTTTTGTGACTCTTTCTTCACTTTTCTTCACTTTTCTTCTCTTTTCTTCTCTTTTCTTCAGTCTTTCTTCAGTCTTTCTTTCAAAAGAGTTAGATTTGAAGCCTCCAAACCTAATTATAGTCTCTCTAACAATCCAATCCAGTCTTTTCTTCATTTCTTTCACCACCGATCTTCAAGTGTCCATTCATAAAATCGAAACCTGATTCGATGAAGAGCGTTTTTTTTTTGCTTGCAGAAATTTTCTTTATTATTAAGAGACAATGAAGAATGGTAGAAGAGATTCTGGTAGGGAAATGAAGAATCTTTTAATGAAAGAGATTTTGTTTGATAGATGAATGGCTAGATAGAATTAATGAAAGAGATTTTGTTTGATAGATGAATGGCTAGATAGAATTAATGAAAGAGATTTTTTTTTTTATTTGATTGTTTAAATAAAATTAATGAAAGAGATTTTGTTAAATAGATGAAGAATGGTAGAAGAGATTCTGGTAGGGAAATGAAGAACTTGCAATGAAAAAGCTTTTGTTTGATAGATGAAGAACTTGTAATCAAGAGATTTTGTTTGATAGATGAATGGTAAAAGAGATTCTGATAGGGAAATGAAGAATCTTTTAATGAAAGAGATTTTGTTAGATAAATGAATTATTTTACTGAAATTGACTATGAGAGATCAAAGTTATAACAAAGTTTTTGAGGAAAAAATGTTCTCAAACAATTTTGTAAGGTTATGGAGAGGAGAATGTAGTGATCAGCTTAGGGGGAATGAAGTGATCAGCTTAAGGGGAATGTAGTGATCAGCTAAGGGGAATGTAGTGATCAGCTAAGGGGAATGAAGTGCTCAGTTTAGGGGGAATGTAGTGATCAGCTAAGGGGAATGTAGTGATCAGCTAAGGGGAATGTAGTGATCAGCTAAGGGGAATGTAGTGATCAGCTAAGGAGAATGAAGTGCTCAGCTTAAGGAGAATGAAGTGTTCAGCTTAAGGAGAATGTTGATCAATTTTTGTTAAGTTTCGTCGTGTAGTCGAGAATTTCTTTGTTCGCTTTCATTTGAAGTTCTTCAATGATTTGCGTTTGATTGATAAATTCGAAGACATTCGGCGCTGAGCAAATGATCCCAACGGTGCCGCCGACTGAAATTCATTTTTACAATTGATTTAGTACGATTTTTGTTTCCCGAATGGATTACGATAGCTATAATGGACTATAGTAGGCTAGCGTAGTGTTTGAAAAAGTTAATTGGATTAATTGCGATCGTAGAAAACGAACCAGTGACGGCAAAAAAGATGTACAAGAGCAAGCGATCGAGCACCGTCGCCACAAAGCGCCATTCCTCTTTCATCTAGGATTTCAACTCATCAATCAAGTGCTTAAAATCAGAATTGATGTCTAGAAGTACCTAAAAGTACAAGTACCTACAAGTACCTACAAGTACCTACAAGTACCTACAAGTACAAGTACCTAGAAGTACAAGTACCTACAAGTGCCTACAAGTACCTACAAGTACAAGTGCCTACAAGTACCTACAAGTACCTAGAAGTACAAGTAACTAGAAGTACCTAGAAGTACAAGTACCTAGAAGTACCTACAAGTACAAGTACCTAGAAGTACCTAGAAGTACCTACAAGTACCTACAAGTATCAATCTAACAACTCCTACCCTTTTCTGATCATTATTCGTTCTCAAATGCTCTGTGATGTACTCAATTGCATCAATTGCTTTAATCGCCTCACTCCCGAGACCATCCTGAAAAAAATTGTGAGAAATTGCCTTTCCCATTGGCCGTCTAGCTTTAAGCTCAAATTTCTTGATGCTCAGCTGTCCAATTGAAATGTTTTTGGTGTCATTAGATGCGCCAAGTCTTTTTCTGTCGATTGGTAGAAAAACTATTGAAATTGAACAGCTGAGCACGAAGAAATTCGAGCTCAAATCTATGGCAATGGGAAAGGGGCGGGGTCTCGCGTATAAAAGGTCAGTCGTCCCGCCCTCTTATCCTAACTTCAAACTCAAATTTCTTAGCGCCCAGTTGTCCAATTTCAATAGTTTTTCTACCAATCGATAGGATGGCAAAGAGGGCGGGTCGATTGGCCTTTTATACGCGAGACCCCGCCCCTTTCCCATTGCCATAACTTCAAGCTCAAATTTCTTAGCGCTCAGTTGTCCAATTTTAATAGTTTTTCTACCAATCGATAGAGAAAGACTTGGCGAATCTAATGACACCAAAAACATTTCAATTGAATGGCTGAGCACCAAGAAATTTAAGCTCAAAGTTATGGCAATGGGAAAAGGGGCGGGGCTTTGCGTATAAAAGGTCAATCGTCTGATATTTAGGGTTTGTTTTAGTAAGCTTATGGTAGTTTTTGTAAATAGAATCGATTACAGTGATTTTACAGTCTTTTTCGAAGCGATTACAGTCACTTACAGCGTACGGTTGTCCAATTGACGATCGATGCTCGTCTGAGATGGGATCTGTTTGAATCACCGGCATCTAAAAGCCTTTTTTTAGACACAAATCAGCCATTTGCAAATTTGAATTGATTTTTAATGAAATCGAGAAGAAATGGAGAAGAAATTGAGAAGAAATCCACCCCAACGTCTCCATTCGATGCCCGGGCCACTTGCTCGATTTGAGAACGAAGACGATTTTTTGATCTCATCTATAAATCATATAATTAACAATCTACATATCTCTCTCTTTCTCTCTCTAAAATTCTCTCTCTCTCTCATCAATTTAAACTCGAAAAACCTCAGTCTTTTGTTGCCTCAACCTCTCCAATTCATCCTCAGTCGTCCATGGACGTTTCATCATCAAAATTAGAGGTAAATGCTGGAAATTTTGATATAAAAAGATCTAGTTTGATATAAAACTTAGTTTAAGTTGTAAAATCTTACATTTATAAATAGTTTCCTGATCCACGGAGCCATTGTGTGAGTGGCTGGACCACGGAAGTAAACATTGATGATCACCACTGTTACCTGAAAAGAGAGATCAGACCCTAACTGAAAAGAGGGATTTTTATCTCACCCTAGCTAGTAACTTCTCAAATCTATTTACTAATTAACTTACTACAGGGTGGCTGACAATTACGTGCGCGCAGCATCAGCATCATAGTTTTAAACAATGTATAAAGCATTACTACTCATCTTTTTGTGTTTTAATATTCTTTTTATCGTGGTCTAATAATTTTTTGTTAAAAAAGTTGTTTTCTAGGTCATGACAAAGACGTGCGCTAGTCGGGACGCAATCGCACAGCTGGCGATGAGCGGCATGAAGAACTCGTCGATCGCATCGAGGCTTGGGGTGGCTCTGAGGACCGTCCAGAAGATCGTAAAGCAATGGAAAGATGAGGGGCATGTTCAGTCCAAGCCCGGAAGAGGACCAAAGAGGACCGTTAACACCCGAAAGATGCGTGGGATCATCAAGAGGAGGATCGAGCGAAAAGACGATCGTAGTTTGAACAAGATGGCAAAACAGCTTCAAATTTCGCGTTTCTCGGTTCAATCGATAGTGAAAAATGAGCTCGGACTTCGAAGTTATCGACTGTTAAACGGGCAAGTGCTCACCGATCAAGCCAAGCAAAACCGGAAGGAGAAATGCAAGAAATTGCGAGCTTTTTTCAAGGTGCGGCGCATTGACGATGTTCTTTGGTCAGATGAGAAGATTTTCACCTTGGAAGTGGCTAAAAACTCACAAAATTACCGTCAACTTCTCAGTCCAGCTCTCAAGAGCACTCGTAAACGAAAAGTCGCTACATAAGGTCTGTTTCCAAAAAGTTTGATGGTTTGGGGTGGCATCAGTGCTTCGGGCAAGACCCCGTTGGTTTTTATCGATAAAAATGTGAAGATTAACGCAAAAAGTCTATCAAAAAGAGATTCTCGAGAAAGCTGTGGTGCCATGGAAGAGGAGCCATCCCAATTTGACCCTTCAACAAGATTGGGCGCCGGCCCACGGAGCCAAAACAACAATTCGCTTTCTCGAAACCAAAATTGGCTCTTTTTTGACGAAGGATCAATGGCCTGCAAACAGCCCGGATCTCAATCCGTTGGACTTTTCGGTTTGGGGTTTTATGGAAGAACAATTGAGAAATAGAAAAATCACCAATTTGAATGATTTACGTCGAGAATTGATCAAAATCTGGAACGACTTAGATGCAAATTATCTCCGCCGCACCGTCGATTCTGTAAAGAAGCGAATTGAAGCCTGTATCAAAGCGGATGGAGGCCACTTCGAAAATTTCTTGTGATTATTAAATGCTTTTGTTACAACTATTATATAAATAAAGATTTTTACATTTTCTTTGAAAGAAAATTAAATTATGGCGTTCTCTTTGGCGCACGTAATTATCAGCCACCCTGTATATCATAAAAATGGCTACTTTATTATCAAAATAACATCAAAAGAGAAATGACGATAGAGAAATGACGAAGAAATGATAGAGAAATGAGGAAGAAATAAAGTAAAGAAATCAATTGGAAAGAATTTCCAACCGAACTGAACCCTCGATCTTCTGCTAATCAGGCAGATGCTCTACCATTGAGCTATCGATGCCTTTCTTTCTTGAGAAGAAAAAGGAAAGACAAACAAGAAGAGAGGGAGATTTCCGGAAGCCGAAATCAAATCCAAACCAAATTAAACCCAAACCAAACCCAAACCGAAGCCAAATTCAAACCCGAGCCAAACCCCAACCAAATCAAACCAAACCCAAAGCAAACCCAAACCAACCCAAACCAAACCAAAGCCCAACCAAGCCAAAGCCCAACCAAACCAAATCCCAGCCAAACCAAACCCAACCCAAACCCAACCAAACCCAACCCAAACCCAACCAAACCCAACCCAAACCCAACCCAAACCAAACCAAACCCAACCCAAACCCAACCCAAACCCAACCCAAACCAAACCAAACCCAACCTAAACCCAACCCAAACCCAACCCAAACCCAACCCAAACCAAACCAAACCCAACCCAAACCCAACCCAAACCCAACCCAAACCAAACCAAACCCAACCTAAACCCAACCCAAACCCAACCCAAACCCAACCCAAACCAAACCAAACCCAACCCAAACCCAACCCAAACCCAAACTAAAACCAAAAGTTGAGATTTTCTCTTTTGATGTTGCTTTTCCCAAAACTGGGAAACAACAACATCAAAAGAGAGTTCTTCAAGTGGCAAGAGCAAAGAAAAGTTGTGTTTTAGCTTCTTAACCTGGTATTTTTCAGTGAACCCTCAATAAAAGCCAACATTTCCCTTTGATCGCCGACAATACTAATTCTATGCCAAACGCCAAACTTTGATAACTTTTTGTTGATTTTTGATAACCTTTTTGATAAATTCTGATAGCCCGAATGTATTGATTGGTTCAAAATTAGACAGAATTTGACAGAATTTGACAGAATTTGACAGAATTCCTTGATTATCTTTTATTCAAGCTTTAAATAATATAATATAGTTTACCATAATAGCAATGACATTCATGGTGAATGTGATTAGAAGATATTTTCCCATTAGTGGAACCGAGTCTGATGTTGGGGGAAGAATCTGGAAGCTATGACGATTCAAGTGTCACAGAAAGTGTCACAGAAAAAACCCACACTTCCTGGCGCGTCTGAATTCTTTATTTCTTTCTTTTCTCCTAGTAATCCCTCGATTTCGCTTGAAAAACAAAGAACTCACTGCACCAGAAAGATGCGTTTATGTTTACGTACAAAGCACTGAGCAGCACAAGGCACTGAGCAGCACAAGGCACTGAGCAGCACAAGGCACTGGGCAGCACAAGGCACTGGGCAGCACAAGGCACTGGGCAGCACAAGGCACTGGGCAGCACAAGGCACTGAGCAGCACAAGGCACTGGGCAGCACAAAGCACTAAGTACAAGCACTGGGCACTCACTTTTGAGATGAGAAGAAGAAAGACGACGAGTGCTAGCAGAATGCTGATCGCAAGAGTGATCTTCTCACTCGCTTCGGCTGGCAAATAAAATACCATCATTGAGAGGAATGCCATTAAAACTGTTGGCATGATTAGGATCACTGTATAGAAAAGGGTTTTTCTGAAAGTTCTCTTTTTCTTTTGGCTTTAGTATTGCCTTCAGTCTGGTAAAGCTTTAAAAGATTCCTCAACCTTCTGATTTTAATCTGGAAAGCGATCCGACTGCGCTCGTTTTGCAAAAAACCAGGCACATCAATGAGATCCCAGATTCCACTTTTCGAGTAGTCATTCAAATCGACCTAAATAAAATCGACAAATAAAATCGACAAGTACAAAAGTACAATGCAAAAAAACTAAAATGCCTAAAGAAAAGGAGATTTTATACAGGGCCAAAATTACCGTTAGATTTTAAAGTCTCTCTATGTCTCAAAATGTCAAAAGTTTCAAAATCTCAAAGATTTTTCTTCAAAAATAACTTTTTATTATCTCATAATTATAACAACTTTTATTATAACAATTCATAAAAACGATTTCTTTACAAACAGATCTCCATTAGCTTTTACACAGGCCGTACAAACGTCGTGGAAAAGCCCGATCGGTTTGGCGATCGGTTGGTCGTCTCAACAGGCGATCCCTCACTTTTTACATTTGCTGAAGTTGTTACCATTCGCTTTCTTCTACGCCCTAGCTGATCAGAATCCATTCCCAAGGCATTGAAGCGTTCGATTTTGCGAAACAAGCGCAAGCATTTGATTCACTTTGAGACGTTTTGCAGCCTCACTAGCTGCAACCTCACTAGCTGCAACCTCACTAGCTGCAACCTCACTAGCTGCAACCTCACTAGCTGCAACCTCACTAGCTGCAACCTCACTAGCTGCAACCTCACTAGCTGCAACCTCACTAGCTGCAACCTCACTAGCTGCAGCCTCACTAGCTGCAGCCTCACTAGCTGCAGCCTCACTAGCTGCAGCCTCACTAGCTGCAGCCTCACTAGCTGCAGCCTCACTAGCTGCAGCCTCACTAGCTGCAGCCTCACTAGCTGCAGCCTCACTAGCTGCAGCCTCACTAGCTGCAGCCTCACTAGCTGCAACCTCACTAGCTGCAACCTCACTAGCTGCAACCTCACTAGCTGCAACCTCACTAGCTGCAACCTCACTAGCTGCAACCTCACTAGCTGCAACCTCACTAGCTGCAGCCTCACTAGCTGCAGCCTCACTAGCTGCAGCCTCACTCGCAAGCTCCTGTTTGCGCAGCGCGATGATGCTCGAAGCATTCTAAAAATAAACATTTTTATGACATGCCTGTATTAATGTTGAACAACAAATAATATTAACAGAAAAATTAGAAAACAAGAAAACAAGAAAAGTTTGAAGATATGCGCATTTGCATTGTAACGGTGGGCATTGTAACGGTAATTTTGGCCCACCCTGTACAGCTTGGGAAGCCGAAGCCGGGAGTCGAATCCGCATTCGTACCCGGCCAACCCGCTCCGAAAGAGAAGGGGCTAACCACTATACCAAATGGTCATGCCAATGACCATTTGGTGTAGTCTGCAGCCAGAATATGAATATGAATATTCATATTCTGGATGCAGATAGTTCATATCAATCGCCCCTATGAACTATCTGCACACAGAAAGAAACTCGAGCATCTACCAAGCAAATATTGTTTAATGTTTTGTTTCAAATTGTAAACCTTACTCGTATCCCTTCTGAAAAGCCCCCCATCTCCTCTGACCTGCTTTTTTCCCATCAAATAGTCGATTTGCACCTCATCTTTACCGAAAGTCCATGAGCCGAAAACCATCGTGCAAACTTGTTCTAAACAAATACTTATAAACATTTACATTTTATAATAATTTGATACAATATTTAAACTCTAAATATAGAAAAGAAACCAAAAAAATGGTTGATGAGAGATAGCCGGCGGGGCTGAACCCTTGACCCATGGGGATAGAGCTCTGACTGAGAAACGAGGCACTTAGCCACTCGGCCATCACGGTTATATGGAGGGTCGCGTGTTTTCTAGTTTAGTTACCATCAAATGGAAAATACTCAACATCAACTGCTGAAGATAACTGCTGGGGGAAACCAAGGGATTTTCTGGTTTAGATCTCCTGACTGAGAAACGAGGCACTCAGCCAATTGGCTATCACGCTTACCCTCCCCGTCACCTCTTTTCTAGTTTACTTACCATCAAATGGAAAATACTCAACATCAATTGTGCAACTGCTGAAGAAAACTGCCGGTGGAACCAAGGGATTTTCTGGCTTAGATCTCCTGACTGAGAAACGAGGCACTTAGCCAATCAGCCATCACCCTTACCGCAGTCGCCTATTTCGGCCATCACCCTTACCCTCCCCGTCGCCTATTTCCTACTTTACTTACCATCAAATGGGAAATACTCAACATCAATTGTGCAACTGCTGAAGAAAACTGCTGGGGGAACCCAAAGGATTTCCTGGAATTGAATCGAATTAAATCAAATTTTGCTTTTACAATATGAAATACAAATACAACAATACAAAAGAAAAACCCCAGTGTGCTCAATGACGACATTTGAGAGGAAAGAGACCAAATAATTCCCATCAGCGCTGAAAATTCGAGTAATATTTTTGATAGAGATCGTCCCACTTGTTGAAGAGGACAATGTCAGGCAACCAGACTTTTTGTGGTGGTACACGAATCGTTCCAATATTGTCATAATCTCGTGGATCCCAACGCAATTGATAGTCAAGCCAACGCTGAAAGAAAACGACTTGAAAACGACTTGAAAACGACTTGAAAACTTGAAAGTAACCAGCGTTTTTGAAGCTAAGATATTTATAGGATGTACTTTAGTGTAAGTACTGTAAGTACTGCTGTAATTACTGCTGTAAGTACTATAAGTATTGTAAATACTCCAAGTACTGTAAGCCTGTAAGCCTGTAAGCCTGTCAGTACTGTAGGCCTGTAAGCCTATAAGCCTGTAAGCCTGTAAGCCTGTAAGCCTGTAAGTACTGTTACTACTAGTACTTTTATATAGCACAGAACTAACTACAGCTGTTGATCTGTTGATCAGCTCATTTGTTGATCCGATTGCTAATAGGTGAAGTTTTGATCACTTTAATGAATATTTACTCAAAGATTTTTAGACTAAAAGATAGAAATTACAAAATTCTAATATCATTAACAAGAAATCTTGAAAAAGTAGTCGTTAAAGTGATCAAATCTTCACCTATTAGCAATCGGATCAACAAATGAATAGCTGTTGTTAGTTCTGTGCTATATGACTTTTTTTTCCTTTCTTCTGTAAATTTAATGTTAAAAATTTCTCCCCCGGGGTTTTCAGAGTCGTAAAATTCATTGCCGGGGTTTATTTGAACTCTTTTTTTTCAAGTGAATCGATTTCGTTTTAGGTTTTTGCATGACTATTTGATCAGTTCTTTCTTTTACTTTAAAACTTTCAACCGAATTTCAATTGGTAGACTCAATAAAATGAATAGCGCCAAACGATTCGTGATCTCAGCTGATTTACAGCTGATTTAGAGCTGAATCTTCTTTTGATAACAAATTTACATCTAACTATCTTCTTTTTATCCCTACAATCCAAAGAAAGTCATGTGTAAATGCCTGGTATTCTTTGCTCAGCTGTGTAATCGCTCGTCATCAGGCAAATCGCTTCGGTATATAGGCTTCCCTAGAGATTGGCTAGGGATTGGATAGAGATTGGATAGAGATTGGCTAGAGTCTCTATCCAAACTCTAGCCAAACTCTATCCAATCTCTAGCCAAACTCTAGCCAATCTCTATCCAATCTCTATCCAATCTCTATCCAATCTCTAGCCAAACTCTAGCCAATCTCTATCCAATCTCTAGCCAATCTCTATCCAATCTCTATCCAATCTCTAGCCAATCTCTATCCAATCTTTACCCAATCTCTATCCAATCTCTATCCAATCTCTAGCCAATCTCTATCCAATCTCTAGCCAATCTCTATCCAATCTCTAGCCAATCTCTATCCAATCTCTATCCAATCTCTATCCAATCTATACCCAATCTCTATCCAATCTCTATCCAATCTATACCCAATCTCTATCCAATCTCTATCCAATCTCTATCCAATCTCTATCCAATCTCTATCCAATCTCTATCCAATCCTAACCATTGTCGGCCAAACATTCGTCTGCATCACTTGATTCTTTTCATCAACATTGATCAACAGAATGAGCGCCAATGAGAAGCGAACCTAAAAATCAATTTCTTTACTTGTTTCTTAATGAAAATCTTTCCTACTTGAATGATATCACTTTGATTCTTCACAGGTCTAACCAATTGATTATATCCATTGAAAAGATTCGCCAGTAATCGCTCTTCTTCATAGGATTGCGTGGAATGATTGATGAGGAAGCAGAAAGATAAAATGGACACTGAACAATGGCTTTTTAGACTTAGGCTTTAGACCTCTAAATTCCCTTTGCTGTTCCTTTGCTAAAGATTTTCCTTTTCTTGAATCTATCGATTTTTTAGAGTCTTTTACAGTCTTTAGTATGCTACAATTATCGAATTATTTATTCAAACAATGAAATAATTAAAATAAACAATGAAATTTATCTGGCGAGATTGTACTTTGCTGTCAGCTCTTTGATAATCTAAAGAAATTCGATTTAAAGCATTGAAAGATAATGAAGAAAAAGATGTACTTGATCTTGATCAATCCATTCAAATACATGTGGCGCGCGGAGAATGATCTCAATCGTTCCACCCAATGTCACCCCAAAAAACACCAACAAAAGCAAACGATCGATCACCATTGCAACGTATTTCCAGTCGTCTCGGATCTTGAAAGCTTTCAAAGGGTTTTGAAAGGGTTTTGGCAATAAAAGCCGATTTTTCTTCAGCTTCAGATAGATCTTCAGATAGATCTTCAGCCAGATCTTCAGCCAGATCTTCAGCTTCAGATAGATCTTCAGCTAGATCTTCAGCTAGATCTTCAGCTTCAGCTAGATCTTCAGCTAGATCTTCAGCTAGATCTTCAGCTTCAGCTAGATCTTCAGCTTCAGATAGATCCTCAGCTTCAGCTAGATCTTCAGCTAGATCTTCAGCTTCAGATAGATCCTCAGCTTCAGCTAGATCTTCAGCCAGATCTTCAGCCAGATCTTCAGCCAGATCTTCAGCTTCAGATAGATCCTCAGCTTCAGCTAGATCTTCAGCTAGATCTTCCGCTTCAGCTAGATCTTCAGCTTTCAAGACAATCAATTCATTTCCAAGCTCACCTTTTTATTGGCCATATCAGCTTTCATGTGCTCAGCAATGTATGCGATTGATTCCACCGTCCTTTTCAATTCTCTACTCATCCTTTCCGCCATTGATTCTGGATTTAGCTGAAGAGGAGCTTTGTACTCAATTTTTACTTCAAAGTACTGACATCACTTCACTTCAAAAGAGGCTAAAATTGCGAAGATCAGTGGATCGAGCCCAGTTGGAAACCTTCTTTTACGAGTTGGGGATACAAAAAGTTGGCGCAGGGACTTGAACCCGTGACCTCTCCCTTACCAGGCCAACGCTCTGGAGCTACACCGAGACGTTCCCCGTTCGATCAGGGAAGGGCTTTAGGCCTTGCTGCCTTTTGGCTGGCTCGACAAACTTGTGAATGAGCATTTAGCTTGGACAAGGCTAAGCCTAGCCAATTTGAACTAGCCTAAGCCTAAGTCTAAGCCTGAACCTGAGATTTGAACTAGCCTAAGCCTAAACCTAAGCCTAAACCTAAGCCTGAGCCTAAGCCTAAGCCTAAGCCTGAGCCTGAGCCTGAGCCTGAGCCTAGGCTTCAACTTTACACTCAACAATCACCCAAATGTTTTCTCCAATCGATTTCTCTCACCGGATCCATTTTCAACGGTTTCCCATTCGAATCTTTTCCACCTTTCTTCATCGATTGTCGTTTGGAGCAATTTCGATGATGATTCATCTCATCGTCTTTTTGAGTGACGCCTAAAAACTTTTTTTTCAAGCGTTTTCTAAAAGCTTTTCGTTTCAAAACTGTATTCTGTTTAAATCTAAACCTAAATCTAAATCTAAATCTAGATTATTAGACAAGTCCTTTGCTAATTATGGTCACTTTTAAAGGATCTGGAGTCCGGCTTTTGAAGGATCTGGAGTCCGGCTTTTGAAGGATCTGGAGTCCGGCCTTTAAGGGATCTGGAGTCCGGCTTTTGAAGGATCTGGAGTCCGGCTTTTAAGGGATCTGGAGTACATATTTTAGAAAGTAGGAAAGTATTTAGAAAGTACTTTAGAAAGTATTTTAGAAAACTGATTTAATCAGATGAATCTAGTGTACAAAACTTAGAAATAGATTGTTTACGTTAACTTTCTCAAGATCATCTTTTAGAAAACAAGCTAATCAACGTACTGCTCTATCCTAAAATCAAAAACATCCATTTACCTGGCATATTTATGAATGGTACAATTGTTGCGGTTACTGATGGCATGACAAGACCTAAAATTTTAGCTTTTTACAAAAATCTTTCAACATTCTATCAAGTATTCAGCAACAGAGGTGGTTAATAGAAAAAACGGACGAGTTTTCTTGATAGAGTTTGCTGTGTTAAAGCTTAAACCCCTTGACCGTAATCTCGGATTTCTCAATGAACAGTCAAGCTTTAAACGATCACCACTTTGCTTAGAGATTAGATCATTGTTAGATATTTATATAGCTTTATAGAGGAGATTTCAAGCTTTCAAATGATACCAAATAGAGCCTGATTGGACTAACCAATCCAGAGAAAACAGCAGCTAAACTTGAGCGTCTTGTTTATTGTAGTTTGAATAAGAAGCTCAAGTTTAGCTACTGTTTTCTCTAGATTCCCTAGTCCAATCAGGCTTTATTTGGTATCATTTAAAAGCTTGAAATCTCCTCTACAAAGCTATATAAATACATAACAATGATCTAATCTCTAATCAAAGTTATGACCCTTTAAACCTTGACGATTCCCACAAAAATCCTGGATAACGGACAAGAGCCGAAAATTGATAAATTTGCCTTACGTTCTTTGTTATATTTGAGATATTTCACTGAAAAGAATTCTTTTTGTAACTCTAGAAATAATCAGAAACAAACTGGCGTCAAAGATTTCCGAAGCCGAGTACTCTTCGACGAAATAGCCGTTGAAAATCGGGATTCGCTCCGGGCGTTTCATCATCAAAAGTGGAGGGAGAAATTCGAGGAAAACTGGAAATTGGATAGGAGAATGGGTACGCAAAGTATTCCTAATCAGAGAAAAAAAGGCACCGTTGGTTCTGGCTTTGCTACAACCGTTCATAAAATCACCTGGAACTACCCAGTTCCTAGTACACAAGCTCGAGCTGGACTCTAGAGTCAGAGCTAGAGCTAAAGCCAGACCCGTGCTCCAGAGCCGGATTCCAGAACTAGAGCCGGACTCCAGAACTAGAGCCGGACTCCAGAGCCAGAACCAGAGCCGAAGCCAGACTCCAGAGCCAGAACCAGAGCCAGATTCCAGAGCCAGAGCTAGACTCCAGAGCCAGAACCAGAGCCAGAGCCAGAACCAGAGCCAGAACCAGAACCGGAGCCAGACTCCAGAGCCAGAACCAGAGCCAGATTCCAGAGCCAGAGCTAGACTCCAGAGCCAGAACCAGAGCCAGAGCCAGAGCCAGAACCAGAACCGGAGTCAGACTCCAGAGCTAGAACCAGAACCGGAGCCAGACTCCAGACCCGGAACCAGAACCAGAACCAGAACCGAAGCCAGACTCCAGAGCCAGAACCAGAACCAGAGCCAGACTCCAGAGCCAGAGCCAGAACCAGAGCCAGAACCAGGGCCAGACTACAGAGCCAGAACCAGGGCCAGAGCCAGAGCCCAAACCAGAGCCAGACTACAGAGCCAGAACCAGATCCGGAACCAGAGCCAGAGTCAGAGCTAGAAACTTTCTGGATGAAATAAAATTCTTTTAGATTAAAATCAAGCTTTAAGACCCACCCTTCCTCACCCATGGAGACATCTTATGGGAAAGCGGCGAGCGAAAGTAGATGTTAACAATGATAACCGTTACCTAAAAGCTTACCTTTTGTCAAGTACAATAAAAATAAACTTACAATAACGGTGGTGATGTTTAAAATAAAAGCCATTAGGAGATATTTGCCCATCAGTGGGATATTCGACGTTGGTGGAAGGATTTTCGAAACAAGCACCAAGAACACAACCTGAAGGACAGCTTTAGTTTTGGGTACTCACATGTAAATGCAAGCTTTCTAGCGCTGAATTTTCTCAATTCTTTCTGCGCCAGAAATGGTTTGTTTACAGATTTGATCACAAGGTACAGTTAAAAGAAAAGAAACCAAAGCCAGCTGGATGTTGATGGTGAGTGAGATCTTCTCAGCCGAATCAGCTGGTAGATAGAAAGCCTAAAGCACACTAGTGCATTCGGTTCTAGAAATCTTACCATCATTGAAAGGAATGCCATTAGAACAGTGGGAATGATTAGAATCACTGTGTAGAAGAGAGCTTTTCTAAAAAGTGCATTTTTTAGGAAAAATGAGGAGAAATTGGAGGAAAAATCAAAAGAATTGGCGCCGAGAGGAGCCGAACCTCTCCTCCGTTCGTTTGACAGACGCGTGTTAATCACTCGTGTTAACCACTCGTGTTAACCACTCGTGTTAACCACTCGTGTTAACCACTCGTGTTAACCACTCGTGTTAACCACTCGTGTTAACCACTCGTGTTAACCACCTTTCCCGTTTTACCTTCTGATGTGAATATTAAAAACGATTCGACTCGTTGTCCCGTTGTTTACAATTGCACCAGGCACATCAATCACATCCCAAATTGCTGATTTCGAGTAATCATTCAATTGAACAGCCTAAAGAGATCTAGAATCAAGCCGAGAAAGTCAAGTCAAGTCTAGAAAAAGGCAGATAGTTAGTCAATCAGATCGTTAGTCAATCAGATAGTTAAGAAATGCTTAGATTGACCAGTCAATGTCAGACCAGGTCTTGATCTGACTTTTGTGGACTAGGCCAGCAATAAAGTCAGCCAGAGAATCAGCCAGAGAGTCAGCCAGTCAGCCATTTATCAACAATCACCAATTACCGTAACGTTGTTGTAAAAACGGAGCTGCACCTCATGCTTATTGTAAGTCCATGAGCCTGAAATGTTCTAGAATTCGTATAGAAATAGAAACAAGCAACAAGTAAGCTCAAAGACTAACCAAAGATCATATCACAGTGTTGCTCATCAAAGGGAAACCACTCAACATCAATCGCTAAAAATAGTGTTCATCTCTTGTTCATTTGGCAAGTCTTTTACAGTCTTTTAGATCGAAATTAGTTGTAAAATCCTTGTAAAATCATTGCAATTGTAATTGATTGATAACTTTGATCAGTCCAGCTTATTGAAAATGTTACCACAACTTGAGAGATATCTGGCCGGTGGAACCCAAGTGACATCACCAGTGTGCTCGATGAAAACATTTGATTTAAATGACACCTCATACGTCCCATCAGCACTTAAAGGATCCACAATTATTTGAGAATTGTCAGTTTTTGTCAATTGTCAGTTTTTGTCAATTGTCAGCTTTGTCAATTGTCAGTTTTTTTCAATTCTCTTAAATGAAAATCACGAAAATTGCTTCTTTTCTTCATAAATTTCAGTTTTTCGTCGTTTTTTTGTCGTTTTAAAATGATTTTCAAATCGAAATCGATCGAAAATCGACAAAATGAAAGGGAAAATTGCAAAGAATTGCAAAGAATTGCAAAGAAAATTGAATTTTGATTAGATTTAATTGATTAGCCTGAGCCTAAGCTCCTAAGCACTCCAGACAACTCCTAAGCACTCCAGTCAACTCCTAAGCACTCCAGTCAACTCCTAAGCACTCCAGTCAACTCCTAAGCACTCCAGTCAACTCCTAAGCACTCCAGTCAACTCCTAAGCACTCCAGTCAACTCCTAAGCACTCCAGTCAACTCCTAAGCACTCCAGTCAACTCCTAAGCACTCCAGTCAACTCCTAAGCACTCCAGACAACTCCTAAGCACTCTAGTCAACTCCTAAGCACTCTAGTCAACTCCTAAGCACTCCAGTCAACTTCTAAGCACTCCAGTCAACTCCTAAGCACTCCAGTCAACTCCTAAGCACTCCAGTCAACTCCTAAGCACTCCAGTCAACTCCTAAGCACTCCAGACAACTCCTAAGCACTCTAGTCAACTCCTAAGCACTCCAGTCAACTCCTAAGCACTCCAGTCAACTCCTAAGCACTCCAGTCAACTTCTAAGCTCAGCGAGTTAACCAGCAGTACCGATTCTATCATCAAATAACTTTTTAAACCGTAATTAGTTCAATCTCGATCAGTACCGTTACTGTAATCGTTAAGCGAGTCTAGATTGTGTCAAGCTTTTCAATTCCATTTCATTTCCATTTCACTTTCATCCTTCACCCAACCGAGTATCCCTTTTCACTAAGAAAAGACAAAGAAACTTTTAGAGAAATCGATAGATGTCTAAAGAAAACCCACACAAATTCACTTTTCACTAATTTGCACCCCATCTCTCTTTCTCGTTGTCATCCCCCGAAAACGAAATTTTCCCCCGATAAGATTTGTTTACGAAAAATGTAGAGACAAAGGATATCGAAGCGGAGAAATCATTCTTAAATTAGTTTGGCTTTGAGGCGCTCTTTAAGTTCAGAAGAGAATTCAGGGCTAGAGCTCGCTAGCCTTATTTACAACCTTGACTGTAACTTTGGAGTTAATTAGCTGGATCTTAGCTGGATATTAGCTGGATATTAGCTGGATCTTAGCTAGAGCTTAGCTGGATCTTAGCTGGATATTAGCTGCAATTAATTAGCTGAAGATCTATCTACGAACATCAACGAAATTCACTAGTTTTTAAATTTCGCTTAAAGCTAGTTTTTAAACCTTTAACTATCTTAAAAAGCGGCTCCAAACTTTTGCCGCACCCTGTACAAGCGTTTGATGAGTTTTTAAAGATTTTTAAAGTATCTATTTGATAAATCTACTTTATATTTAGGTTTATGTTGAGGGTTTATTTTTTTTGGGAAACGGATGGCCCTTAGGGGATTTCCTTTAGCCCAGGCTAAAACCCCAGGCTAAAGGCCTAGGCCCAGGCTAAAGGCCTAGGCCCAGGTCAATGCCACATCACCCTCACAAATCTTTGAGAAGTGAGAAAAGATATGAGAAAGATATGAGAAAAGATATTTCAAGAAAGAAAGAAATATGAATTTAACTCTTTAGTTGAAACTTTTTAATGTTTAGATCAAAACTTTTCCATTTCCTTTTTAGAAAACACTTTTTAGATCTTTAGAACCTCTTTAGAACTTCTTTAGAACTTCTTTTTCGTTGCCCATTTTTCTTTTGAAGTCTACAAAAGAGATTCTAGATTTCTTGAGTCAAATTTAATGTAGATTCTAATAAAAGTAACCATGAGTTGATTGGGTTTCTAGACCTGAATTTATGGACCATTTAATTGGATCGACTCTTCTAAGTAGATAGTCTGACTTTGACAGAGATTTTCTATATGTTTTTATCGGTAAGTCTACAAAACAGATTCTATATTTCTTCAGTCAAATTTAATGTAGATTCTAATAAAAAAAACCAGGAGTTGATTGGGTTTCTAGACCTGAAGTTATGGACCATTTAATTGGATCGACTCTTCTAAGTAGATAGTCTAAATGGATAGTCTGACTTTGACAGAGATTTTCTCTATGTTTTTACACTAAAGTGTATTAAATGACTTATGGTTTTCTAAAACCGAATTTTATAAGGAACATTTTAAGACCAACTACAAGTTGATCGGTCAATTGGAAGTTGAAATATGGAGGAGAAGAGAAGAGTCGTCAAACTCCGACTCTCTACCCCCTTAGACTCTTTAGAACCTCTTTTTCGTTGCCCATTTTTCTTTTAAATCCTTTTCTTCTTCTTTTTCAAACTCCAATTACCCAAATGTCGCTCACAGCTTTCAAATAAAATGACTAAATGGAAATGTGTTCGTTTTTTTTGATGAAAAATTGATTTTAGAGTTGAAAAATAGAGAATTTAATGGAAAATCTCTTTTAAAAAATCTGAAATTACTCGAAATATGACTCGAAAAAGACGAAATTCCCCTTTTTCTCTGATTTATCAACTCTTATCTACTCTTATCAACTCTTATCAACGATTTATCAACTCTTATCTACTCTTATCTACGCTTATCTACTCTTATCTACTGCTTTTTCTTCAAAAACCACTTCTTCTAAGGTGATTTTATGCATAGATTCCAAAAAAACACAACGAGAACTGAGGAAAGCTGAGGAAAGCTGAGGAAAAAGCGTTTTAAGCCAGGTTTTTAAGCCAGCCAGTCACTCCAAAGTGACTCTATCGTACTATTTAGCCTAAGCTCTATCCTCTATCGTACTATTTAGCCTAAGCTATCGTATTGAGGCACTTTCCAAGGTAAAAACTAGAGCGAAAACCATCCCTTCACTACTAAATATCCATTTTCTAACCTACTTTCTAACCTACTACTCGTAGAAGCAAAAGAAATTAAAAAAATATTTTTTGAAATTTTGACTTATGTGAGGGACCACATGAAAATTTGAAAATTTGTAAAAAAAAATTTATTTTTTCTTTTGCTTTAATTTGATCAGAAACGTAATTAGTAAGTTAAATTATGCCAATAAAATGCTTTTTTTGGCTTTAAAAGGCTTTAAAGGGCTTTAAAAAGGCTTTTTTTGGCTTTTTTGACTTGAAAAAATGGGTGAGACGATTTTAGACCTCTTCTCTTCTCCCTTATCTCACTATAGGTCCACTTTGGAGCCATGAAACTCGTTTTTAAACGCATTTTCTTCACTTCTCGTTGTGTTTTTTGGAATCTACGCATAAGATTCCCCTAGAAAAAGTGGTTTAGAACTTTTGGCTTTTAAAACTGACTTGTTGAAGAGAACGATCTCGGGAAGCCAAACTTTTTCTGATGGAACGTGCAATTCGGAGAGATTCCCGAAATCGGCTGGATTCCAACGCAGCTTAAGATTCGATTTATTGACTGTTGCTGTTGCTTAACAATGCTTAACAATGCTGCTTAACAATGCTGCTTAACAATGCTTAACAATGCTGCTTAACAATGCTGCTTAACAATGCTTAACATTGCTGCTTAACAATGCTGCTTAACAATGCTGCTTAACAATGCTTAACAATGCTGCTTAACAATGCTGCTTAACAATGCTGCTTAACAATGCTGCTTAACAATGCTGCTTAACAATGCTGCTTAACAATGCTTAACAATGCTGCTTAACAATGCTGCTTAACAATGCTGCTTAACAATGCTTAACATTGCTGCTTAACAATGCTGCTTAACAATGCTGCTTAACAATGCTGCTTAACAATGCTTAACAATGCTGCTTAACAATGCTGCTTAACAATGCTTAACAATGCTGCTTAACAATGCTGCTTAACAATGCTTAACATTGCTGCTTAACAATGCTGCTTAACAATGCTGCTTTAACAATGCTGCTTAACAATGGCTTAACAATGCTGCTTAACAATGCTGCTTAACAATGCTTAACAATGCTGCTTAACAATGCTGCTTAACAATGCTTAACAATGCTGCTTAACAATGCTGCTTAACAATGCTTAACATTGCTGCTTAACAATGCTGCTTAACAATGCTGCTTAACAATGCTTAACAATGCTTAACAATGCTGCTTAACAATGCTGCTTAACAATGCTGCTTAACAATGCTGCTTAACAATGCTTAACAATGCTGCTTAACAATGCTGCTTAACAATGCTTAACATTGCTGCTTAACAATGCTGCTTAACAATGCTGCTTAACAATGCTGCTTAACAATGCTTAACAATGCTTAACAATGCTGCTTAACAATGCTGCTTAACAATGCTGCTTAACAATGCTTAACAATGCTTAACAATGCTGCTTAACAATGCTGCTTAACAATGCTGCTTAACAATGCTGCTTAACAATGCTTAACAATGCTGCTTAACAATGCTGCTTAACAATGCTTAACAATGCTGCTTAACAATGCTGCTTAACAATGCTTAACAATGCTGCTTAACAATGCTGCTTAACAATGCTGCTTAACAATGCTGCTTAACAATGCTGCTTAACAATGCTGCTTAACAATGCTTCTTAACAATGCTTAACAATGCTGCTTAACAATGCTTAACATTGCTGCTTAACAATGTTGCTTAGCAATGCTTAACAATACTTAACTAATGCTGCTTAACAATGCTTAACAATGCTGCTTAACAAGACAAGAAAGTTAAGCAGCAGATAGAGGCAAAAATTTAATTTTAATCTTTTAATCAAAGACTACTCTAGCAAAAACTACAAAAAGAAAAACTACAAAAACAAAAACTCACCTGAAAATCGTTCCACTTCATCGTCAACCAGACGTTCGTTTGGAGGATTTGATTTTTCTCATCCTAGCTTCTTTTAATTGCAATTAGATTTGACAGTACTTTACCACACTGATCAAAAGAATCATCGCCACTCCAAAGTCGACATAGATTGGTGGAGAGAACTCGGAGGGAACGGGACGGATCAAGTGATTGTAACTGAAAGAGGGAAAGGAATACGAAGAACAAGAAATACTGTAATCTTACCGTAACCATTGTAATCTAATAAACGTAATCTTACCATGCACCTCATTTAATTATGCAAATTGTACAAAATATTCCCCAGAACTTGATCAATATGACTGAGAAGGGAAAGGCAACGAGCTGGCTTCCTTAAGAAGCGCTGGCAACGAGCTGGCTTCCTTCCACACGCTCCTCGACCAGCGACTTCGATGGTCTAATGGATAGTCTCCTAAACTACCAAAGGTTTGGTAGTTTAGGACTATCTATTAGACCATCGAAGTAGCTGGTCGAGAATCACCGAGTCAGAAAAACCCGACATTAAGCAGGTTTTTCGGCTGGGTCAATGAAAGAATTCAATAGGTTTTGTTTTAAGATGAAAATTCTGTATAAATCATTCCCACCCTTGAAAAAGGTGTTCAAGTAGCCGCTCCTCGTCCTCATCGAAATACGAATAATCTAGAAATTGATTAGATTCAAGTTAGATTTAGATTAGATTCAGATTAGATCCAGATTGGCTTCAGATTGGCTTCAGATTAGCTTCAAATTAGATCCAGATTGGATTCAGATTAGAGTTAGATTAGCTTCAGATTAGCTTCAGATTGGATTCAAATTAGATTAAAATTAGCTACAGATTAGATTCAGATTAGATTCAGATTAGATTTAGATTAGATTTAGATTAGATTCTCTAGATCCAGATTAGCTTCAAATTAGATTCAGATTAGATTCAGATTTAGCATCAATTTTAGACCTTTTTTTTTAGCCAAATCTACATTTTTTTCCACTTTCAGATCTCAATTTAGAATTTGCAAAGGGTTTCGGAAATGAAAACGAATATTTGCTGAGAAAAAGAGTCTCTTCTTTGCCATGTCAAGCATAAACATTTCGAGAGAATTTCGAGGGAATTTCGCGAAAAAACTCACTAAACCAGGCAAGCTTTTGAGGAAACGTCTTTTTAAGTGAAATACATTGAAATAAAATTGCTCTACGTATCTTTACGAGTTTTTAAAAGATCAAATAAACGCTCAGTGAAGTTTTCCGGTCTAGATAAGGCACTTGTCAAATTTGCAGATCAAAATTTGCATATTTAATACTATTTAGAGATTTTTATTCACAAAATAGAATCTGGTGTTTGCATTAGCCTGAAATCTCAGCCCCAGTTTGGATCATAGCCTTGGATGACAAGATCATATCATCTTGTCTGGCCTTGGATGGACTTTGCTGGCCTTGCTTGGCCTTGGCTGGCCTTGTTTGGCCTTGCCTGGCCTTGCTTGGCCTTGGCTGACCTTGTCTGGCCTTGGCTGGCCTTGCTTGGCCTTGTTTGACCTTGCCTGGCCTTGGCTCGGGTCCAGACTTTGCTAGATCTAGCAAAATTTACTAGTTTCTCAAAATTCGCAATCTTGAGCAAATATCTTGAGCAATATTCTCTAAAAATGAAAATTTTTGCTAGTTTTTTGGTTTTTAGAAGCTAGATTCCATTCTGCGTTTGCAACCATGAAATTATTTTGACTTAATGACTTACTTTGACTAAATGACAAACCAGTACCAATCCTAAACATTACCCAATCCTAAGCATTAACCACATTAATCCTAAACACTCAGCTTTTCTGAGTCCTTTTCTGAGATCTTTTGTCCAATCCAATGACCTTGAATCATATTGCTTTTAAAATCTCCTAAATATTTACATCTAATTTTCAAACCTGGCTTTGTCAAGTTCTCCGGTGATCGCAGAAATCCTTGATAGAAATTCGCGATCCCAGCCTCTTCAGCAATGACATAGTGAACAAATAAACACAATAAAAGAAACATTCTCAAAAAAAAAACTTCACATTGTTTAGAAATAAAAATGGCCTCGATCTCTTCTTGGATTCTTCTCCTACTTAGCAATTCTCACTTCAGCGCCCCGGGAGAATACCCTGTGTATTCTGCCGGCCCGCCCCTTTTCCCGAAAAAAAAATCTTGGTCTTGGCTTTTCATATTGAGGCATTGAAAAGGGGAAACTGGCTATTCCCCATTGCATCTCTAGGGACATTTCGAACACATCGAACACCTCTTTTCTTCACTTTTCTTCTTCGACAATCGAATCTTGTCCAAAGAAAACATTTGAAAGATTTTCGACTTTTGACTTGACCTCTTTTATAAGTAACTAAATTTTCAAGTTTTATTTTATGAGATTCAGTGAATACAGAAGTAAGCAATTGAGCTGACTTGTCTGGAGCTGACTTGTCTGGAGCGTGTTCTTTTTAGGGATGATATTTGATTTGATAATGTCACTAGATCAAAAAAAAAAGACCAAAAAAAAACCAAAAAAACTAGATCTTTGAACACTTACATTTTGTGAATCAAACCGGACTCTTTGAAGATAAACAATAGAATTTTAATGGCGCCAGCAATTACAAAACTTATTGTATCGTAAATAGTATCGTATCGTATCGTAGTATCGTAAATATCATGCAAAATATTGACAGCGCCTTGCCTAACAACTAAAAACATCCTTTTTGACAGAATCTTACTCAAAAAGCTCAAGAATGTTTAAAGATCTCTGGCACGATCTCTGGCGCGAGCTATGCGGTAGCTTAAATTGCCAAGAGAAAGAAGGAAAGACAAGGGGAAGAAGAAAGAAAGAAGAAAGAAAGAAGAAAAAAGAAAGAAAGAAGAAGAAAGAAAAGTAAACTAGAAAAAGCATGGCCAAAAAGAATGAACCAGATAGGATACATTTACAGATTTGAGTCAGATTCACACAATCTCAACATTCCAAATTTTGCACTAATGTTCTACTGATGTTAATAAAGATATTATCTGCTAGTGAGAACATTCCCAGTGCATTTCAATTTGGGAAATTTAATTAGAGAAACCCGGACATGATTCACGCAGAGGCTTTTTAAAAATCGTTTTTGGAAGTAGTTTTTTTAAAAATGAAAATCAAACTAGAACTATTTCTAAGGTTTTTAAAGAAAAAAACTGACAAACCTTGTCGTTATTTTGAAAGTCCACTTCTAGCTTCTTGTGTCGCACTTAGTTCTCGATGTGAAAATCACAATTGCACAAAATGTTTCAATCAAGCACAAACGGATTGATTGGTTACAAAATAAATAATAATATGCCAAATAAAATAAAAGAAACAAAAATAAATAACCAAAAAAAACAAAAACAAACAAAAAACAAACAAAAAAACAAACAAAAACAAGCAAAAAACAAACAAAAACAAACAAAAATAACCAAAAATAACCAAAAACAAGCAAAAACAAACAAAACAAACAAAAAACAAACAAAAATAACCAAAAACAAGCAAAAACAAACAAAAACCAGAAAAATAAAAATATAAAACAAAAAAAAACAAATTTGCAGCAAAGATGAGCCATGTACAGTCATCTCTTTTAGATTGACTGCTTAAATCTTGATCTCAAGCTCTCATTTTTGTAGAGTGGACTCTACACGCTGCTAGAGTGTGTTCCTCGCGAGAAATGCGTTTTTTAAAACGCACAATTGCGAAAAAATTACCCCTACTTTTAGCAAAAATTATTGCAAAAAAAATGACGCAAAAATGACGAGCCCCGCATTATATAAGACACTTTTTAAAGATACTCAGCCGCTTAACTGATTTGGTGGGAAATTCCCTTCCAATGTAAAAATTGATTTTTTTTTTTTTGAAAAACCTGCGCAAAAATTGCTTTTATTTTTTTTTTCGCGCAGGCGCACTTTTTAGAAAACGCATTACTCGACAATTACTCGAGTAAAACATTACTGATGCAAATTTACTCGATTACTCACTAATTACTTACTCGCGAGCAACACACTCTACGTTTTTGTACTCTTAGACTCTAAAATTTGGTTTTGAATTGAAAACTTTTGAACTTTGAACTTTTAAACCTAGGTGTTACAGTCATGTGCAAAAGTCTTTTAACACTTAAAAAATTTTTTGATTATTTTCGTTCGCTTCTTGTTTACTGGTACTAATTTATTTTTTTTAGATGCCAGGAGCGTATTTGTCAACTCCGGGTAAAGAAATGATCGTCAAGGCAAGGAAACAAGGGATGCCAGGACAAATTTCATTTTTTTGAAAATGTAATTTGTTTTAGTGTCGTTTTGAATAAACAATTCTTCGGGTAACTGCACACTGTAACTGTAAAAGACTCGAAAAATCGCTCGAAACTTTTTTTTTGCTAGTATTCAATCAAAAGCACCTTTTAGCCTTGATTATAGTAATTGGAACATGATTTAGAAATGACAAATTAAGTAAGGATTACTGTAGAGACAAGATACTCGACAGTAAGGGTTACTGCAGAGTTTCCTCTTCTCAAAACAAAGCAATAAACAACTTTTTCTAAAACATCTCCCTTTCTTTTCTTTTCTCTACAGATTTGGTTCCATTTCTCTAAAGATTTGGCTCCTTTCTGGTACAGATTTGGTTCCTTTCCGGTACAGACTTGATTCCTTTTCTCTACAGATCTGTAGTAGAGAAAAGGAAAAAAGAAAAAATCTGTAGAGAAAAGGAACCAAAACTATCGTCATCTCATCTCTATTTTTATCCAATCTATTCACTTTTTATATCTTTCGATATCTTTTGTAAACCCTTACAGAATCAGCTAAAAGTGAATAGATTGGATAAAAATAGAGATAAGATGACGATAGTTTAAAGAAAGGGACATGTTTTAGAAAAGATTTCAAAGTTCAAACTTTAAGCTTCATTTTGATGATTAGCTCAATGATGATATTAATCTTGTGAACTTTTATGCGTTTTAAGGCAATAAATAAAAACTTACATATTATTTTAGCAGGCATAAATAGGAAAAGCTTTAAAATTGCTGGGGGAAAGAGCAAATGGTGAGGTTGGTGAGGGGTTTTGATCTAAATACATCCTTCTCTCTTCAAGTACCATTGAAAAGTAATGACTTTTCGAGAAAACCCTTGTAATCTACGAAAATCTAGTTTTGATAACAAAATCTCATCACATTTGTAAGGTTTTAAAAAATTTAATTACAAAATTGCATATTAATGTAAAATTAACATGAATCAAGGAAAAATTAGCACTTATACGAGTTTAATTGGCTTATTTAAAAAGAAATGAGTCTAATATTTCCTCATTTTTTTTCTACGCTTCTTGAGAAGGTCTGTTTTTAAAGTTTTATTGATTTTTTAAAATCTATTTATTGATTTGTTCATAGTTTTATGAATTTTGAGATTGTTAAAGTGTTTTAAAAGAAATTGAGCTTTTAATTTTTGTTGAAATATGTAATTTTTGTTGAAATATGAAATTTTTGTTTGTAAATATCTCGATTTTTAGATTTTTAGCATAAAATTTTTGCAATAACATGATCTATAAGGGATTTTTTTAGATATCAGCACTGTCAATGTCGATTGTCTCCACACAGAACTCTACCCAGGGACCATCAACTGGTACGTTGTTTTTGCGATTTTAAAGTAGTGATTTAGTTACAGCTATTTACTTACAGCTATTTACTTGCCGTAGTACCTATCTTAGGTATCTTAGGATACTTAGGTGCTAAATTTCTAGTAACATTTAAAGTTTCTTTTCTTTTAGAGCTGAAAACAATGCAAACCACGACCCCAGTGATTTACTTAGAGCTATTTACAACTATTTACTTAGATACCTATCTTAGGTATCTTAGAATACTTAGGTGCTAAATCTCTAGTAACATTTAAAGTTTCTTTTCTTTTAGAGCTGAAAACAATGCGAACAACGACCCCATCTCAGTCGATGACGAAAGCTCTTCACAAATCGACCTCACGAGAGTTGGTTTCTTTCTTGAAAATTATAAAGCATTTGCTTCAAATGATTTCAATTCAACTATCCAATATACAGTAAAACCTCGATAACAAAAAAACTAAAAGGATTTTCAAAAACCTTTTTGTTATCGAGGTTTTTTGTGATTGGGGTTTTGCCTTAATAATCCTAAGAAATGCTCTAAAAACAGTAAAAAATGTAGAAAACGGTGCTCTTTGGTACTAACAATGTTTTCAATTACACAATTAAGATTGTTTTTATTATTAATGCAATAAACAAGGGTAGCTTCTTTGCACAACTTTTGCTGATACCAATACAGAACACAAAACATTCAATCAAATTCAATCAAACAAGTTGCACAAAGAGGCTAGACAATAAATAGAAATAAAACTGGAATAAAAATACTGAAACTTCGCGTATTACAATTCAGAAAGAAGTGCAAATTATCAAAATGGGTGAAAAACTAATTCTTTTTTTTACATTCACTTCTAAAAGGTACTCGGCTACAGACTGAATAGCTGCGCTTTGGGGCGCATTTTAGAATTCAGCTACTTAGTGAAGTGTGGAAAGGCGTAATGTTTGTTATCGAGGCTAAAATTATACTAATTTTACTCGTCGAGATACGGAAATATCTGTTTGTTATCGAGGTTTGACTGTATTTACTTGTGCTATCATTGAAATCTTCACTTTTGTGTTAATTTTTTAATTTCAGTACTCGTTTCACGGTGTGTGTGCTGATGGTGTGCGCAGTTAGCTTTGGGGTGTTGATGTGTCAAACAGCGGTCTCTGTTCATTTACCTGGTTTCGCGCTTCTTTTGCAACTCGCCATTCTCGTTCTTGGTGGATACATGTATGAGGTAAATCTAAAGTTTTTAAAGCAGTAGAGCATAAAGTACCTAATCTACAAGCTCTACTTTAAGCAAAATTTGACTGACATGTGATTGTTTAGCTGTTTAGCTACTGTTTTTAATAAAAAAAGCTAAATTTCGAACTTTTAGTGGACCTGGGTTCATTCGCGTGGGTTGACACGTGTTCGCCGTGCCTATTTCGATGAGACAAACGTCCTCGAAACCTATAAACCAAGGGATCGCACACATGGACATCTATTTATTGTAAGTTTTTTATCTTAAAATAGAGACTTCTGAGAAAGTTTGCTATTTAAGCTAACCAATAAATATATAATTTCAGCCTGATCCACCAACACCAGGCCCCACACAACCAACCGAAAAGAGAGTCACTTTTGGAGAAGGCACCGAGGAACACAATATCGGTCATTCGTCGTTCAACGTTCAACGTGATGTGGTTTGCTTTTAGATCATTATTTGTTAGTTTGAATCGGTCGGTCTTTACCAAATTTTTCTATTCAGCACTATGCAAACGAATATCAACGGGCTCTACAAATGGCAAAAGAACTTGAGAATCACACGATGAGTTCGGCCGCCGCTCAGGATGCTGCCCCGAGTGCAAAACCTCAAGCTGTCGTACGGTTTCTAATTTGCCTTTTACATCTTTTATTAGAACTAGAATGATTAAAAACAAACTTTTATATACGGTTACAAACTTATTTTTTAGTCGATGAGCGCATCGACAAGAAGTGGAGCCGAGAAAGATCAAAAGAGAAATAACGGACAAGAAGAAAAACAATATCTCGTTTAACTTTTATTTCTCGTATTGTGCTTGCATGAAATTTCTGTGATTTGTGGTGACAATAAAGCGATAAAGATGTTCACAAGACTATTATGCTGAAGCACAAACAAACTTTAAATATGTCGAACTCCGAGGTTTAGCTTTTTGAAAGAACACGGAAACGGAACTGTTAGAGAGCCAAGTTTTTGTCGCCAGAAAATTAAGAGATACCGTATTTCTTCGAATAGAAGACCGGGTAAAGAGTATCATAGCGTACTCCTGCGTAACAGCCCTTTTTAAAATTTCTTTTCTGCATAAAAGCTTTCAATGAAGTGCTATAGGGCTGGAGAATGACTCAAAAATACCACATGAGCTAACAGACTTTTGAGCCATTTTCCAGCTCTATAGCACTTGATTGAAAGCTTTTATGCAGAAAAGAAATTTTAAAAAGGGCTGCTACGCAGGAGTACGCTATGATACTCTTTACCCGGTCTTCTATTCGAAGAAATACGGTATTCAGTGATTAAGCTGAAAAGGTGTTTTTCAAAGAGATTTTGTCGGGAAAATTGATAGAATCTTTCATTTCTTCTTTCGCGCACTTCCTGTCATTCGGAAATTGAATTTCTTGTGTTTATTACACGTTTTCTTTCTTGATTCGATCTTTTGTCTAATGTTTTATTTTAGGGCAAGACGCAGATGCCGGAGCTGGAAGAAAAAGATGAGCTAAGAGCGACGCCATTTGTTTTCAATGATTCACTCGAAATTCCCAGGGACAATTCATCGAATAAGGAAACCACGATTATCAAGACACTAAACGACTCAATCGAAAATCTCAAAAGCAGCATCATCCTAACGAATCACACCGACGTCCCATTTCAAAAGGTAGTTTTACATTTAGTGTGTACAAGTTTAGATCCATTTGGACCAATTTTCCTAAAGGGTATACATTTGGCATTTGCGCGATTAATGTAGGGTATACTACGCAACACAGTCTGCAAGTGTCCAAGAAAAAAAAAAATGAAGCGCATTGAGTTTTATTTTCTTGTGCCCAAAGGAAGCAACTAAATTCTTGATGTAAATAATGTGATAAACAATTAAAATTTTATCTTTAGACAATCCCCGACGACGATGAAGAGCTTTTCGTTTATATGGTGGAAAGTGGCGACTACTCGAACGCCTCCAAGATCAAGTCGATTGTCGTTCGGGTGGACGTAACGAACAAGGTTTTATTGCTTACCTAAAAGCTGTACAGTGCTTTTTAGATTGATCAAACGGTACTCAACACGTCTATCCAACACATGATCGAACATCTCGCAGGTAAAGATTCTTGTGAGGTTTTATTCTAAGCGGTTTTTTAGATCGCCCTAGAAATTGCCATATTTGGCTGAAGACGCTGCAAGACAACAAATTGATTGAGTTTATTCGGGTGAAAAACGCATTTAAAAAATTATAATGATTTTGTTTTAGGACATGCTGATAAAGCCTGACGTGCAAGCCATCAGCCGATCGCTTTTCAGGCTCGAGACGCGAGATGTGTACACCAATATGGGCACCTTCCTCAAAGATCTAATGGCGATACGCGAACATGGAATTAGGGTAACGGGAGGATGCGTGTATGGTTCATACCGCGACGCAAAAAACCCTCGCAAATTGGTAACGTTTTTTTCATATTCTCTTTTAGCTTTAAATTTAGATGAAAGCGCAGGGCCATATTGCATCGTTCGTCAAAAATGAAGCAACATTGAAGAAGATACGGGGCGACTACTTGGTCAACTTCCATCTCACTACACCAAGAAATTCAAGATTGTACGTAGTGATCAGCTATCTCGACAAGACGGTCATCAAAACCAAATCTACACAAGCACGCCATCAGGTTTCAATTTTTACGGAGCTGCGAAGACGATTTTCTTTAGTACATAACGGTCGACCAACTGGTACAGGCTGAACATGTGGTGGAATTTGCCGACGAGGGCCAAATGTTCGAATTTGAAGTCGACGCCGAACCAGAAGACCTCAACCCCGTCACAATGGCTTACGATCCGATTCTCTCGTTCAGCGAGTTCTACTCAGTCCTATCAAAGAAATTTCCAAATTCGTGTGATGCATGATGCATTATCCTCATTTCTTGCACGAAGTATTCTTCGATGTATATGTTGCATATTAACTTTCATTTTGCTTTTAATAATTGTGAATTTTGCTAAAACGTGTGCATTTTAATTTAACCTTTGTGTAGCAGTTTATTTTGCTTTCTGTAGATTGTGAGTTTTGTGTCATTCATCAAAATATAAAGTTTAATACGATTTAAAGTTTCTACTTTTTGGTCAGACAACCGTCGATTTCTTTGAATGTTGATTCGTGAGAATATTTTTGATCTTGTTATTTTGTTCTCAAGGAGTCGTCGCAAGAAAGGGAAACCGAATGGTTGATGGGAATGCTGCGCAGTGGGATGCGTTTCGGTCACAAAAGCGGTCGGCCGTCTACACGCCACCGTTTGCACCATGGATGATCACAGCCCTACAACTCGCCAAATTCTCCATTTTCGTCGCTCTTCACTCAATCATGTTATTTGGAGCGGCTATTTCAAAGGGAATCATCATTTTCTTGGCGACCAACTTGAGTAAACCTTCGCACAGTCCATTGGAGACAAAGTTTAGCAAGGAATGCCCACGAGCAGGTGCACTTTTCATTTATGTCTTTTAATGAAACTCTTGTTTAGTGAATCGCGATGATAACCTACATGCCGGTGTACACATTTCACTTTTGTTGGTACACATAGTTCCTGATGTGGTTTCAATAGTACAATGCTTTTATCGTTTAACTACAATTGGAAGGGGTCAAGGTGGAATTAATATCCCGGTTAGTGATTGAACGACGATTTGAAAAGCCAATCGTGTTTAGGTGATATTTCTTGAGACGTGCCGTACCATGGGTTTCTTATTGATGTTCTTCCATGTTTTTCCGCAATTGGACATGCTGAGGGCGTTATTAATCACTTCGTGTCTACCGATTATCCCAATTGTAAAAGAATTTGTACTTTTCTCTATTTTTTATAATTAGGCTCAAAAACTGCTTATGGACGTGTCACGTACCATGAAAGACGAGCATTCGTTAATGAAACGATTTGGAATGACTTTGGCCACTTTTCCCTCATTTATCGTCTTCCTTGTGTTGACGGCTGGATGTTATTTATGGACCGTGCTCGATACTCAATTTGATGTAAGGAAAAAATATCGACTTATCGTTGGTTGTTAAACTTCTGTTTAGCGATACATTATTTTGCCGTTGGCGATAATGCTTGCATCACTTGGATTTTGGGAATCGTGGGTTGGAGTGGGCCATGCGGGAACATTCTTTCATCATCTTCATCAGGTATTAACTCTTTTTCAATCAATACAAATTCCAATTTAGATGAAGTATGGTATTCGAAAAATGAACGCGCCTACTCGATTGTTGACTTCGACTATCCGCATCTTTATTACGCTAACGGTTTTTGTAGTGACTGCTGCTAATGGGAAGGTGACGATGAAAGGAATGACCGGCGTGTTGTTCCATTGGAGATCCACCGAGAAACATTGGTATTTGATAAATTAGGATAATGATTTTATGTTTTAAATTTAGGCCTCTACTCATAGTCGCGCTTTGTTTATGTGTGCTTCATATCATTTTACGGATATCTTCTCGCCTGCTAGCTGGATTGGAGCTTCGTGTCTTGTCGGGCTTTCATCCAATCTTCCTCACCTCTCCACTTCTGCTTACGGCACTCGTGATACATTGTCATATTTCGCCAGACTGTTGGATTGCTAGCAAAGTTGCAGCGTTCGTTTTGTGACTTTTAAATTGGTTTATTTGTTTTACAGGGTCGGACTCACCTTCCGATGCTCCCAGTGGATTGCAGCTCCAATACCTTTCAACGACATTTACTTGGCTCTGATGTGGTTGCTGATCTCAATGTACAAGGGATATCAGTTTGCGAGTCAGCCCAACTTTGATAAACACGACGAAATGTTAGTTGCAAATAACATTTTGTTTCTATATTTTTTTTAGTATTCGTGCAACTCCGGTGGTTATGAATCCTTTTTGCATCGAACAAAGTCTTCTGGTGTTTGAGTTTGCAATCAGTCGTGATGTTGGCTTTTTTAAAAGTTTTACTCTAATTGTAAATTTAGGAATCGAAGTTACTGAAGCTCGATTTCGACTCGATACTTGATGAACACAGTGGTAAACAATCTATGGGTTCCGAGGGGGATCGGTTTGGAGCACACTTTTAAGCTAATTCAAATTATTTAGGACTGCAAATGTCTACATCTGCGCAACAATGTGGCACGAAACTGAGAACGAAATGAAGCAAATGTTCGGAAGCATTTTGAAGTTGGACGAGGAGTGCGCTCATTTATCAACGAGAAAAACGCGTCACTTTGCAGGAAATGCTAATGAAACTCCTAAATTCCGTCTTGAAGGTTTGATTGTTAATTTTTTTATAATTACTGCTTTGTTATAGCACACATCTTCTTTGACGACGCTTGGGAAGATCAGCCTGAACTTGGACGCGCACCAAATGAATATTTCCGCACTTTCTTTACTCTTTTGAATTCGATGATTGAGTAAGTTTTATAAGCAGGACCCATTTATAATTTATCATTTTAGTGGCAAAGAGGATGCAAGCAGCAATGATCCGACGAAAGTGCTTATTGGAACGGCATACGGTGGACGACTCGTTGTCCGATTGCCAGCTGGAACTCTACTTTTTATTCATTTGAAGGATAAGAAACTCATTAGACACAAGAAACGCTGGAGTCAGGTTAGATTTCTGTTTGGATTTTTTGAATAAATAAATTAAGGTTATGTACATGTATTACTTGCTTGGACATCGTATCATGGAGTCACATATGTGAGCTAAATTTGTGTCGAAGCTCATTGCAGCTTTGTTTAGGTCGATCGAGGATAAGCAACTGATTGCGGAGAACACTTATATTTTGGCCATTGATGGAGATTCCAAATTTGAACCAGAGGCATTCCTACGGTAATCATATGGTTTTAACTTTAAATGATATCCTTAGACTTCTAAACTTGATGCATAATAAGTCGGATATTGGATGTGCGTGTGGAAGAATTCACCCGATTGGAAGAGGAATGATGGTTTGGTACCAAAAGTTTGAATATTCAATTGCGCATTGGTTCCAGGTATTTCAATCCTAATTTGTTCTTACTTTTTTTCAATTTAGAAAGCCGCGGAACACGTTTTTGGTTGCGTTCTCTGTGCACCAGGATGTTTCTCCCTGTTTCGTGCGGCTGCTTTGATGGATGATAATAGTAAGCTTCAAAAAAAATGGCACGTCATAAGCTTTCTTTTAGTTATGCACAAATATACTACAACCGCTGTGGAGCCAAGACACTTTGTCCAATATGATCAAGGCGAGGATCGTTGGCTTTCGACACTGCTGTTGAAACAAGTAGGCACATCTTTTAGCGTTGAAGTTCTTAATATTTAGGGATACCGTATTGAATATGCGGCCGCATCTGATGCTGAGACCTACGCTCCAGAAGGTTTTGAGGAATTCTTCAACCAAAGGAGGAGATGGACACCATCATCTGTAGCCAATACGATTGATCTTCTTGCGGATTATCGAGTTGGAATTCGAGTTCACTTTAAAACAATTTTCTTTAGCGTGCTTGTGCGAACAACGCCTGCATTTCAAGGATTTATATTTTGTATCAATTTTGTGTGATTGGCTTTTCGATGTTGGGACCTGCAATTATATTTTCCATGCTTCTATATGCTCAGGTTAGAATGTTGATTACGAAATTACGAACTTATATTTTAGGTTGCGGCTTTTCACGTAAATATGGATCGAATTATCGTCTACAACACGGTACCAGTTGGATTCTTCATATTTACCTGCTTTGCGATGGAGAGCAATATCCAACTGTTTGTGGCAAAAGTCCTTTCAATTGGTTATGCGTTCGTCATGCTGGCAGTTGTTGTTGCCACTTGCAGCCAAATTGTCTTGGAAAGTGAGCGAAAACCATTCTTATTAAAATCATGAAAATTTAGCCATGTTTTCTCCGACCTCGATGTTCGTCGTTGGAATGATATTCATCTTCTTATTTGCGGCTTGTCTGCATCCACGAGAGTTCACGAACATCATTTATGGAATTGTAAGAGTGGCTTCATACATTTTAAACACTAACTTTTAGATTTTCTTCCTGATGATACCTGCAACTTATGTGATCCTTTCTTTTTATTCGCTCATCAATTTGAACGTGATCAACTGGGGAACACGAGAAGCTGTGGCTAAGGCGACTGGTCAGGTCAGTTGCCTTAGTTATACGTTGTATACTAGGTTTAGGAAACGAAAAAGGAATCGAAACTTGAAACAAAGTTGAAAAAGGCCTGGAACGGTGCCACTGGAACTATTCTTCGAAGGAAAGAGAAAGCCGGCGACAAGCGAATAGAGGAACTTGAGCGGCAACTGGAAGAAGTCAAGATTGCTGTTCAGAGGCCAAATTCATTCAATGACTCTCAAATTCGAGAAAACGAGTTAGCCGAGAAACCATGGGAAGATGAGGAAGTTTCAAGTGACGTAAGTGAAGCACGAACTCCTTGAACTAATCAGATCTGGATCAGGGAGAGCTTAGCGATGGATCGGAAATGGTGGTACGCACATCACAAAAAGATCTATGGATGGACGCAGAATATTTACAAGTCAGTTTGTTAATTGATTATGTTTACTTATTTTCCGTTTAGGTCTGTGAGAAAGGAAGGCTGAAGCCCAGTGAGCAACAGTTTTGGGATCAGTTAATAGACACTTATTTGAAGGTTTGATACAGTTCTTGAAAAAGTTCTTGAATGTTTTAGCCCATTCAAACATCACCCGAGCAAAATCTTGCCTATGCTAAAGGTTTAAAGGATTTACGGAACAATGTGGCTTTCTCGCTGATTCTGCTTAACGCGCTGATGGTCTTGGCAATTTACTTGACACAAAATCACAAGGATGTTCTCGCCTTTTCATGGATGCCTCATGGTATGGTTTACTCACAAAAGAAAATCCATTTTATTTTCAGAGGATTTTAAACAGTTCCGCTGGAATTCTACAGCTCAAGAATGGACCAAGCAAAAAGTGCCGTTAAAAGTGGAAATGCTTGGACTTTCGATTATCTTTGCACTCTTTGGGATATTGTTAGTTCAAACAGTAGGTATGTTGAGTTTTCCCCACATTTTTATCTACGAAATTTTTAAGGTTTAATCCTTCATCGTTTGAACACAATGGTCGGCGCGTTTCAAGAGATCAAAGCTATGGGCGACTTTGTGACTACTGCTGCAACGAAAAGAGAAGATGACGATCAAATATTGGAAGCGGGTATAATTTCCGTGGTGTTTTTCATTTTATAAAATCCTTTAGCTCGTTCGCTTTTGGATACATCATACTATTGGCGCAGTCACGGAGGTTCCGGATACACTCGGGATATCGGTGCTGATCGAGAAGCGGTGTTACATCGATTGCAAAGAACTCGCTTAGCCACTGCTATACGTAATCATGGATTAAACTAAGTACCTAAGTAAGCACTTTAATTTGTACTAATTTTTGATTCTAATTAAACTATTGCTCAATTTGTGATTCTATGTGCATGTTTCGAGTTTTAATTCATTGTCTTGTAATCAACGCTTGTGAGTAGATAAACAATAAACATCACAAAAACATAGTGGTGGTGAAGCGGATTCAACGACAAAGGTAATGTGGCAAAAAGTTTGATCACAGCTTTAGTTTGGAATGGCTGGAAAGATGCTGTTTTATTTGTACTGATTTTGGAATGATTGGATAGTAGAATGAAAAATGGTATGCAAGAATACAAGAAAGGAAATGTTACGGTAACTTTTAAAGCTATAGTTGCATGAGGGTGTATTTGTGTTGCCGACTCACTCGGCTCACCACCACTCTTCCATCGAAACTCAGCGAGGCGTAGGTCCACGGTTCCTGAAGTTTTTGAGATTTGCTGATTTTTTGAAAAAACCAGTACATTCTGCAAAAATTATGCAAATAATTATGCTCACCGCAGTCGACCATTGCACGGCGCAAACGGTGTCCTCGTGTTCGATGATTCGATCGAGTTCCCCATCCGGCAATTGCTCTGTCACTTCTAGAAATGGGCCTCTACATGACTTATTGTTTCAAAATACCATCTTCATCCTCTGTTTTTGTTAGTTTCACTTCTGAAGAGACACTCTGGGCACATGTGAGGATCACACAAGAGTCTGAAGAACCAGAAAGGAGAAGTTGATCGTGATCCGGGTGATATCGGAGCTGAAACTTTTATGAAATTTTCGGATTCCGAACGATTGGATAAAAATTGGAGAAAAGGTTAGGATGAGGGGGGAAATGTAAATGATTCAATGATTCAATGATTTGGCAAACCATCGTGATCCAATGCGAGTGCGCTTTCACACAGTGGATCGGCGTTTTCGGCTGTCGGGTGTCCCAAATGCGGATCACTCCGTCGTCACCGCCTAGAATATTAATGTATTATCGTCGTCCTTGAAATAGCCACCCATTCCCCTCTCATTTCTCAATCTTCCCTTCATTCATTCGATTTCGTACTCTATCTACAAGAGTACCTTTCTCTTTAAATTTGGTTCCCTATCTCCTTAAATTTGGTTCCCTATCTCTTGCGCTTCTTAAATTTGTGATTTCTTAAAAACTAGTGTAGAGTTTCATCTGAAATCTCTACTGACTAAGCGATAAGTAGATTTATACGTAGATCTATACGTAGATCTATACGTGAATAAGCTACAAGTGCTAAACTAGTAGCAAAAATTTGACGATTTGACGATTGCTTTGTTGAAGCGGGAGCTTTAGCCTCTAGCGTTGATTGTTTCGCTGTTTGTTTCGCTTTGGTCGGCTCGCTTGGCGAAATGGTGAAACACTAATGAAAAAAAGATCTAGAATGTCGAACTAACATCACTGGATACAAGTTAAAACAAATTAGATCTTTTGATTGATCTTGATTGATTTTTTTTAAAGTAGAAATATGGGAATTTTCTCTAATACTGAAGAGTCGTTCTTTCTCGTTTCAACCAACGAATCGTCCCCAAATTTTCGCTACTAGTTAGCATATAATTGTAGATTATTCACTAGAAATTACAAATGAAATGAAATTGCTGGTTTTTAAGAAATCATGAATTTAATTGCCATTACCAGAACTGCCACAACGAAAGACAACATTTTACGTCCAAGATTTTCAAATGAGCTTTCAAAGCTCGCGTTTTTTTTCTTTTTTTGATTGTGTCTATGGATTTTAATCGACTTTTCTCAATAAGCTACAGTTTTTAGTCTTTAAAATGCTTTGATTTTAATAGAAAAGCCTTTAAAATAAAGAAAAACCTGTTGCTAGACAATTCGGCAAATTTGGATTGAAATCGAGGGTGAGCGCGCGGAACATGTGCGTTTCGGGGAGATGAAAAGTCGTTCTAAAAGATTTCGAAGCTTCAACAGTTTTAGAGTTCTCTTCGAAATTTTAGTTCTTTCTTTTTTCTTTCTTTCTTTCTTTCTTTCTTTTTTCTTTCTTTCTTTCTTTCTTCTTTCTTTGCTTAGAAATTTTAAAGTTTAAAAAAAACTTTTGAAAAACTAATGACAAAATTGATGTAAAAGATTTTTGTGTACCGTATTTTCTCTAATAGTAGTGCACCCAAGCGAGCCGAGTTGATGACTATTTGACGGCTTCCAAGCTTTCCCAGAAGCTCAACACTCAAATCCCCCACTAGATCTCATCGTCAGCTACATTTTTCGACCCCACATTGATAGGTTCTGATAAGCGGTTCTCGAGATTACGAGGAATTTAGGCGACGCTCTGGGCGCACTACTATCGGAGAAAATACGGTATTTTATCAGTAGGAAATGAGAAAGAAAAGCTTAGGAAAAGGCCTAGGCCAAGATTTCTCCTTCTGCATGACTCTAGAATTCATTCGGTGCGCCTGGAGGGTTCAGTGCGCCATTTAAAAGTGTGTTTTTCATGTACCGGCTTTTCCCGAATGCACCCCGTCGAGTTGATGCCCATTTTATAGTTTCTAAGTTTCCCCAGAAGCTCAACCCTCTAATCATCGTCAAGATCTCATCGTCAGCTACATTTTCCGACCCCACATCGATAGGTTCTGATAAGCGGTTTTGATAAGCGATAAGCGATAAGGGGAATTTAGGCGACGCTCAGGATGAACTATTATTAGAGAGAATACGGTAATTTAAAAGACAATAGTAGCCTAGCCTTTTGAAATCTTATTGTTTAGACATTTTGATTTTAGATTTCGTTTTTAGATCTCGATTTTAGATCTCGATTTTTTCAATGCTTACGTTTTTGATCGTGTCTCCACGCCGAGCACATCCTTTTCCACACAAAGTCCAATTGTTCGACCATTCGAGTGCGGATCGAAGCGCAACGAACGGATTCGACCGTTTTGTTGAAGTGTCGAGTTTTTCTGAATCTTTTCTTAGTTTACATAGACTTTTATTGATCGAATTTCCGTTGATCGATCAACTCGAAGACAGTTTAATCGATTAGCTGATCAGCTGATCGACTAGCTGATGACTAGCTGATGATCAGCTGATCGATCAGCTTACGGTAATTGATCGATCGACTGCCGAAAGGGTGTAGAGTGTGTTGGCCGAGAAACAGGCGAGCTCGTCGCTTTGCGCGCTCCATTCTAATCTAGATATTCATTTTTCGTTATATTAAGATTAGAGTGTGCTCCTCTCGACTAAGGCGTTTTCTAAAATGCATCTATTTAAGAAAAGTACCGTTGGCAAACCCCCCCCCCACAACACCAAACCCAAAAAAACCAAAACATTATCGATCGTAGTTTCGCGTTTTAGAAAACGCGTTATTCAGGTAGAGGAGAGCACACTCGAATTAAGATATTGGGTTGGTGAATTGAAAACTGCGGGACTTTGAACTAAAATTTATTGAACACAAAACCATCAATTCATTCCAAATAATTGCCATTATTAATGACGACTTCTGCCCATTTTACAGGCTTGAAAGGCGGTTTTTTCAGGCATAGAATCGGCGCAGGGCCAATCGGGGTGAAGAGCAAAAAAGGCGGCCGCCGGATTTGAGTCCAGCGGCTGAGTTCTTGTTTTACTTTTTAAAGTTTAAATGGCTTGTGCGTTCTCCGCTTCAAACCGATTATTTTAGTCATTCTTTTAGCCGAAACTAGGCGATAATTTCCCCACTCTTTATCATATATAAACTCTAAAAATCACCCTTGAATTGGTGTCTCGAAAGAGCATGTGGAGAGCTCGTCGAGTGATTGGTGGTCGTGATCGAAACGATATATGTTGAGGCTGTGCTTTGCGGGGTGGATACGGTCTGGAAAGCTTTTCAATTGCATAGAACTTTGCAAAGGCATAGGCTGAGCTTAAGCCTGAGGTTAAGGCTGAGCCTGCGCTTAAGCCTAAGCTTAAGCCTGAGCCTGAGCTTAAGCCTGAATCCCCAAACGTATCCTTTCTAGCGCATCTCGACCCTTGATTTTCTCCTTTGCGTTGCTAAAAATTGAGGAAATCGACGCCAGAAAGGAAACGCCAGAATTGCTTAGAGAAACTAGCATTTTTCATGCGAAAGCTAGTCGGATACTTTGTCATCCGATTTATTTTCACGATGAAAAACTTTAATCACTTACTGTCTGATGAAGCTGTGGCAAAAATGTGAGCATCTTTCGGGCTGGCGGCTAACGCGGAGATCTCACCGATTGGATGTGTGTAGGACTGGGCACTGATCACTCCATCATCACTTTTCACTGTCAATAGGCTGATCTGAAGATCGACAAAAGTGGATCAGGTGTTGGAAACGATTTAGAAAAGCTGAGGAATTCTGAGAATGATAAAAAGATTGAACAATCAGCTTCTCCTCAGAGAAAACTGGCTCGTAAGGGAAGCGACAAACGGTTTCCAGGGTGTATTGGTAGTCGCCGGACGTGCTAACAGGGAGAAGGATCGGGGTTGGAGTCCCGGAAGCTACTTTTTAGTTTGGGCTTTCGTTGGGTTGCGTTGCTTCTGCTCAGAGAAAACTGGTTCGTAAAGGAAGCGGTCAATGGTCTCCATGGTGTATTGGTAGTCTCCGGACGAGCTAGCACGCCGAGGGATCGGGGTTCGAGTCCCGTAAGCTGCTTCTTAGTTTGGGTTTTCGTTGGGTTGCGTTGCTTGGGCTCAGACAAAACTGGCTCGTAAGGGCAGCGATCAACGGTCTCCATGGTGTATTGGTAGTCTCCGGACCAGCTAGCACGCCGAGGGATTGGGGTTCGAGTCCCGTGAGCTACTTTTGTCGTTTGTCAACCCTTCTTTTTCTTCTACCTGATTGTCCATCTTGATGTTGCGCGTTCCAACCAAAAAGCGAACATTTTCCTCGTCGGCCACCACCGGGACAAGCGATTGAGCCTCGAAGTCCAACCCGTACATCAGACACTCACCGATTGTCATTGCTTTGGTTCTAGATAATAAAATCGATGGTAATCTATCTACCGTAAACTGTCTGTTTTTTTAAATGAACTCAGCCTCTTGGTTTTACGGTAGCTTTTATGGTAGATTACGGTAACTTTATTAAGGTACAACTTTTAGAAAGCAACTCTCCAAGAGGAGCTTTAGATAAGCTTTAGATAGAGCTTTAGATAGAGCTTTAGATAAGCTAAGCTTTAGATAGAGCTTTAGATAAACTTTAAATAGAGCTTTAGATAAGCTTTAAAATCGTTTTTCATTTTTTCATGTAAAGCTTTCCGATATCGTTTTTGACACACAAGAATGTTTTTTTCAAAAAATTTATTCCATTTTGAGCACCTGGAAAACGTTTTGTGAAGGAATTTGAGCAAAAATTCGATAATACTCAAGAAAAAGAAGCGAAAATCTAAAAACAACACTAGTTAACAACGAGAAAAAGTTTCTAAAAAGAGTTTTTTTGTTGTTAAAAGTTAAAGCTATAAGCCGGAATACGAGTTGTAAATGAGGCCGATGAGGGAAATCGAGAAATTGATACCGGTAGTGATGACTAAAGCCAGAGACCAACAAGCCTTACAAACGGATTTGTCGAAGAGGAGACGAAGCGAGAGACGCGGCACATCTGCGGAATCTTCGACGAGAGTTTCGCTTCGAGTACCCAACCATGAGAGCTCACCTGGTGGTTTTCTATTTAACAGGCTCGTATGGCGGGCGAGCAACGGCCCTCATGGTGTATTGGTAGTGTCTGGATGGCTAGTACCCCTGGATGACTGTCTGGATGACTAGGATGCGGGTTCGAGTCCCGTAGCCTTCTTTTCGTTTTGAGATTTGATGAAAGCGACGGAAACCAGTCGAAAAAGTCGAACTCCGGTGAGTATACGTGAAAACGGATGTAGACGTTAACCAATACACCAATACACGTATACTCACGGGGGTTCAACTTTTTCCACTGCTTTTCGTCAAATCTCAAAACGAAAAGGAGGCTACGGGACTCGAACCCGCATCCCTCGGGGTACTAGTCATCCAGACACTACCAATACACCACTAGGGTCCTCGGAACCCCTAACAGAAAAGGACTATAAATCCCCGTTAAGTCAAAGGAGTCTCCACTCCCTGTGATAGGCCCTTATGGTGTATTGGTAGTGTCCGTATGACTAGTACCCCAGGGGACACGGGTTCGAGTCCCGTAGTCTCCTTTTCGTTTTGAGATTTCACGGAAAGCAGTCGAAAAAGTCGAACCCCATAACCCATATACGTGAAAACGATGTAGACGTTAACCAATACACCACCAGGGTCATCGGAAACCCTTCGGAAAAAGCGCTTATAAATCCCCGTTAAGTCACAGGAGTCTCCGTTCTCTGTGATCAGGCCTCATGGTGCCTGGATGACCAGTACCCCGAAGGACACGGGTTCGAGTCCCGTAGCCTCCTTTTCGTTTTGAGATTTGACGAAAGCGACGGAAAGCGACGGAAATCAGTCGAAAAAGTCGATCCCCCGAGAATATAAGTGAAAACGGATGTAGACGTTAACCAATACACTATCAGGATCGTCGGAACTCCTAACAGAAACGGACTATAAATCCCCGTTAAGTCAAAGGAGTCTCCGTTCTCTGTGATAGATAAATATTAAAAATTTGATTTAAAAAGTGAGAAGAAGTAACGCGAACAAATAGTAAATATCTTTTCTGATGTCTGGAGTGTCATTTGGTCATTTTCGTAGTGTTCATCAGCTATATGCAAAGCAATCCTTTCCCAACCGAAAAGTTGCGAAAGAATTGCACTGAACTGCACTAAAAGCTTTCTCGCAAACCTGTCGTTTTAAGCAACAATGCGAAGAAGAATGAGAGCAAAGCAGGCGTCAAATATTGGACAACTGCCGCGCAGAGATAGGAATAGTATCGATAGATCTAGAAGATTGATTTCATTTGATTCTTGTTTGGAAACCTTACCATACTCTGTAGATGAACGTTTCTCACGTGACCGCTCTCGCGTTGCAGCTGATATAATTTATCGTAGCTGAGATCGAGAAACGATTGGAGATGAGCACGCCGGAGGAGGAGTCTGAAAAGGAATTGATGAAGTCTGAAAAGGAATACCGTAACCTTCAAAGTACTGTAAACAACTAGATACTGTATCTAATAGCTACCGTAATCCACTAGATACGAGATCTCAGAGCTACTGTAACCTTCAAACTACTATAATTCACCAAAGGCGGTATCTGAGAGCTACTGTAAGCTGTAAACTACTGTAATCCACTAGATACTGTAGCTGAGAGCTACTGTAAGCTCTGAACTACTGTAATACACTAGATACAGTATCTGAGAGCTACCGTAATCTCTGAACTACTGTAATCTACCGGATACAGTATCTGAGAGCTACCGTAAGCCTACTCTAGGCCCAGAGCCGTAAGCTTACTGTGGCCCAGAGCCGTAAGCCTAGTGTAGGCCCAGAGCCGTAAGCCTACTGTAGGCCTCCTGTAGTCCTCCATATGTAAACTACATAATCTTCTCAACTACCGTAATCTTTGTAACTCTTTGTAATCTTTCCAGCTACCTAACCCACTTTGCTTTTTCGCTCTGGCTTGAATAAAGCCTTTGGATTATGGTAAACACGGCGTTACTCTTGCGTGATGCTTTTTAAAATACACTCTAGCACCGTCGTGTCTGTTGCCATAACCCAATGCTACCGTAATCCTCGATAACCGTACTTTCTACCGTACTTTCTACCGTACTTTCTACCGTACTTTCGAATGCTACCGTAATCACAGCTAGCTTTCGCTGTTAGCTACCATAATTCAACTAATTACTGGAATTCTTGTCTATCACCTGCACAATAGTGATCCGATTGTCACGTAAACGCGGAGGATTTCGAGTTGAGGTTCGGTGAGTCTGAGAAATTTGGATTTCAAGTTTAAATGGATTTCAGTTTGCAAGAGCTCTCAAGATCTTTTTCACAACTCACAATTGCCTCGGACCGTCGACGAGGTAGAACTTTATTGGCTTCAAAAATAACAATAAACACAATGAGGGCATCAAAAAGGAAAGGTGCAAGAGGAATCTGAAAAAGCTGATTAGCTGATTTGTGATTTGAACTTGTTGAGTTTTTGAGCACGAACTTGTTGAGTGGATCGGCCACGATCAGCGCTCGAGAGTACATTGTGGCGTAGCGGAAATTCGGGAAGACGAGCATCGTGGAGAGGAGAGAGAAAAGGGTCTAGATTTGAGCCGAATTTCAGCTTTTATTGTTACTAGGGGTCTTTCTCTAAAATGTGCCAGACTTAGAGAACTACCGTAGTCTTTCTACCGTAGTCTTGCTACTGTAGTCTTGCTACCGTAATCTTTCTACTGTAATCTTTCTACCGTAATCTTTCTACCTATCTTGCTACTGTAATCTTTCTACCGTAGTCTTTCTACCGTCTACGGTAATCTTTCTACCTAATCTTTCTACCGTAGTCTTTCTACCGTAATCTTTCTATCGTAAACTACCGTAACCGTATTTGATTTTAAAGCCAATTTAAAATGTATTATTTGATTCTTCAGAGAATGAGAGAAAGATTTCAGTTGAAGAAAGTTTGAGGGGAAAAGTTAGGGAAGAATTTTCAGATTGTCGATCTTTTTAGGGGAAAGATTACGGTAGAATTTCTAATTATTGATTTTCTAGGGAAGGATTACGATAGAATTTCGAATTATCGACCTTCTATTTATTGATTATTGATTTAGAGAAAGATTACGATAGAATTCCCGAAATTATCGACCTACATGTCTACACGTCTACAATGAAAAACCTACAGCTAATGACAAATACAACAGAAGCGGATTCTTGTTGATCACTTCAATCGGCGACCCCGAATTCTCTTGAGAAATAGCCGCCTGTGCTTGTGCGGTGAAATGATCGTAGGCTAAACGATTTTGAATAGAATGAGTTTAGTTTTAAAGACGATGGACTATAGATGATGGACTAGAGGCTATGGACTAGAGGCTATAGACTAGAGGCTATAGACTAGAGACTAGACTAGAGGCTATAGACTATAGACTAGAGGCTAGAGACTGTAGACTATAGACCTTAGACTAGAGGCTATAGACTTTAGACTAGAGACTATAGACTAGAGACTATAGACTAGAGACTATAGACTATAGACTATAGACTAGAGACTATAGACTATAGACTATAGACTATAGACTATAGACTAGAGACTAGAGACTAGAGATTATAGCCTTTAAAAACTCTAGATCAATAGACAATAACTCTAATAACCTTTCAGCAGATTTATGTCAAGAATGCGATCAGCCCACAAGGCGACCATCACCGATCCGAGAAAGTATAAAGCGCCGAATGAAAGGAGAAGACCCCGTTCATCATCAGCTGTCCAATAGAAAGCAGTCAGTTGAGCAAGAATCTAGAATATTGTTATCTTAGCTAATCTTAGCTTTTTCAATCGTTTTTCGCATTTTTCGCATTTTTCGCACTCGCTAATAGCTAATCTAATCGTTTTTTTCCTTTTCGATTAACAAGAAAAGTGCATAAACTTTTCTTGTTCGTATAAAGGCTTAAAAGGTGAGCTTTTAAATCAAGATCAAGATCAAGATCCAAACCATTCGATCCAGAATTTCACGCTGATTCCGAATCTGGTTTCCGTTTTTGATACGGAGCATTCTGTCAAAAGTTATCAACATTTTAAGCCAACAATTGCAATTGCAATTGCTAATTTCCGATTGAAAGAAATGAAAAAATGGATTGGAAAGGGAATAAGGCATAAGACTCTGCCCTTTCTAGCTATCTATGTCCAAAAGATAGCTAGGAATTGGTAGAGTTTTCGCTTGATAAGCGAGAGATGGCGAGTTCGGATCCGGACTCGGATTTTTTTGGTTCTCAGCCTTGTCCAACTGCCTTCTCCAAATTACTTTTTAACTTATTACTGTCTACTTTTTAAGCTCTAAAGCTAGCTAGCTAGCTAGCTTTTAAACTAGCTACTATAGAAAAATTGAGCTCAATTGCACCGAAAGCCAAATCGAGAGAATTCAGCGAGGATTGAATCGACGATTTTTTCTTTGTCTTTACCGTATTTCTAAATATTAATATTACCATTGTGTAGCCCTTGAAAAGAGCTTTCAGAAAATGTATAACACTAATAGTTTAAACTCAAAGACAATGGAGTTACAGACGCGCGAAAGTGACGATCGTTTTTGAATGATGATCTTTCAGATATCATATTTCATTGTCCAGTACTGTACCTGTAAAGTGAAGGCGGCTCCAATGATTAGCCAAAAAACGGAAACATTTGTGTCCTGACTCTCCGGGTAAACGAATTTCCAGATCTACAAAATTAAACGATAAAAATTGTCCAAAAAAAATTTGCCAAGTTTCTAGCAAGAAAAAGTCCTCCCGGTTCTAGCCTCATCTTTCTGTTGTTTTTGTCAATCAATGTCATTCATTTCTTACTCTAAACAAAAATTCACATCATTTTCTGTATATCTTCAAGTTTTCATCACCATAAAATTAATAGAAATTTTTTTTTTGTAAGTTGAAAAATTGTTAGTCAAAAAAAAAGTAAAAAAAAAGTTCAATTGAAAGCTGTCAGCCAAACTGATATTTTAGTTACTATTGTTATATTGTTATTATTGTTATTATTGAATGATTTGTCTATTCTTATGCAAATGTGTTCTCCCCTGTGCTTATCCCTTTTATTGCCGAGAAGGGACGGTCCTTGTCCTAGGCACTTGTCCTCCTAGGCAATGGGATTGTCAAGGAGGACAAGTGAGACTCTCATTTGGAGTCCCCCCTTCCCCTTACACTCATTTGTAATCTATTCACCTTATTGTATTACCTAAAGGTACTATAAATAAAGATACATATCTTCCGGGTCTATGCAACTGCAGTACAGGTCGGTCATTTCACAGGGACTCCCCTCTAATACGTTGGAGTAGTTGAGTTGGGTTGTCGGGGTGTTGGAGATGGCGTCTGCAAGCTTCTGCAAGCTTCTGCAAGCTTTTGCAAGCTTTTGCAAGCTTGAAAGCCATCAAATAGTCATCAACTCGGCTCAGCAGAGTCCACTACTATTAGAGAGAACGGTACATACAGTAAATTATATATATTTTTGTCTAAAAAAAGAAATGAATCATTTTGATTGACAAAAAACAAGGATAAAAGTCTGGAAAAAAGAATGGACGATTTCTGGGTACCCAGAAATTTTCCTAAGCCTATACCTGCTCTTTTCCTGTGTTCATTTAATTTTCCTGTTACAGGCATCAGTTTTTTTTCTCACAAACCTCGCTAATCATATAAACAAAACAAGCAAGCGGTGTGTAGAGTGAAAGCCAGAAGACGCTTGAATAGAAAGCGAAATTCTGCAGCTCAACCTCTTCCACTGGCGCCATCTTCAACTGAAGAGGCAAATTTTTCGGAATATTGAAGCCCTCGGTCTCCTCTTCTTCTCTAGAAATAGAATTTCGAATTTCAAATTCAAATAGAATTTCGATTTTATCGATTTTATCGATCAAAAGTTTCAATATAAGATCTATTGGGTTGGGGAGAATGAGTCGGCGCCGAAATTTAAAGAAACTTTTTGCACCCATAAAACCTTCTTTAAATACACGTTTTGTTTCATCAAAATGGTCCACTATTTCTTTACAAAATGGCTTTTGAGAGATTCCACAAAGCTTTTCTTGTTTGGGATTTTATGGATTCCCAAACACAGCTAATCAAAATGACAAAAAGTCCGACTCATTGCTTGAACAGTTTCTTCCACATAAACCTCCTTTGGTGTTTATATAAAAAAGATAGAGCACACTCAATTACATAAGTTACCAAATTTTCAGGAAGATCCCTCCAACCGTTTACTCTAGATGACAGTTTATCGATTTTGTGAAAAAATGATCCTTTGTTGAGTTGAGGCGCTGTTTGAGTTCTCTTTTAAATATTATTTTGTAGAGAATTAGTTACCCTTCTACGGATATCAAACGCATATCATTTGACAAAGTCTGCTATAAGTTTTAGAAATTTCTTTGATTTTCGGCGCCGAGTCATTCTCCCCAACCCAATAAATAGATAAAATAAAATCTTCGTTATTGATAATATTGATAAAGAAGGTGTTAAGCCATTAAGCCAGAGCCACCTCACGGCGGTACTTCTCAGGCTTCTCAGGCTTACCAGGCTTATCAGGCTTATCAGGCTTCTCAGGCTTCTCAGGCTTCTCAGGCTTATCAGGCTTCTCAGGCTTATCAGGCTTCTTAAGCTTATCAGGCTCAACGTTGGTTTATCACCTATCACCAGGTAGAAGTACCCAGTCCAACGTTTGTGCATTTCCATAAAAACCGGGAAAGAACCCTGCCAGAGTTCTTTCCCGCTTTCAAAATTTGGTGGATCCTCAACTCCAGAAACTACACCAAGATTCGGTGGATCTGACACCTCAACTCCAGAAACTCCAGAAATCCAACACTTTTTTCTTTTGTCACTTTTTATTTGGCTCAGCCGTTTTTTCTAAAATTCGAAGTTAAAATCGAGGCCTTACCCCTACCCTTTTTGCGGTGCAAGCAGTTATTACCTCGCTCGCCTCAAAGGCGACCAACAGGACGGCATGGCCGAGTGGTTAGCGCGCTGGTCTCTAATGCAGGATCCAGATTGATGGGCTCGGGTTGGACTCTTGGCCGGGTTTCGAGATTTTTTAGAAATCACATTTTGAAAATTTTTTTTATGGAAACACACAAACGTTGGGTAGAAGGCCACCATCAGGAGGGCTTGGCCGAGTGGTTAGCGCGCCAGTCTCTTAGACAGCAGCCAGATTGAAGGGATCGGTTCGACTCCTCCCGCTTTCAAAATTTTTTTTATGGAAACACACAAACGTTTGGCTGGGTAGAAGGCATTCTAAACCAACGTTGAGCTGCTGTACCGTCGTGAGATGGCTCTTATCATCTTCTATATCAATATAGGAAAGATATGAGAGTCTAGGCTAGTACTTTGGGCTCGAAAATTGCTCCTCATCTAGTACACGAAATTTCCCCCTTTTCTTCGAGCGATTTTGTGCCTTGGCAAAGAAACAAGTGCACCAGATTCATTGTGTTTACAAATTTTACAACTCGACTTTCTTTTCCAGCTCCCACCTCTGTTTCCGACGTTGCCTTGGTTTTGTTTCCTTTTTGCCGGGCATCAGCGCTCGCAACTCATCGTTACTCGGTGCAACGAAACGATATAATCTAAAAAGTTGTCTAATTAACAGAAATCAATACAGGAAATGCCTAGAACAGTCCGAAACTGGGCTTTCCATTTGCGCAATTCGCCATAACTTTCTTTTAAGTCGATCAATCTTTATGATTTTTGCGTCATTTTGTTACACTTATTGAGCTCTATAAAATGACATAAAAATCATAAAGATTGGCCGACTTAGAAGAAAGTTATGCGAAGTTGCGCAAAAGACCTAATGACGGTGCGGAGCGTTGCGTAGTCTAGCTTTGAACGAGTTTTTCTCGACACTGGTTTATGCTACAATGCTCGTTTAGATATCAAAAAATAGCTGAGATTGAGGGCTATAAAATGACATAAAAATCATAAAGATTGACCGACTTAGAAGAAAGTTATGGCGAGTTGCGCAAAAGACCTAGTTGCGTAAATGATTGGCGCAAAAAAATTGCAAGGCAAAGCGCAAAGAGACTTCGAAGCTTTTCTGATTTTACAATTTATATGTAAATTGATCTTTTTAATCTATAATAACATTTGAAATAGCATAAAAACTGTAATAGTACACCCCCCATAATGACGGCCGGAGTATTGCGTAGTCTAGCTTTAAACGCGTTTTTCTCGACACTGGTTTATGCTACAACGCTCGTTTAGATATCAAAAAATAGCTGAGATTCAGGGCTATTTTTTGATACCTAAACGAGCATTGTAGCATAAGCCAGTGTCGAGAAAAACTCGTCCAAAGCTAGGCTACGCAACGCTCCCCACCGCAAAGAGACTTCGAAGCTTGCCTGGTTTTACAAGGTTTTCTCGACACTGGTTTATGCTACAACGCTCGTTTAGGTATCAAAAAATAGCTGAGATTCAGGGCTATTTTTTGATACCAAAGACGCATTTTTTGAAAGTACGGGCGGAAAGTACGGGTGCTTTGAAAAACAATGAAATACTAAAAAACTTTTGTGACTACGCGACTGTACGAGGGGGTGGGGTGGGGTGGGGTTCAATTACAGTATTTACGGTGGGTTAATTATCGGCTTTAGTTATAGGCTTTTAGGCTTAATTATAGGCTTAATTTCTAATCTTTAACCTTGTTTTGAAGATTGAAAATTGAAATATGAAAACGTAAAAAAGGGATTTATCGTTTTGTCTTTGTATTGTATTCACAAATTTACAAAAGAATTTAAATTTTAAAAATTCACAAATTTCAAGCACTACCTTTATCTATTATTGATTGAAAACACGAAAATGAGTAAGCAAAAAAAAGGTATTGCGGGGATTTGAGGTGGGATTTTCTCCTCAGCGTTCGAGGTCCGGGGGTTTGACCCTCATTTTTGCTTTTTTTTTTTACTTTGAATGGTTTGAGTGTTTTGGCCATGTTGGATGGTCATCATTGGCTGTATCGAGACCACAAACAAATCAAGATTTCCCTTCACTCACCCACGCACGATGTAGGCTTTGACGAGGGAAAAACGAGTGGAACATTTTGAGAGAATGCACACCACGATCAACGTGACAACGATGTGAAAGCCAAGAGCCGCCTGGAATCGTTTGTTTTTGGGAATTTACGATAATTGAGATATTGCTTTTGGGTTTTAGAGCTATTGGTGAATTGAATTGAATTGAATTGAAGTTGAAACTGCTTGAAACTGCTTCCTCTTTCTTCGTAGGACTTTGGTTTGTTTGTGAGACAAGTGTGAGACTCAAAAATATACCAAAGGATAGCCCTTAATTTCTTCTATCTTTTGGTATATTACACATAAAAATATCTCAAAATGGGGTTGAGAACGAGGGGTTTAAAGTTGGTCGAGGGGTCGAGGATGAGGGTCAACTTTCGACGCCTCGTTCTCAGCCCCATTTTAAGATATTTTTATGTGTAATATACCAAAAGATAGAAGAAATTAAGGGCTATCCTTTGGTATATTTTTGAGTCTCACACTTGTCTCACAAACAAACCAAAGTCCTACGAAGAAAGAGGAAGCAGTTTTCAATTGACCAACTTCAATTCAATTCAATTCAATTCACCAATAGCTCTAAAACCAAAAAGCGATATCTCAATTATCGTAAATTCCCAAAAAACAAATGATTCCAGGCGGCTCTTGGCTTTCACATCGTTGTCACCTTGATCGTGGTCTGCATTCTCTCAAAATGTTCCACTCGTTTTTCCCTCGTCAAAGCCTACATCGTGCGTGGGTGAGTGAAGGAGAAATCTTGGTTAATACAATATTGTGAATACAATACAAAGACAAAACGACAAATCCCTTTTCTACGTTTTCATATTTCAATTTTCAATCTTCAAAAAAGGTTAAAGATCAGAAATTAAGCCGATAATTAAGCCTAAAAGCCTATAATTAAAGCCGATAATTAACCTACCGTAAATACTGTAATAGTACCCCACCCCCATAATGACGGTGCGGAGCGTTGCGTAGTCTAGCTTTGAACGTGTTTTTCTCGACACTGGTTTAAGCTACAATGCGGGTTTAGGTATCAAAAAATAGCTGAAATTCAGGGCTATTTTTTTGATACCTAAACCCGCATTGTAGCTTAAACCAGTGTCGAGAAAAACACGTTCAAAGCTAGACTACGCAACGCTCCGCACCGTCATTATGGGGGTGGGGTACTATTACAGTATTTACGGTAGGTTAATTATCGGCTTTAATTATAGGCTTTTAGGCTTAATTATCGGCTTAATTTCTGATCTTTAACCTTTTTTGAAGATTGAAAATTGAAATATGAAAACGTAGAAAAGGGATTTGTCGTTTTGTCTTTGTATTGTATTCACAATATTGTATTAACCAAGATTTCTCCTTCACTCACCCACGCACGATGTAGGCTTTGACGAGGGAAAAACGAGTGGAACATTTTGAGAGAATGCAGACCACGATCAAGGTGACAACGATGTGAAAGCCAAGAGCCGCCTGGAATCATTTGTTTTTTGGGAATTTACGATAATTGAGATATCGCTTTTTGGTTTTAGAGCTATTGGTGAATTGAATTGAATTGAATTGAAGTTGGTCAATTGAAAACTGCTTCCTCTTTCTTCGTAGGACTTTGGTTTGTTTGTGAGACAAGTGTGAGACTCAAAAATATACCAAAGGATAGCCCTTAATTTCTTCTATCTTTTGGTATATTACACATAAAAATATCTCAAAATGGGGTTGAGAACGAGGGGTTTAAAGTTGGTCGAGGGGTCGAGGATGAGGGTCAACTTTAGACACCTCGTTCTCAGCTCAATTTTGAGAGAGATTTTTATGTGTAGTAGACCAAAAGATAGAAGAAATTAAGGGCTATCTTTTGATATATTACACATAAAAATATCTTAAAATGGGGTGGAGAACGAGGGGGTTAATCAGGGTGCAAAATGAAATATTGGTCAAAATACGGCTGAAAAAATGCCCTTACAGTAAGGCAGACAGAAAGACAGACAGATACCGTAACCCCCCCCCCCCCCTCCCCCTCCTTTTCCGCCATTTCATTTGTGAAAATTCGTAAATTTGGCATTTCTTGAAAACGAGTTTTGGAATCGTTCTGAAAATTTGGATATAAGCTTGATTTTTGATTCTCTACAACTTTTCCATTGACACCAAAATGGGTTTCTTTTGAAGAAAGTCCTCAAACTGACAATCGCCCGCAGTTTTCAATTCACCAACCCAATATTTTTGAACTTTTGAACAAACCATAATCCTAGTCCTGCGCTTTGTCCTTTCTATTCAAGCACCATCAATTCCAAATCTTCTCTCTCTCTTTCTCTGAAAAGTTATAAGCTGAAAAAGTTGTTTTGATAATAAAAAAGAGATTTTTGATTAGATTTCAATTTTTTTTGGCTTGAACTATTCAAAAACGGTTCAAATTCAAAAGTAAAGCTTGAGAAATTGAAAGAATGAAGTAGGAAATGATGAAAAAGATAAATTTATAGATTGCTTAATCAAAAAACCTTTTTAGAACATGAAATAAAGTGAAAGCAAAAGAAAATCAGCAATCAGCAATGTGCGCACAAGCGCACCTTTCTAATGCACTGAATTCTTTGAATGAAAAATCCATTCAAGCTCTATTTGGTATCATTTGAAAGCCTGAAATGTCCTCTTTACAATGATAGAAAAAGTTAGCAAAAATATGATCCCTAGACAAAGTTATCGGCTTTCAAAGTGACGAGGATTCGAGGGCTGTTTGTATGGGAATGAAAAATCCATTCAAGCTTTTTTGGTATCATTTGAAAGGCTGAAATCTCCTCTTTTTAATGATAGAAAAAGTTAGCCAAAATATGATTTCTAGACAAAGTTATAGGCCTTTAAAGTGTGACGATCCGTTGAAAGACCAGGATTCTTTCATAAGCCTTCAATTTAAAATAAACGAACTAGTGTTATAAGTGGGAATTTTTCGATACTACAATGGACAATTTCTCCTTGGTTGCAGCTGGTTTAATATAGTTTTGATTTAAAATCAAAAAAGATTAGAAAATTGAGGGCGTAGGGGTACTACGGGGGTCGAACCCGGATCGTCTGGCTTGTGGCCTAGCGCACTGCCGACTTGGCCATGGAAGCATCTGGCCGATTCGCCCAAAACAGCTAGCCATACATGGCGACAGTGTTCATTCAAAAATTGAAAAAGTCAAAACTTAATGACACTAGTGGGAGTCGAACCCGGATCGTCTGGCTTGTAGCCTAGCGCACTGCCGACTTGGCCATGGAAGCATCTAGCCGAGTCGCCAAAAACAGCTAGCCATACACGGCGACGGTGTATATTGAAAAATTGAAAAAGTCAAAAACTTAATGGCACTAGGGGGAGTCGAACCCGGGTCGTGTGAGTTGTAGACAAGTGCGCTGCCGACTTGGCCATGGAAGCTTCAGCCCGACTCGCCCAAAACAGCTAGTCATACACAGCCATACAAAAAGAATTATAATCAAGTTTAAATTTCAATTTAAAGTTATAATAAAGCTAAAGCAAATTTAGAATATTTTTTTTTGGCTTAAATTTGATTTTCGGCCATTCTGTGCATTGTCGATAGCCGAAAAAAGCTCTTTGTTTCGCGTTTGGGGCGAGATACTGTGCGAGTTTATTGTCCGAGCGTCATTTGTATGGCTTCGTTTCTCCATTTCTCTGTATCGCCCTTATTTGGACTTTGTTGTTTATTCATCGTTCGCCTATTCGATTTTTTTTCATCCAAAACTTTTGCACACATAATTCTCACCGATAAACCCCTTCTTCTGGCGTTCTAAAGCTATAATTGTATCGAAATTTGCATAATATATTTAAATTATTGCTATTCAAAGGGTTTAAAACTTTAAATAACAGTAAATTTTGTTTTTTTGGCAATTTTTGTTCTTTAGCGTCTCTATTTGATGTAAAAGATCGATTTTAACAAATCTATTCGTTTCGTTTTCAAATTTTGCCTTAAAAACCTTTCCAATTCAAAATGATATTCAAATCTCACATCACTACATTAGCAAATAGTTTTTTGAATGATTTTGAATGATTTTGAATGATTAATAGTTAGCAAATAGTTTTTTTTGAATGATTTTTATCCAAATTAAAACCTGTACGGTAATGAAAAGCAATAGCTACAATTTAAAGCTTTAAAACTTTAAATCTAATTGCTTTTAATAAGTGATAAATCATAGTCAAGCCTTTAAAGCTTTAAAACATTAAATTGCAGTAATTTGTATACATTATAAGCTGTAAATTGAGGAATTTGGCTACCACAATGAGTTTTCTTTCTTGATCTCGAGATTTGACTCTCCCCCCTCCCATTTTTTCTTATCAGAAGTCAATTCGACTGCCGAAAAACTTGAGAAATGGCGAGTCAAAACAATTTCACTCAATCTAAAAAGCGTAAAGGCTTGATTATGATTTATCACTTATTAAAAGGAATTAGATTTATGACTATTCTTTTGTTGAGTTTAAGTTTAAAAAGATTTGTTCTTTGTTGGGATTGTTTGTTGGGATTCGTTCTTGGGATTCTTTGTCGCTATTCTTTGTTGGTATTTTTTGTTGGTATTCTTTGTTGGGATTCTTTCTGTACAAACACACCCTCTCTGGTGCACTGAATCCTTTATTTTCCATGTGAAGAGTGCACCAGTACTTTTACAGAATTGTGTGCCAAACAGAGACACTGGATTAAGTCTAAAATTTCTAAAAATGTTCCCAAAAATGAAACAGAACTTAATTTTGTTAGATTGAAGTTAGATTGAAATTAAATTGAAATCAAATTGAAATCAAATTGAAAACAAATTGAAATCAAATTGAAAACAAATTGAAATCAAATTGAAATCAAATTGAAATCAAATTGAAATCAAATTGAATCAGAAATTGAACTCGAGAATTGAATCAAATGAAAACTCGAGAATCAAATGAACAATTATCCTCATTTCCCACAATTGCTCATCAAGATCATGACTGTGAAGTGCTAGACACGAATTTTTGAATTAAAAGACCACTTTTTTCTCGAACAACAATGCGATTTTCTTTTTCTGATCGCATTTTATGACATTTCTTTTCTTCTCTTGCTGCTTGTTGTCCCCGCTTTTTTTGCCTCAGCTGAAAGGATGGGTGTTTTCTCGTTTTCTCGTGGGTCAATGCAAGTAAACAGCTTCTTTCTCCAATCTTTTCCCAATTCTCTTCCTATTCTTTCAATTTGACCTCCTATTCTCAAAAATTGCTCAATTTTAAATATTTGATTGTTGATTGAACTTGCATCAGAATTTTCTGACCTTTTCTGACCATTCAGGCACGAAAATTTGGTTCAGAGATGGTTCAAAGATGTTTCAAAACGGATTTTTCTGAGTCAGGCTTGGTTCTAAAGGGAAAACGCGTTTTAATCCGAGTTTTGAGCCTTCAAAGTGCGCGCTTCTATAGTGTAAGCTTCTATAGCGCTTCAAAGTGCGCGCCCGAATATTGGGGCACTTTTCAAGTTCAAAACTAGAGCCCAAACCATTTCCAACCATTAAATAATGATTTTCCAACTTAAATTGACTGGTAGAGGCAAAAAAAAATCGAAAAAATATTTTTGAGATTTTGACTCATGTGAAACCGTATTGGAACAGTATTAGATCAAAATAGGAACCGTATTGGACCGTATTGGAGGTATTAGATCAAAATAGGAACCGTATTGGAACGTATTGGAAGTATTAGATCAAAATAGGAACCGTATTGGAACCATGGTCGAAATTTGGAAACTTTTTTATTTTGCTTCAATTTGATCAGAAATGTAATCAGTAGGCTAAATTATGCCAGAAGAAGTGTTTTTGGCTTCAAAATAATGTTTTGAGAGACTATTTTTAGACCTTTTCCCTATGTGCACTCCTCTCATCACACTGTATGAGCGCGCACCTTGAAGCCTCGAAACTCGGCTTAAAACGCCTTTTCCGAAGCTCTCGTTGTGTTTTTCGGAATCTACGCATAAAAGTACCCCAGGAAAAGTGGTTTTGAAGAAAAAAGTGCCTCTCTAGGAAATGGATTGTACTCTCTAGGAAATGGATTGTACTCTCTAGGAAATGGAGAGTACAATCGAAATTGAAATGTCAACCAAATTAAAGTACCGATTCAGCGCAAAATGGTTTTCCGGGGGACCCAAATCAGAAAAAAAGCCATTGATTTTTCTGAAAAAGAAAGAAACGGAAAGAAAAAGTGGTTTTGAAGAAAAAAAAGTGCCCCCAACCCAAAGTTGTTGCCGATTTCCTTTGATGTCGCCGCAGACACGTACCTGTATGCTAACTTTAAAGAAAAACCATCAAAATTATTGGGAGTGGGACAAATGCGACCTTTTTTCTGCGCACCTGGACATTTGCGCACCTTTTTTTTTGCTAGAAAAGGCCTTAGGAAAGGTCGTAGAGCTTCAAAAAAGTTTTCATAGAAGGGAATCGTATGCGTAGGTTCCGAATTTCGACAAATCAGATTTCGCTGACACGTCAAATTTGGACTAAAAGGCAAAAACTACGCAACTTAACGCTTTTCCGCAGTTTTTGCCCTTTAGCCCAAATTTGACGTGTCAGCGAGGTCTGATTTGTCGAAATTCGGAATCTACGCATACGATTCCCTTATATGGAAGTATTTTCGAAATATTTTCGAAGCTCTACGGCCTTGCCTAAGGCCTTTTCCAGCAAAAAAAAGGTGCGCAAATGTCCAGGTGCGCAAAAAAAAGGTCGCATTTGTCCCACCCCCAAATTATTAGAAAAGTAAGAAAAATAACCAAAACGTGCAATATAAATAACCAAAACAAACACAACAATGTCGTAAATGGAAAAAGGACGAATGGAAAAACTGACGCAAAAATCTTGAGCGCCGAGTTATATACGACTCCTTTTAAAGATATTCAGCCGTTTAACTGATTTGGTGGCAAATTCCCTTCAAAAGTAAAGATATTCAATTTACTCGACGTGTAAAGAGGATTACTCGTAGTTATTAGACAAAAAATGTCGATTCGACCGAGTAAAAATTACTCATGCAGATTTTACTCGAGTAATTACTCGCAAGGAATACTCTAGTATACTTTCAGAGTACCGACCCTCCCCCAGTGTCCCCCTAGTGTCCCCCTTGCCATTGGCAATCTACGGTGTTTTCCCATTTTCTCGATATCTACTCGATCAATTTTTATGATTTTTATATGATTCGATGGAGAACTAAATTACGCATCGAATGGTACAAAAATCATAAAAATTGATCCAGTAGATAGCAAGAAAATGATAAAATACCGTAGATTGACAATGGCAAGGGGGACACTGGGGGCCGTACTCTGGAAGGGCCTGGTCACTGTCACTCTAGGCCTTGCCCCTGATATTAGCTGAATGATTGCGGCCCTAGGGCCGTTTGTTTATCTTACCTCATTTTTCTAACCCTCGCAAACCGGCCGCCCTCGGCTCTTTGGCATTGTTGTTGTTTGGTGTTCGAAATGTTGCTCATTTTGTTATTGTCTAACGTTTGACCAATAGTTTTACCTATTTCAAAGTTTCAATTGATTGATGACAAAATTAAAGTAGGAACTTTTGTGAAAACGATTTGTTTTCCTTTTGGAAATAAGGTAGATCCGTCTTGTTTTTAACGTTTTCCGTCTTGTCCCTCTTTCTTGGGTCACAAAATAAATAAACAATTCTTTTCCACTTCCCAGATCTCTGTTTTCTTGACTCAAAATATCTCGCTATTGAGTTATTTTTGTTGGAAATAGACCGCCCGAAGACTTGCTTCTCTAGGATTTTTCGATTTTCGGATTTTTCCAGAAACGATTTTTGATCTCTCCCTTGATTTTTTCATTTGTTTTGATTTGCTTTTCATTACAGATCTCGAATGGTTCAACACCTGGCGTCATTGATATCGAAAGGGGGAATTCTCAACTCCCCCCGAACATCGATGCACTTAACGAGAAGGTATACCACTTTGAACTATCATAACTTTTTCCTCAGACAATATTTTTCCAATCTGATTTTAGATTCAAATTCGACGTGCAATTCTGCGCTTAATAGTATTAGTTAATCTAATTTTAGATTCAAAGTCGACGTGCAATTCTGTGCCTAATAGTGCTAGTTCTATCTAATTTCGTTAAGTTAATCTTTTCCTGAAAGAATTTCTCCGGAACTTGTCAGCTTACAGCTTACATTTTTGCATACTGCGATAGAATAGTACTATTAGACGCAGAATTGCACGTAGAATTTAACGCTGAGAACAGATTTAAATTCTATGTGTCTGTGAAAAAAGATTGTCTGTGGAAAAAGCTATTGAATCTAAGCCCTAATTGTCTTATAGCTGAAAATGGACAAAATTTCAAATGTCTTTTAGATGCAACTCCTCGGTGCAACACCATTTTGCGGTGGTGATGGGCAGCGGGGTGGCCGGCTCGTCGCTCACCTATCATCTCACGAAAAGGGGAATCAAGGTTGGTTTTTCTTTAACAATTCTATTCTTTTGCATAGATTTGTCTCGCAAAGCTGTCATTTTTAAAAATATTATTTTAGGATGTTCTTCTTCTTGACAAAGGAGCCGCCGGCACCCCAGCCGCCACCAGTTTTCACTCGCCCGGACTTGTAAGTCGTTTGCATACTAGCTGTACATACTGCATACTATTAGGTTGAGTACTATGTGTTGATATGGCTTACTCTTTGCCAGATCAATACATAGTACGCTTGTGTTGATATGGCTTACCCTTTGCCAGATCAATGCATAGTACGCTTGTGTAGATATGGCTTACTCTTTGCCAGATCAACACATAGTACGCTTGTGTTGATATGGCTTACTCTTTGCTCTTTTTAGAAACAACTAGTGCTTTAATTAACTTACAGTTTTTACCATTTAAAAGCTCTATTGATCTTCTAAAAGTGGCTTTAAACGCATTTGGAAATGCTTCCGTTTTGTGGTTTTTTTTTCAGAATGCAAAACGTTGAGGGATCAAAAGCAGAAAAAGGTCTAATGATACGATTTGAGCACTTTTAGCCAAAGAAACCTATTTTGGTGTCATAAGACAAAAGAAAGAGCATAAAAAGTTACGATTATAACCAAAATTTCAGCTTAATTTGACAAGCCGTTTTGATTTTTTTGGCCATTTAACGAATTTTCGGAAAACACGAATTTCTGCTCAAATATTTCTCAAAATGCATTCAAATTTGTTCAAAAAGATGTAAAATGAGACAATGAACAACTTTTATTTGATGAAAATCGTAACTAAATTAGGCCTTTAATTGTTTTAACAGAGAAAAATGGAAATGTCATACCAACACATAGTACTCAACCTAATATTAGGTTTATTTTATTATTTATTATTTTAATTTTATTAGGTTGGCAAGAAAGTTCGTAGAAAAAGTTTGCACGATGATTTCTCAAAAGCCAAGCCATACATTCTTCCCAAATTTTTTGAGAGACTTTACTATATTTCAATTGCTATACTTTACTATATTACTGAAGCCAACTATGATAATAAAATACCAACACATAGTACTCAATCTAATATTAGATTTATTTTAATCTAATATTTTTTGCCTGAAGCCCACTATGATAATAAAATCATAGTGGGCTTGAGGTAAAAAATAAGAGATTTCTTTAGTTGAAGTGAATTGAGTGAGTTACTTTTTGAGTGACCAACCTTTAGACAAGTTTTTAATGGGTTAATGAATAGGTAATGGGTTCCATTCAAAACTTAAAATCAAGTACTTAAAGTAGAGGAAATTTTTGGTTAAGGCAGATTTTATCTAATGCTTTAACTTTTCAGAATCACCTATTTTAGCAAACACTCAGTGCCAAGAGGATAACACTAAAAAATGATAGAAATACAGCTTCTCTGTAAAAAAATTTTGGCTAAAAATAGAGATTATAAAGCGTATTGCTCATTTATTTTAAATTTACCTCATTTGTAATGCTCATTTGGAATCGTTTTTCTGATTCAAAAGTGAGCTGAATTTCAGCTGGAAAACAATGCTTTTTCAAAAATCTGAAATTTTAAAGGAAATCTTTTACGAGTAATTTCTTGGAGTCGACTTGTAAATAATAGAATAAAGTGTTCTTGAATTGGTGGTTCGTGATTGGTGATTGGTGATTCGTTTTTAAGAAATCCCAGTTTAAATCTGTGCAAAAACTTTCTTGTCAACCTATTAGCATAAGCAGATCTGGATCCAGGTCCAGCTGTACACTGTCCAGAAGATTTCTGATCCAAAAAGAGTTTTCGCCTAACCCCTGGCTTCTGGTCGAACTCTGAAATGACATGGCTTACAAGCTCTAGAATTTTATTGTGCATAGCTCCTGTATGTTCTAAAAAAATATACTTGCCAGTTAAGAGTAAGTTTTCTATACAAAAATTCCTTTTCTTTAGGTCTCCGCCTCTCACCCCGCTCATCGTTACAAGCCGATTTTGGCCTATTCAGTTGAACTCTACAAGGATCTCGAGAAAGAAACTGGAGAGGTGAGTCTAATTTGTAGAAGTGATCTTGAAAAACTTGTCTCCTCTTGATCAACCCGATCAATTGATCAATTCCAAAAGGCATCTATTTTCGAAGATTACTATAATCTGCCCGCCAGTTTCCATTTGATTAATCCAATTTTGTTATTATTGACTGAGTTTTGTGTTTCCCTTATCGAATGATACCAAAATTGAATTGATCGAATGAAAAATGGCAGATTATGTGGGGCGCATTTTTGAAAACGCTTAAGCAGAATTTCTTTTACAGCCAGTGCATTTCGAGCGCGTTGGCACGATCCGATTGGCGACGAACAAAACTCGACTGGACGAGTTCAAGCGATATGTGGCCAGGGATTATTTTAAGGTTTGCTTATAATAAGATATCTAGATAACTTTAAGATATCTATAATAATGTAGCTACTTTATCTTTTTCATTTCAGGAAGGTGACGCGTGCAAGACGGACCTGTTGAAATCGCCCGAAGAAGTGCTGGCGAAAGCTGGAATTATCGATAAGTCAAAGGTTTGTAAAAGATAAGAATATATACAAATTTTAGTTACATTATGCAAATTCTGATATAGTGTACTTGTTAACTTTTGATCGTTTCAGCTCTACGGTGGTCTTTACACGAGCAACGACGGTTATGTGAATGCCCGGGGATTGAATCGCGCTTTCATCAAGGGTTAGCTCTATTTAGATACAGAAAATTTGTCTAAATAGACTATTTTTAAATGTAGAGCGTATTTTTGAGTAAAAACCACATTTTCAACTGCTCTTGAACTTTTAAAGCCGTCAAACCGATGAACTTTCTAGGCACCGTCGACCGGGGAGGAAAAATTCTGCACGAAGTCGATCCGGAATTCATTGATTATGATATGGTAAGTGGTTGTGAAAATTTTAACAAATTATAGCCAGTTTTTATTGCAATATATTCAATTTTCAGACGAAAAAGGAATGGCTAATCGGGCTGAAAGACGGAACGAGCATCCGCACAAAGAATCTCGTCAACGCTGGTGAGTAAATTTGAGAAATTCATTACAATATACGACTAACGCTCTCTAAAAAGTTACCGTAATTCTTTTTAAATCATTAAATGCATCTGAATTTTTATTTTATCTTTGTGAAGGCACTCGAATGAGTACGATAACTGAGCGCTTTTTAGAAAAGTGACTGGTAGTTCAAAAAGAGACTTCTTTCTCAGGTGTTTACGGTAGCTTTATTTGAAGCGCACTTTTTAGAGACTGCTTAAATTGCTTAAATACCAAATAGCATTGCTTAAATACCAAATTGTACTTTAGGGGGCATCTGGGCGAACGACATCGCCAAACTCTCTCACTACAAAGGAACGAAGGGTTTCGAGTTGCCGCTCGTCATCGCCGAGCATCAATATGCTGTGATTACGGTAATTAGGCTTTTGATAGATATCCAATATTTGGATTGTTAATACAGAGTGACGAGAAATAACCCACCCTTTTTTTGCTAGGCTCATATTTCTGTTTTTTGTAGATCAAAACGATTAATTTCTTTTTTTAAACGAAAATTCATATCATTTTCTGTATATCTTCAAGATTTCATGGCCATAGCATTGATAGATAATTTTTTATGTACGCTCAAAAATGGCTGGTCAAGAATGCAAAAAAATGCTCAAAAAATAATGCAAAAAAATATGCTGGTCGAAAAATAACGAGCCGCAACTCAAATTTAGGGGTTCCTTTATCTTATAGAAAATATTAACGCATTGATAATATCTTTTTTGAACTGAATCTACTTAAACATAACAAAAACTTGGCTTTTAGAAAAAAAACTGCAAAGAAAAAATGATTTTGTGGGTTTTTTTTCAAAAATTTCAAATTTGAATTGCGGCTCGTTAGTTTTTTGACCAGTTATTTTTGAGCGCTCATAAAAAATCATCTATCAATCCTATGGTCATGAAATCTTGGACATATACAGAAAATGATGTGAATTTTCGTTTAAAAAAAGAAATTAATCGTTTTGATCTACACAAAAAAAAATATGAGCCTAGAACGGACTATTAGGACGGATTATTTTGTTGTCACCCTGTAAAATGTTAATAATGGACTGTTAAAATATATCGGATGAATAAGTTAGAGAGTGTTTCTACTAATTAACAGTACATTGTTGTCCAAAACATGGGCAATGAGCCACTCGTTGCAAAACGTGGAGACAAAGGAATTTGCATTTAAGCAAACAAAGGCTGTTCGCAGAAAGTGACTTGTTGTCTATGTTACAGTACATTAAAGCTATTCATTTTCTGTGTGATTGTAAAAAGGTGTAGAGCGGAAAAGCGAGATTTGACCACTTCAACGGCTACTTTTCACAGATTTTTGGACCAAAAGGTAGAACTTGAAAAATTCTGCCATCGTTAGCAAGAAATCCTGAAAAAGTAGCCGTTGAAGTGGTCAAATCTCGTTTTTTCTTTCAACACCAATTGACAATCAGACAGAAAATGAATAGCTTTACAGTACATGTTCTTGATTCTATATCTGCTATCTGAAGCTATCCAAAAATTTTAGCCCAAAGAAGCTCCACCAGCTGATCTCCCAGCGCTCATCGATCACGATAGTACTTTTTATTTGAGGAAAACGGCCGATGTGAGTTGGATTTGACTTACTATAATGCATTATGTAAAGCTACTGTAGCCTTAAAAGTACCGTAAGCCTTACCGTAGCCGTTACCGCAGCCGTTTTAGAAACTTAAAATTACCATAACACTTTCCTTTACAGTATACTAGCTTTACAGTCGATGAGGCTGAAATATTGAGCTTAAATAAAGAATTTCAGTGTTCTTGACTGCACATTTATCTAGTCACCAGCCGAAAAATCCGCTTAACGGTGGTTTTTTCTGGCTGGAGGTTTTGGGGGTGACGCATATCGCCGTGGCGCAGTCAGGAGCGCGTTTGTATACGGCCCACACGACCAGGGTTCGACTATGCTGTGTCGTGACTTTTGCTTTTTAAGAAAACGAACATGAGATGCACAATTATATAGAATTCTAAGCCTAAAAAACTAAAAATCATGTAAATCGGCCCACGGAGAGCCAAGAACGTACAGACAGACAGACGAACAGACGAACAAACACTCCCCTTTTATATATAGTAGATATTGTAGCTTAACAGACATCAATTTTAGGGCAAGTATATTTTCGGCGGTTTCGAGCCGATGAGCAAGGTGGTGTTCAGAAAGGATTGGCTCGAGGGTGGAGTGCCGAAAGGTGGGTGCTAAGTTTTAGTCAGCTAATCTATGGAAATTAGCCTAGTCTAGTCTGGAAATATAGTCTATATCTGATCTGATATTTTAGTCAAATATCGGGAAATCCATTCAAACCTAGAGGCTTAGACCGGGGCCACAAGCTTCTGCAGTAAATCCGGTTCAAGGCTGACTCCGATCCTTTGCACAAGCTAGCCAAGAATGAGCAAACCTATGCTTAACTATAGCCAATTTTATATCCAATATCTATAGAAGGCTCAAAGCTGATTAAACCGGACTTCTCGCGTCTGGATGTGGCGTGGAAACGAGCGCAAGAGTTGATCCCGTCGATTCGAGGCGCAGATTTGGAACCAAGAGCCGCTGTTTTCAGCATGGCTCCTGATGGATATCCACTGGTCAGATATTTGATATTTTATAGATGCATTGAAAATTGAAATTTTTTTTACTATTTACATAAATCTTATGATCTAGAAAATCCTAGTCAATTCAGGTTGGACCTTACAAGCGAAACTACTGGCTCTCGACGGGTTTCCTCGATGGTGTTTCGTCGGCTGGAGGTGAGCAATGTTTTCAAGGGTATTTTGTGCTTGGGTAGACACACCCTTTCTGGTGCAAAGTCAAAGAATTTTCTTTCAGGTGTTGGCAAATACTTATCGGATTGGATGGTTGATGGAGAACCGCCATCGGAACTTTTTGACACCGATGCGTCACGTTTCGATGATTGGGCTACGAAGAGGTAAAAAAAACAAGTATTATATAATGCTTTTGTCATATATCAGCCAACTATTGTAGCTTTTCTCAACGAAGAGTTTTCAACCAGTTCTAAAAGCTTACACATAAGCATATCAATCAAACATCAAGACTTTAGTTTTATCGCGGAAAAATCCCGTGAGACTTACTCGATGTACTACAATTGGTCGTACACGAATCGAATGGCTGGAAGACCGACACAGAGAGTATCCGGAGTATATGGACGATTGAAGAAAGATGGAGCTTTCTTCACGTACAGAAATGGATGGGAAGTGACACAGCATTTCAATGTGAGTTTAGAGAAAAATAGACTTGTTTTTGCGCTGTACTTTGAGCTAATCTGTAAACGCAGACTTTCTGGCGCAATGAATTCTTCCCACAGTGTTGTGAGAAAATGAAGAATTCCGTGCGCAAGGAAGGGTACTTTTCCAGATTTGTGCACAAAGAATATCTAATTCTTATCTTTTAGGTGACTCAATACTCGAAATTGGAGGACAATGTCGAGCCGGAGTTTTGCGATGCAAAGAGCACCCTGCCAACACTGTGTCGTGAATATGAAATGGTGAGATTGGGAAGGAAATTAAGAAATCCACGATAAAGACATTTTTTTCGTTGTTTTTTTCTGACCTGGCTTGCAAGCTGGTTAAGGAATCCCTGTTTTACAAGTGAGCCTTTCATACAAGTGAGCCTTTCATTCCAGGTGACGAACAAATGCGGTATCATCGATCTCTCGTGGAAGGGGAAAATCGAGGTGAAGGGGAAAGACGCGATGCAACTCATGGACTATGTGATCGCTGGACCGGTGAGTGAAACGTCGCGTACTTTGTCCTCTTTGCAAGCACACCCTCTTTGATGCACTAAATCCATTTTAGACCCCAACTTTCGGCAAGATTGGCTCCGGTTTGATGCTGACGCGACAGGGCCGACTTCTGTCGCCACTTAAGATTTTCCATCATGACAGCTATCGGTGAGTTGGATTTGATAACAAGTTTTGATAACAGCCTATTTTGATCAGATAATTTTACTGAGTACTCTCGATTTCCAAGAATTGCAATGATTTTTTTAGATCGGCTTTCATTTTGGTGACCGAGCCCGAGCGCGAGTCTCGCGATCTCTACTGGTTAAAGCGAGCCGCTACCGAGAAAAATCTCGACGTTGAGGTTAGTTATATGGCTTTAGAAAACGATTTGCATCTATAGCTTTATAGCTTTTATCTAAAGATTGCTAGAAAAGGAGTCTAAATTGTTGATTTTCTAGGTGAACCTCATCTCGCACTATTTGGCAAGTTTGGCGCTTGTTGGACCGAACAGTCGACAGGTGGGGTTTTTTAAAATTAAAAATTATCTAGTAAGCTTAAAAATTTACTGTAGAATTCAATACTATATAATTTTATATTTTTTTACATTCCAGATCCTTCAAGAGTTGACGAAAAGTGACCTCTCAGAGAGCGGTTTCCCCGTTCGCTCCACCAGATTGATTCGACTCGGAACGGTGCCTGTGGTTGGTTTTGATCTTAAGAAATCTTTAAGAATTCTTTAGATTATTTTTGATTTACCGTATTTACTCGAATAGAAGACCGGCCTCGACTATAAGACCGTCTCGAATAGAAGACGGGGTCTAGGGGGTGATTGAAAAAAAAATAGAAGACCGGTCGTCTTCTATTCGAGTAAATACGGTATTTATTTATTTATTTATAGGTATTTAGATTTAGATTATTTCTAGTGTTATTTTTGTTAACTTGTTAACTTGTTATTCGTTTCGTTAAACGCGTTTCTTTAGATCGCCGCCCGCACTTCCACCTCTACCGGTCAACTCAGCTATGAGCTCTTCCATAACAGAGCCGACAGCATTCGACTTTATGATGTGAGTGTCGATTTCTAAAATCTAATCGGCTTACCGTAATCTCGAATCTCTTTGAAGCGTATTTTGCGCTCGAATTTCTAAACACACTCTTTTTCTTTTTTTTCAATGGTTTTTGAAAAAAAGAGGAAGATGACGTTCTTTTTTTGCCTCAAAATATGATGTTTCTAAGCACTTGGGTAATTAAACCGAATCTATAGCTGGCTTGGTGTGCCAAAACGCTGGCGTTTACGTGTCTCCTTTGTTCTTTGGCTGCACTTTGTGCTCAATGTAAATGCACCCTTTCTCGTGCATGGCGGGAGCACAAAGTACCCCGATAAACCTAAGAATTTTAGGCAATTTGGAGCGCCGGGCATCTTCAATTCGGCGTGCACAACTTTGGTCAAGCTACGATGAACATGCTTCGTCTTGAGCACGGGTTAGACAATTTTTGGATAACAAATTTATATGTACTAGACTTGTAACGAAAACATCTGTCGCTCCTTTTTACCGTTGGCAATTTAAGGTTTTTCTCAGCATCCAGCCTTCGATTTTGACTATCATTTGATGCAGAAGGAAATTGCGCGTCGAATGATACCAAAATCAACTCAAAATATAATATCCACGCAAAGTTGTTGGCTAAAAACCTAAGCCCCGTTCATTATGGGCGGGACTTAACCTTTTGCCTCATAACTTTGCGTGGACATTATATTTTGAGTTCGTTTTGGTATCATTCGACGCGCAATTTGATTCTGCATCGAATAATAGTCGAAATAGTCAAAATCGAAGGGTTCATGCTGAGAAAAACCTTAAATTGCCAACGGTAAAAAGGAGCGACAGATGTGTTCGTTAAAAGTCTAATATGTATTGTTCTAAAAAGTATCTAGAGCTCTAAAAGACATATATTTCAGGCAAACTACCGTAATCTGGCCGCCGGTTTCCATTCGATCAGCCAAAATTTTTGTATCATTTTGTATTGTGATTCCCTCATCGAATGATACCAAAATTGGGCTGATCGAATGAAAAATTGGCGGCTAGATTACGGTAGTTTTCAAAGAGAAAACTAGGTGCCTTTTAGAAACTGGGTGAATAAAGTCGCATTTTCCAATTTCTAGGTACAAAATTTGGGGCCGAGAACTCACCCTTGACACGAATCCTTTCGAATGCGGCATCGGAAATCTCGTCAACTTCGATAAAAAAGAGTTCATCGGAAAAGCGGCCGCCATCGAGTTGTCCAAGCAGAAATTCCATCGACGTCTCTCACTGATCACTTTTGATACAAATCTACCATTTGAGGTGAGTAGAAAAGTGGAAAATCTAATTGTAAGTCGAATATAAACGCTGTGCTCAATCCGCAAGGGAAGCATGAGCTTTTTAAACCAATTTTATCGCTTTTACCCCTTTCGAAATTTGTTTCTCGATGGACTGATGCTATTTGCATTTAATTTTACAACTCAAACAATTTTTTTTAGACCCACTCGATCCCGTCCGGTATGGAAGTGGTGAGAAAATCGGGATGCGAAGAGGTTTGTTGTTAGCATTTGAATGAGTAGTCAAGCTTTGAAGGCTCAGAACTTTGTACAGAGATAATATTATTCATAACTATTTATGTCATTGTAACAAGCACGTGTCAGGCTTTCAAATGATACCAGATAGCGCTTGTTTGGACTAGTCATTCCTGTGAAAATCAAAGCCAACTTGCTCAAAAGAGATCGATTGCTTGGCTCTTGATTTTCATGGAATTGAATGATTCAAGTAAGCTCTATTTTCTATCTTTATCTGCCTTTACCTCTACCAGAGAATTTTAGAGTTCTGTTTGATTATTCCGGTATTCCGAAAACGATCTAATTTCAGCGTGTCGGTCAAATCACCTCCGGCGCTTACTCGGTCCGTTTGCAGTGCCCGATCGCGTTCGCTTGGCTCAATGATACTGTACAAGCCAATGATACGGTAAATTAGACTAATAATGAATGCAAAATAAAAGAGCAATTTGGATAATGGTACTCATCCAAGCCATTTTCCATAACGTTTCGCATTTAGATTCCCCTAAAAGCACTTTGGTCGCTTTAGATCGGCTTTAACGATGATATCAGTTTACTGTAACTTTAAAGATGTTTAGTTTTATTTTATTTTAAGAAGTTTTCTTCTTTTGACTCAATTTTGTTAAGAAGTGATAAAAGCTGTATCGAAATTTGATTTAACTATTTCAGCTTTCCGTCGATGTCGGCACGGGACGAGCGCTGAAGGGGAAAATCCTCGAGTTTATCCCTCATTCGCCTATCCATTAGAGCTATCGTCGTTGAACTTTTAGATTACCTTTATCTACGAATTTACCTGTTTGCCAATGTACTTTGTACTCGCTCGTAAAAGCGCCCTTTCTGGTGCACTGAATTCTCCCTTTTTTCTGGCCTAGCGTGCACCAGAAAAAGCTCGTTTACCTGGGGAACAAAGTACATGTAAAGGGTTATAAATATTTCATTTTGTATGCTAATTTATTTGTTCATTTTTTCTCAATTCACTTTTTCCATTTCCATGCTTTTTTTACGTGTTTTCTTGCTGAAATAACCGTGTGATCGACCCGATTTTTTTGAAAATTTCATAGATTTGCTTTCCTTTCAAATACATTTAGCTTTATTGCGGTCATTAGGACTAATTTGTGCCTGTATTGATAAAGTATTCAGTTGTAAAAAGTATTTATCTCTTTTTCTTTGATGAGGAATAAATAATAGGTGGTGTGAGAAAAAGAGGTGTCAAGTGAGGCACTTTGTGCTCGAAAGCAACGCAAACGCACCCCCTCTGACGCACTGAATTCTTCGTTTTTCTTGCAAACAATGATTTGATTTTGCGAGAAAAATGAGGAAACCAGTGCGCCGGAAAGGGTGCGTTTATGAGGGAGTACACAGTACACAGAGTAGAAAGTACACAGTACACAAAGTACAAAGTACACAGTACACAGAGTAGAAAGTACACAGTACATAAAGTACAAAGTACACAGTACACAGTACACAAAGTACAAAGTACACAGTGCACAAAGTACACAGTGCACAAAGTACACAGTGCACAAAGTACAAAGTACATCACAATGAGCAAGCCACAAGGAGTTGTAGACGCTTGCAATGTGGCACACGAAGGATACTATGTAAAGTTGGGGTGGAGTACAGAAAGCTCATTGAATTGAGGTAGGTGGAAATTCAAGTAGAGTAGCTTTTAAAGGTTCTAATAATATGAGCTCTTCAAAAAAAACTGACCAATTCGTAATTGCCACCGAAATTTCCCCAACAATTCGATTTGCCATTTCAATAACTTGCCATTCTAATAACTTGAACATTTTTGAATACATTGAAAAAGATTCAAATCTCAAGGACATAATCGTTGAGTGTTGAAGAGAAAAAACATTTTGTGAACTCAAGTGTGCAAAAATGCACTGAATTTGAGATGGCACTCAATTTTTGGGAAAAATTTCAATAATTTTGGAAATGAGACTTTCAAGGAAACGTTTTCCCTTTAGGAAATGTACTTTTTTTAATGTACTTTCTAAAGAGCACTAAAGCCTACCGTAATCCAACCACTTTTCATTCAATTAGCTCAATTTTGGAACGAAAACGAGCTCTTCCAACTTCCTAAAGCTCTTCCAGCTTCCTAGAGCTCTTCCAGCTTCCTAAAGCTCTCCCAACTTCCTAAAGCTCTTCCATCTTTCCTTCGACTCCAACGACTCCCCGAACTTTTCTTTTCCAATGAAATGTCTCCGTTAGCACACTCCATTAGCACACTTTGATGGAGACTAAACTAGGAGGCTTTTGAGCAATTTTGAGCCAATTCTGCACCATGATTAGCGTAAAGGAAAGCTGAAAAAAACCCCCCAAAAAAGACCCAGTTTAGCCCCCAGTTTAGCTCCAGTTTTAGCCCCAGTTTAGCCCCAGTTTGTCCCCCCTTTCTCCCCATTCACTCCTCGGATTGACCCCTTCTGTTCACATTTCTGTTCACATTTCCTCCCTTTACCAACAAGAGAATTGTGTCCATTTCTCAACAAATCCATTCCCCTTTTCGTTCTCATTTTAATAAACTATCTCTTTCTCTCTTTTCTTTATCTCTCTCTCTCTCTCTCTCTCTTTTGACCAATTCTATTTTCTCTAAAAGCTTTCAAATAAATTCAATATTTTGATTTGGCTTTTTGAATGCTTTTTGGCTAAAGATTGATGTTTAGGCTTAGGAATTCAGCTTTAGGAATCCAGCTTCAAGAATTGAGCTTCAGGAATTCAGCTTCAAGAATTCAGCTTTGGGAATCCGGCTTTAAGAATCCAGCTTCAAGAATCCAGCTTCAAGAATTCAGCTTCAAGAATCCAGCTTAACATTTTCACGTTCGCAATTTGGGTCCAGAGTTGGCAAATGGCTCAAAACCTTGGCTTGACTTTAGCCTTGACTGACTTTGACCCCAGCTACAATCTGTCCTTAATATTTCGCATTTTCGCTGCGATCTCCATTCGCGTTTCCAAATTTACATCCAAAAGTCGTTTTAAAAGTAAGAAAACGTGAAAAGTACGAGTTTTGCTTAATCGTCTTCTCTAAATAGTGTTATGGAAGCAAAAGGATGCTCGAAGCCCCATCCAACAGTCGATTCTCTGAAGAAAGCTCTCTAGAAAGCTTGGGACATCTCCATTTTTCTTCCCCAAAACGCCTCCAGACCTGTGTTACCGCCAAGGGAGATTTTTTTGGAAAAAAGTCAATTTTTAAGTTAAATTATTGTCTTAAAAAGAAATTTTTGCTGTTTTGGTGCCATTTTAATGTCAGCTCGTCTTTAAATCTTCAAGTTCTTTAGTCCCCGTAATTCTGGAGATCTCTGTATTTGCGAGAGAAAAAAAACAAGAAGTTTGGCAACAAGGGGGATTGAACCCGCGAGGAAAAAGGGGAATACGGCTTCCCAGCCCAGCACACTATCCTCTAGGCCACCGCTGCACACGATGGCTTGCCGCGTGGAGCTCCTCTTATAGATGAGATCGCGGTTTGCTGATTCCTTGAATTGTTTGATTGTTTTTTTGGTTAAGCTTTTTTAAGCTTTTAGAAGAGCCGTGTTTTTGTGAGCAGGTGGCCGAGTGGTTAAGGCGTTTGACTGCTAATCAAATGGGGTCTCCCCGCGTGAGTTCGAATCTCATCCTGCTCGGAAAGTTTTTTTGCTTTTGTCGAAGGTCGAAGGTTTTTTCCGACTGCTGTTAGACATTCAATTTTATTGCTTTGATGACATTTAACTGGCTATCCCGGGCTAAAAAAACCAATTTGATTAGCCGTTCAACAGAACATTCAACAGAACATTCAACAGAACATTCAACAGAACGTTCAACAGAACATTCAACAGAACATTCAACAGAACATTCAACAGAACATTCAACAGAACGTTCAACAGAAACGTTCTGCTTTTGTCGTTCTGCCTGGCGTGGCTGCATCTTATACTTTAGGTCGTGGTTTGCTCGGTTTTAAAATCCGGTTAGTTGAAAGGATTCCCTAGTAAAGAGTGGCCAATTTACCGTAGCCAATTTACCTTACCCAGCTCAAATCTTTTCTAGGTTTAGTCTAGTTTATGTAAAGCCCAAGAAACTAAAGCAAAAAACCGTTTACAGCAATTCTAGCGTTAAGATAGGGTTACTGTAACGTCGATTTACTAATTGGCTTGCTCGGGTTTCAAATCCGCTTGCTATAACGATAAATATTACGACAATATTACAATATTACGCTAAATTAGTCACCTAAAGGCACACAAATTAAGGCAACTAGATTATAGGAAAAATTCGAATGCATTACGTGCCAAAATCGTGATACTTTTAGCATTTGAAATTGAGAAAATCGCTGATATGGCGATGAAAATCAAAGTGACATCTCTTTTTTGCTCGTTTCTTCAAAGAAAACACCCCTTTTTTAACGGATAATTCAATCATTTCAATCATTTACAGCTTTGAGATCATTTTTTTTTCTTTTTATCCTTTTGATTCTTTTCCAAACTTTTACATGAAAACAGATGCCATTTGAAACAAAAATTTTCCTCCTTTTTCCTCCTAATTTCCTTTATAAATTTCTTTTTTTAAACTTTATTTTCTAAATTTTTAACAATCTTGATTCTTTATCATCATTTTAAAATTCTAAATCTAAAATTAACTGATAAAGACAGTTAATTTTAGAGTTCTTTATGCTTACTTTTTGTAAATCGAAGCTTTCTAGTGCAATGAATTCCTCATTTTCTTGTGGAAACGATTTGGTGATGGGGGAAAATGAAGAATAGGAAATAGAATATGAAAAAGAAGAAGAAGAAGAGAAGAAGAAGAAGAAGAAGAAGAAGAAGAAGAAGAAGAAGAAGAAGAAGAAGAAGAAGAGTAAGAAGAAGAAGAAGAAGAAGAAGAAGAAGAAGAGTAAGAAGAAGAAGAAGAAGAGAGAAGAAGAAGAAGAAGAAGAAGAAGAAGAAGAAGAGTAAGAAGAAGAAGAAGAAGAATAAGAAATAGAATAAGAAATAGAATATCAAATAGAATATGAAATAGAATAATATAGATACTGTTCGGAACTTCTTCCGATAAAGTTTATTTCTCTTTGAAATCTATCGAACAATGTTCCCTCTGAATCATCCTTTTCCTCCAAAATCTTTCCACGATTTCCCCAGCCATAAGCTAGCCAAAAGATAGGTATTTCTAAACATTTCTAAACATTTCTAAACATTTCCCCCTCAACTTTTCTGTATGTAAACCCTTCTGTGCTTTAATAACCCTTCTGCCTGAACCAAGGGATAGAGACACATCTTATCCCGAGCGGATACTTTATTCAGGACTTGAAATAAAGTGCGCTAGATTTAAGATTAATACACGAATTCATACAAATAACACGAAAAGAAATCGAATCGAAAGAAAAGAAGGATTTAAATGTATACCGCATTTTCTCTAATAGTAGTGCACCCAAGCGAGCCGAGTTGGTGACTATTTACGGCTTCCAAAGTTTTCCCAGAACCTCAACACTCGAATCGTCGTCAAGATCTCATCGTCAGCTACATTTTCCGACCCCACATCGATAGGTTCTGATAAGCGGTTCTCGAGATTACAAGGAATTTAGGCGACGCTCAGGATCCACTACTATTAGCGAAAATAGTCATCAACTCGGCTCGCTTGGGTGCACTACTACTAGAGGAAATACGGTAAAAGCTGTTTGCTAAAATGTAGCAAGTGATTCGTTAGCTTAGTCTGCTATAAAAGCACACTATTAAAATCAAAAGTATTCAGTTTAAAGAACTTAACATACACTTTTATACTTAAAC